TTATAGAAAAAATATAAAATAAAATCAAGAAAGCAAAACTTTACGAAATTGTAGATCTTTCCAAAATTATATACTTTATTAAGAACAATGATATTATTCAAATGATTGAATAATATTACAATAAAATCAAAGAAAGTTTCAAATGTTTAAAGAAAATCTAAACGATTTTCAAAGGAAAAGAATTTGTAAGATTATAATCCCAAAACAAAAAGCTAAAAGGAAATATTGTAAAAACTAATATAATCTTTTATACTATACAATTTAACCTCTAAATCCTTATTAAATTCTTAAATAGATTTATAATTTAAAGATTCATCAAAAAGAATAATTATAATTACAAAAAATATACTTCAACAAAATTCTATAATATATATACCTTTATTACAAACTTGAATTCAAAAACAAAAAAGGATTGGAAACCTTTGTTTTTCGATTTCAAAAAAAACTCAATTCTCAAAAAATATCAATTTATTATCAATAAATTCGGATTTCTGAAAGAATACAAATCTAATGAAATCTCTTCTATTTTATTTCAAAAATCTATATCTAAAAGTTTCAAAAAGGTTAATAAAATCAGAATCGAAAAGGTTGATGATAAGGAATCAGAAATAAATCCAGATGTTAAAAAGGAATTAGAAACTATCAATATCTCTGATTCTTTGTAAGCTCTTTATCTCTTTTATAAATAAGCTATTGTATTAATGTCTGAATTTATTATTATAAATATTGATAAATAAATAAAGCAAAATTATATATTCGATTTTTCAAAGAAAATCTTTTTTTATTCTTCTATTCTAGATAAATTTGTCCCCTATTATCGAAAAGTTGATTTCATTCTAAAAACAATTTCAAATAATAATAATGATATATCCAAAAAACTTTTTAGGATTATCTTAAATTCCTTTTGGGATCTAAAAAATTATAATTATAAACCTAGTCTTCAATTCAAAGATAAATAATATATATTAATCAATAAAAATTATATTATTGATTAAGTAGAATAAATAATTATTATATCTTTTAATAAAAACATTATTGAAAAAGCTTTTTGTTGTTACGAGGGGTGCGATCTAGATCACGTGGAAGTGGCCTGGATCCTCGAATGGTTTATAACTAGGTGTCAAGCAGGAGCTTTAAAGTAATATCAATAATTGCAATTCGTAACTAATAGTAGGTTATACTAAATGATTGATCTTGAGTACGAAGCTCCTATATACATGAAACCCCTCTGGTTTATATAGATCTTCGTATCCTGTAGATTCGTATGGACCTACGATTCGTATGGACCTACGATTCGTATGGACCTTCGATTCGTATGGACCTACGATTCGTATCCTTGTATATGTAGGGTCCATCACATGATCTCTAGGATCAGACTATATGTTCGAGCTTGCTGAGGGCGGGGAGACTATATGAGGCGATTACCATACAAATTTGTATACAAATCGCTTTGCTTTTTGATGAGGCCTAAGCTCATGTGGACAGGTTGACTGTTACCTTGTAACATTTGTATATACTACTTATATATTTTGATCAAATTACTTAATATAAAGATCAAGTATATTCCTATTAAAGAATTTCAGAATCGATTAATTATAATAACCTATAATTGAGATTGTATTAATAAGATAAAACTAATCATTCAATTTTATTTTTAATTCTATCTTTATATACAATTAGCTACTAAACAAATTAAATAAATTCGAAGACCTTATCACTTCGATTTAAAGCTAAGTCTATATTCTTTTTATATAATTTTAGATTTCAAAACTAAATTTATCCAAAAAAAACCTACCCCTAAAGTACTTTTCTAAAAACAAATTTTTATAAGAATTCTTGAATTTATATTCTTTTTATAATATACAAACTTTCCAAATTTTGAAATTAACCTTAAAGATACCTTTATTATTTACAAATAGAACTTTTGTAATAAATTTGAAAAAGATCTGTTTCCAAATTATTATTATTCTTTAACTCAAATGTTTTTAAAAAATGATATTACTTTATAACAAGTTATTGTATTTGTATATATAAATAAAAAATTTCGTTTTATCTTTATCTCTTTTTTTATCTTTTGGTTTCTAAATTGTAATCGAAAAACAATTTTATATTATTTTTTTATTGATCTTGCAAAATTGATATCTAAATATCAAAATATAAAATTGTTCTTAAAAATTATTATCCTAATAGACTTTCTTAAATCTAATAAGATATTAATTGAAATATATCAAGAATATCAGATATTGATATCAATCAATCTGTAACGATCTGGTTGAGGCAGCGGCTGCCTCAGGTTTTCGTCTGGTTGGTAGTTGTAGGTTAAGGCTAATAATCACGGGTTATCCATTCGAAGGTGAATACGTTACTAGATCAATTGGAATGTAGGTAAACTAATTGATAACTAAGTTGAGCACGAAGCTCCTAAACTATGAAACTACTCTGATTATATACTAATCTCTTTTCCTATGCTAGCTATGCTAGCTGGGCTAGCACGGCTAGCATTCCTGTGATGCTAGCTTTGCTAGCTGGGCTAGCAGAGCTAGCATATCACGTGATTGATCCTGAGGCCTCTCATATCCCAAGGCCTTTCCTTTCCTGGAACACTTATCCCAGGAGCTTTCCCTCTAGGAACTATAGCCCTAGGATACGATATTCTTTAGGGTGATAGTCCTATTACAACCAATTAGGTAGGACACTTGTCCTATTCTACTATGGTTGTCTAGGATACTTATCCTAGGAATCCTGGGGTCCTAGGCTTAGGTAATCAGGACCCCCGAAAGCAACGGTTAAATCACACCCCCCCTGTAGTCGGCATATAAATCACCGACGTCAATAATACTACTATAAAGAAAACCATGAATCGTGACACAATCCTAATAAGAGTTTCTATTTAATCAAAAGCTTTTAAGAAATATTTATTCTCTCATTAACTCTAATATAATTTAGATTAATTTATATAAAGGAAAACTTTTCAATAAACAAAAAAAGAAAATAAATTTCATTAACAAATATTAATCAAAAGAGACTCTTATATAATTATTTTGTTACTCAATACAATCCTTCGATTTATTAATATTATTAAGAATTATAATTCGATTATAATATTAATCATTTACTTTGTTATAAATACTAATAATAATAAAATAAAAGATAACACCTTTTAAAAAGATCTTTATTAATCGTTTTAAAATCAATCTATCCTTTTTATACTTCAAAAACTCAATAGAAAAAGATTCTATATACTGAAGCTATTTTCTTTCAATATAAAAACATTATCTTTTTTATCTTTTGTTTTATAAGTTTTTCTAAGAAAAGTTTTTTGGAATTCAAAGTTGATAATAAACAAAACTTATATATTATTCGATTACAAATCCAATGACTTTATAGAAACATATACAAAACTTCTTCAAAATAGAATCATTGAAATATATACAATTTTCGGAATCTTAAAACAAAAAAAGAAAACCTAAAGAATATATTCTTTTTTTGTATAAAACCCAACTTATAAATAAAAATAAACTATCTTCAAAAATAAGAATTTGAAGATATCTAAATTTATTAATAAAATTCTAATAGAAAAATAAAAGATTATCAATTTGAAAACTTCTTTATCTACTTCTCAGAAATTATTTCAAAAAGAAAAGGAATCTGTTTATTATATTGAATCTGAACTGAAAGATCTCTCTTTAACTCTTAAAGTATAATCGAAACGAAAAAGGGCTTTACAACAAGAAGAATTTATTATTGATCCTTCTAATATACAAGGATTATTTCCTCTCCCCGATCAAAAATAACAAAGTCCAGATCCCTCTATATCATTTTCAAAATCGAGAAAAAAGCTATCCTTACTTTCTCGAGTTTTTAAATATCTTTATTTGGGATTCGATGAATCTTTTATCTTTTTGGATATACCTTCAAAACTAAAACCTAAATACTCGAAAACTAATAAAAGTATTGATAAAAACAAAACTTTTATTAAATTACTTATTAAAAAATAAAGGATTATCTTCAAATTCGATAAATCTCCTTTTTTATAATTCAATTTTTATATCCATTCTAAAAAATTATTAATAACAATATTTCATATATTCTATATTCTAATCAATTATTTTCTTTGATAAACAAAAAGGGATATATTTCTTGAAAAAAAAGGATATAAAAAAATTGAAATTATAAATCAAATATATAAAGATTTTAATTAATCAATTATATAATCTTTTGTAATTAAATATAAAAAAAAAGTCTTTTATTTTTTCTTTTTATAATAATTAATCTTCTATATATATACATTTGAATCTATATAATATCAACTCTAAAATCATTATAAACCCTGTTTTACCTATAAGTAACATATTATAATATAATCTAATTCAGCTTTCTCTTCCAATTCCCTCCTTACAATATGTTATCAGGACACACATATCTCGACCTACCACTTTTACAATATTTCTTTAATTATATAGATAATATAATAAAAAAAGAAAAGATTTATTCTACAAAAAACCTTATAATATAATAAAAAAAACAATTATAAAAGTTTGAAATAAGTATTAAATTAAAAAAAGAATAATATTATAAAATAATAATCAATATATTATATAAATTTAAACTTTATCGAAAAATAAAACAATTTATATATAAATTTATATAATAATTATTTTATATAATCTCTCTACTTTCAGTAAGCTTGAATATATAATCTTATCTTAATCATATAATAGATTATAAAGATCTAAGAGATTTAGGAAATTATATTTTAAATCTATTAGATTTTTATAATTCAATTAATATAAAGATCTATATAATTAGAAAAGGATTCCTTTTATAAAGTTTTATACTTGAGATCAATCATTTAGTATATCTTACTATTAATTACAAATTGTAATCATTGATATTATTTTAAAAACCCCTACTTGACATCTAGTTATAAACCATTCGAGGATCTAGGCCACTTCCACGTGATCTAGATCGTATCCCTCGTAACACCTCAGTACATCAGCCCATCGACAGGATCACGCAATTGTAAGGATTTGACTGTAAACACCAAAAATTCTATACTTTCTTCTATTCAAATCTCTTTCTACATTACATTGAATTTAAATACTTGAAGATGTCTTAGCCTGATAATTTGGCTTTCAAACTTTCTGCTGCTGTCACCCCCAAGGCATCTAAGGTTCCAGTTGCCATTATCTCCAGAACACTTATCTCCATTCCAAATGTCTGCTTCCACCACCGGCGCAACTCGATAGCCATGAGTGAATCCAATCCGATCTGGGTTAGACTTAACGAAGTATCCAAGTCGTCCGCGGGTTTCATTAAGAAACTATAAACCTTCATACCGATCTCGCGAGCAAGGTATCGGGCACTTTGAGCTTCATTCAGTATCTCTGGATCATCAGCAGCTTTCGAAAGAAACGTCTGTAACTCGTTTGAACTGTCCTCTTCGCCTAGGATATGTTCGCTGATGTTATGGTAAAAGCCCATTCGTCGATCCCGACGCCAATTTGTCCGTGTGTTGGGGTCGTTGAGGTTACCTTCGGAATGCAATCCCATCACCAGCTGACTAGTGTTTATCCAAGGCGTCGAATTGTTGTTGGCTTGGTTGGATGCCGGAAGCGATCTGAGAACAGCCAGTTCCATAAAATCTAAGAGCTCGGACTCGCCCAGGAAATACAGCCCTTGAGCTTTCATATTCTTCTTCGCAAAAGCATTTTCTGCAACGAACCCTACATCTTCGATAGGACAAATATTCAACACGGATGCCGGTAATGAAAGGGAATTTCTATACTGGCAAAACGCTTCTAGGAAGGTGTTCGCACCACTGTAGTTGCCTTGACCAGGTTGTTCAACAATAGTCACCAGTGAACTAGCCAAGATGAAAAAGTCCAGCGACTGATTTTTGAGACCTTCATGAAGATTCCATGCTCCAGTTACCTTGGGGGCGTTCGCTGCTAGCCAATCCGAGTAATTCATACTTGCGATAGGCGCGTCCTGTAAATGTGTCAGTCGAATTGAACTTCTCGAAATGTATAAGGATACCCCGAAGGGGATGCTAGCAGTGCTAGAAGAAATTTAAAACATACACGAAGGATCATGGCAAGATGGATTACTCCAGCGATTCGCCGTGGCGCTAAACCGATCGCTTTCTGTACATCCTCCATAGACTCAACAAACCCGGCAACTGTGCTGACCGAGCAACCAGAGCTTTCAAGTTCACGGAAGAATTCTTGATCTTCAACCTTCTTCCCCGCACTTCTGGAGATGAATATTAAAGATCGTGCCCCGTGTTCGACTAGCCAAGTGGCAATAGGTTTTCCAAGTCCTCCTAGACCTCCTGTCAATAAGTACGAAGCGTCACCATCCAAGTGAAGTGGCATGCGTCGTGGTGCTACTTCTAGTCTGGAGGTATCCTGAGGTATGGATACAACAACCTTGCCGATGTGTGTACCATCTTTTATCTGCCCGAACGCGTCTCTTACATTGGAGGCTTCAAATACGGAAATGGGACGAATGGGTGGAATGTGACCGGCTTCAAAAAGCTCAACACACTTCCTCAGTATTCTAATAGTATCAGAGTGTTAGAAAGATTTGCAATGGTCGTTTATTTTGTGTATTTAGTGCTGGGGGTGGAAGGAAATTAACATAGGAAAACTTACGCTCCTGCTCGTTGCGGTTTCTTTTGCGCCAGATGTGTCATGTCTACACAACAATAGGATCGGTTCTGCATAAAGTTGTTCATTTGGAGCTTTCCGAAATCGAGCATGTCTTTCTTTCCAATTTCAATCATCTTGCCGAATTCTGCAACACAATTCCAAGAAGCATGCAATAGCTCTCCGGAGAGGGAGTTCAGTACGAGATCGACGCCTCGGCCGTCAGTCTCAAGCATGAGATCTTTGGCGAAGCTATCATTTCGAGAATTGAAGATACGATGACGTGGGATGTCAAACTTCTCCATAAGATACCGTACTTTATCATCGTTGCCCACAGTACAGTATATCTGATAGTGCGTCGATGTCAGTAAAAACGAACCAAACTACCAAAAATTGGTCAACTCTTACCTCGGCCTCTAACATTCGACAAACGTTGATTGCGGCGTGTCCAACACCTCCGGCCGCGGAATGTATCAAAACAGACTGTTGCGGATTAGCAGTGGAATACCAAAGACGGTGCGACAAAGAAGAATAGCGGTCCAAGCCCACACCCTCGAGAGGATTGTAATCTCACCTGTCCTTTTTCCAGCATTCCAATGTTAATTAGACATTCGATGACAGTCGTATAAACTATTGGCATTGTGGCCGCCTCTTCGAAGCTTAAATTGGATGGGATTCTTGCGACCAACGATTGGGGCACAGTTACTAGCGTCTTGAAGCAGGCATCTGGGGGCATAGCGAAAACACGATCACCCACGGCTAGGTTTGAAACCGCCGATCCGACCCGGCGCACAATTCCAGCCACCTCTAGACCTAATGGAGCGCTTTCTGTTCCAGTTTTGAGAACACCCATTGCATAAAGCACATCCTGCACACAAATTGTTAGTTGAAGAAAACTTGTAATATATCCACGCTCAACTGGGTGGCTGACTTACCTTGAAATTAATTCCAACCGCACGATTCTCAATTTCTACCTTGTCAGACTCCATAATCTCAGACCCGGCTTCTTGTTTCCACGACAGTGAGTCCAGAGATCCTGGTAGGGAAATTTCAAGACTTTTGACTACCGAACTTCCAATACTACTTGGCTGCACAAGTCTGTCCTGGTCAACAGAAAAGGTCTGGTAGCGACCGATCTTGACAACACCTTCATCAACAACATACTCCTTGTCGGGTGCAAGTACTTCCGCATCCTTGCAACGGCGAATTTTGTCTAAAACATCCTTCACCAAGCTTGAAAAGTTAGGTTCGTTGCTATCAATTTCCAAGGTATAAAACGGTATTGCGGACTCGGCTCGGATTGAACGTGCTATGCCGATAACTTGAGCTGACCTAGGGTTTTTAGACTTTACTTGGGAGAGATTCGTCACCCATAGGATGCGTCCACTCTTGTGATTATTTAATATGGCTTGGAAGGCAGAGAATCGACTTTCCGTAACGCATTCGAAGAAAGGCTTTGCTAAATCGACCAAAATGATGAGATCTTGGTCTGCTGGTGGTAGCTCCTCTACTTGACATATAGTGCCTGTCGTTCCCGGGGGTTGAATATCCTCAAGTAAACGTTGACTGAGTTCCTGCTGTGAATCTTCACAAATAATAGTCACTGGACGGACGTCGCCAATATCTGATGCTTCTCCTTCTCGGCCCAACTTTCGAGAAACAATCGCTGCACAGTAATGATACGGCTCTTCTGCATCCCGAACTGCTGTATCAACCCCTGAGAAGCCAGTTCGCTTCAATTCTTCGTCCCAGCGTTCAACAGAAACATATGGTTCTTGGGGTCTTCCGTCTTCCTCACCAAGCCACCATCCGGAGAAGTTGCCAAATATATAATTAGGAGTTCGCACAACAGCACATAGTTCTGTCAACACGAGCAATCCCCCAGGTTTTAACAGCAGCTGCAAATTCATAAGTGTTTCATTTAGTGATGGTGTGGCGTGGATGACATTTGGAGCAAGTACAACGTCATAGCTTTCTGCTTCAAATCCTTGCTTTATCGGCGACTGTGAAATATCGAATACTTTATAGTCCATATTCGGTGCGTACGAAAATCGCTCCTTTCCTTGTGTAAAGAAGCCTGCTGAGATATCGGTAAAAGTGTATAGAGAATATGGAGGGTGACCACCAGGTCTGATCAAGTTCCGCAAGATCATTTCGGTAGTTCCTCCAGTTCCAGCACCAACCTCAAGAATGCGCAAGTTGGGTCGTGTATGCGCCATCAGACGAAAGAAGTCACCTTTGCCAAAACTCACAGCGTTGTAAATTTCCGTCAGTACATCGTCCTGCATCAAAATATCAAGCGTATCGCGGCTGCCAGAGAAGATTGCCTCCATGTTGTCATATATTCGCTTGATCCCGATTGCCACCGAACTCTTCTGTAACCCAAGCAGCTTCTGGTACCTCTCTTCGATCATGCTTTTGCGGGTTGTTGATGGAAGTGTAACGAAAGCTATACTTTCCTTCTCGAGCAGCGGATAAGTACCTTGCTTGGCCCTGTCTATTTCGAGGTCTAACCAGTCACGGAACTTGGAAAAATGCTCTTGACAAGGCTTAACACCTTTTATTATCTCAGCAGACTCCAGTATACATAGCAGTGTCATCTCTTCTTGCATTCGTGTCTCCAGGGCGACCGATGGTGGTGGGGTGAACAGTGGTGCATGATCAATCATGTCAAAATCCGGTAGCCACTCTAGTCGTGCAGCTGCATGTGATTCATCTTTTGATGAGCGTTCATTATCCATGGGAGTTAATTTGAGACCCTTTAGCTGGAGTGCTAACCTTCCATCAGCTATGCACTCGACTGTAAGGTCTTCGAAGCCTTTGCTCCATGCTATGGCGTCCATCTGAGCCGCGCCGTTGGAGATATATAAGTCTTCGATTATTGTTGGCATTCGGAGATCACCAAAATTCCGACCAATCCCCTTTGCCAATGCAACCAAGAGGAGTTGTAAACAGTTGTCGATAGCCACTGGATGTAGAAGGAACGCTGGATCTTCATTGTGATCCTCGTGGGCGATTTTTGCCGCAGCCAAGTTTTCTTTGGTTGATGATACAACATCTTGTAAGGCTTGAAAATTGGGCCCATAGACGACTCCAATTTTGTCCATAGCTTGGTACCATTGCGATGAAATGATCTTTCGAGGTAAAAGCTCATTTTGAATCTGACGGGATGGTAACACAGGCTCTGTACAAGCTCTGATTTGCCCTTCGCAATGCTTAACCCATGTTGAGCCGTTGAAGGACGAGATCCGAAATTCGAACCAACTTGAATCAGTCAAATCTCCCAACTTCACTAATCTTAAGCTTGTCAGTACTTCAACAGACTGTGATTCTTGTATCACAAGTGCAGACTGAGCAACCGCGTGCTTGACCCTGTACCCTGCCTCTATACCCGTCAGTTGTCTTACAGCCTCTCCGGCCATGGCAATGTAGCCGGCAAAAGGAAATACCACGTCGGATCGAATTCTATGGTCTCCCAACCATGGCTCATCTTCTATTGTCAACATGTTTCGCCATAGCGGTTCCAAACTTGAGCTTTCGGGTATCCGAAGGCCCAAAAGGCGATGGTGCCCAAATTGGCGGAAACGCCACTCTTTGGATACACGAGGCTCATACCAAAATGACCCTGTATGATCCCAAGCATATCGAGGCAAGTTCGTGAGCACCTTTCCAGTGGTGACTACAGTATTCCAATTAACAGTAATGCCATTTTGGTATAACTGACCCAGTGCTGAAAGAAAGGTGTCGGTACAAGATTTACCACGAAGCATTGTCGGGACGTATCGAAATTCAGACCCGCCCACTGCGGAAATCTGCCGCAAAGGGCCTGAGAGTGTTGAGTGAGGGCCAACTTCAAGGAACAAGCCGTTTGGTCTTTCTACCTGTAGGCGAGAAATTGCCGAGTTGAAGCGTACCATGGATGTGAGATTGGCAACCCAATACTCTGGGCCAAGCTCTGCACTATTCGTGATCTCCTTTTCCACTACCGAAGAGAAGAAGGAAGTTTTGGGATTTTGACGTGTCAGTTCTTGTTTTTGTAGTTCATCCACCAGTAACTTGTGGTAGTTCGAGCCTAAAAGCTTCATGTGATCTATTGATTTATTTTCAGCATATGATTGGGATCAAAGTGTGAGACAGCAATTTGAACCAAGGACAATGGATCTAGAAGGAAAAATAGCTCACCAGAATGATACGCCATATCAACTTTCAGTCGTCTCGCAAGAACATCAGGATTATCTCCTCTGATGGTTGCGAACACCTCATCAAGTGTATCGACGTCTCCTGAGAGTGTCACACTACTGGGACTGTTGTCGCACGCAATTATCACACCATCTTTGAGGTACTTTGAAGCAGCATCAACCCCAAGTCCAACAGCTCCCATACCGCCAATTCGCTTTTGTTCCTTGGTCACAAAGCCACGATAGTAGGCGGATATGATGGCTTCGGCCAGAGATATTGCTCCGCTTGCATACGCTGCCGCAATCTCTCCGCTAGAATGGCCAACGACGGCACCTGGCTCAACTCCGTTGCGTTTGAGCTTTCGGACAAGTGCAATTTGCACCGCGGTGCACAGAGGTTGAGCCAGTTCGGCCCGATGAATTTGACTTGAGCTAGGTGGAGCTTGGAGCTCCGCTATTGCAATACAAACAGGAATTAGCTGGTGTCATACACGATTTGGAAGTGGTAAAGAAGCTTTGAGACCTGGAGCGAGCCTTACCATCGAGTGTCCATGATGGAGGATGAATCAACGATTGGAGAATCTGATCCATTTTTGCAATATCTTTACGGAACTCATTGTCTTTCAGAAGAATATCTTTGCCCATTTCTGGCCATTGCGCTCCTTGCCCGCTGAAGACCATGATGATCTCCGGGATGGTGGTAGGAACCTTGACACTAGCTGATGTTTCGGTAATCGAGTTACCATCGCCGATCAGTTTGAAACAACGGTATGGCAAATGCTCCCTGTGGAGGGCCAAAGTGTATGCCAGGTTTAAACTGTCACCAGAATCTTGTGATATGTACTCCTCGAGGCTTTCGTTATATCTGTGAAGCGAATCCTGTGAGTTTGCGGAGAGAAGGGCAATATATGCCCCGTGGTCATTCTTCCCGTTTTGAATGTGGGAATGATTAGTAACTGAAGACTCAGTTGACCCGTCAAGCACAACCTGTAATTAATTAGTGTCGGACTCTTTCAAATGTTTTGTATAACACAGCTGATATTAACAGATGGAAATCCCCAAATTTGAATGGATCTCGACTACTCACATGAGCATTGGAACCGCCAATACCGAAGGAGTTTATACTGATTCTTTTCGCTCGATCTTTTGGCCACGATATCGCTTTGACAGGTACTACAAGCTTCTTCGCTTCGAATTGAACTGTAATATGTTAAAGCTAGACTCGCAATGGTTATTGCAGTTGAAATGAGTTTCAGTTGCTTCAAGCTGCGGCAAGATTCGATTTATACGTACTTTTTGGGTTGGGATTGTTGAATTTGATATTGGGAGGAATAGTGTCATGCTCCAAAGCGAGAACCGCTTTGATTAGACTGGTCATTCCAGAAGCACCTTCAGAATGTCCTACGTTAGGTTTGACCTATCAACTTTAGTGGGAATCCCTTTGATAATGCTTTGGTTTGGTACTAACGGAACCTATGTAAACTCCTCGGGTACCAAACACATTCCCCACCGCTCCAGCCTCGATCGGATCACCAGTCGGAGTTCCAGTTCCATGGCACTGTTATAGCGAGCAATTGTCAGCTTCTACTTTATCACTAATGTTTTCAGGGATGTTAGACGTTGTACCTCAACAAATGCTGTGTCGGATGGATTGAGCAATGCATCCTCATAAACTTTACGAATTAACGCTTCCTGACTTTTTGGATTGGGGGTCATCAAGCCCTGACTTTTTCCATCACTATTGGTCCCCGTGTTACGGATAATTGCGCGAACTGGGTTATTGTCTCGAATAGCGTCATCCAAAAGCTTTATATATATAGCAGTAACAGCATCACCACGTGCATAGCCATCAGCTGCCACATCGAAGGTTTTGCAAGATCCTTCAGGTGATAAGATACCTTCCTCTGTCATTGCTGCCGTTGTCGCAGGCCCCATGATCATATTTGCTCCAGCAACAATTGCACCTGTGCAGTCGCCATTTTGTAGCGCTCTGCAAGCTTCGTGCAAACCGACTAGTGAAGCAGAACACCCTGTCTTAATCACCATACTAATGGCAAATTTGTATTAGCAAAGCTGATGATAAATCTCGATGGCCGAGCCTTTCACGCACCTTGGACCCTTCAAGTCATACTCATATGAAACACGATTTGCGAGCATAAGATCACCTGTAGATTTATCAGTATAAATATCTCCTTGCGAGCTCTGATTTTCACTTCACGACAACTTTTGGGGCGGAATTGGTCATACCATGTCCAGTCATTATGTATCCACCGGAATGTTGCGATTCCTTGGCGCTCATCTGAAGCCAATCCTCTGCAAAATTACCAACGTAGCAACCGATGGATTTGCCACGATATCCAATCTCTCCCGAATTCTCTAGAGCTTCCCGAGTAACCTCGAGTATCTGGCGCTGTTGGGGATCAGTGCGCTCCAGTTCCTTCTTACTCATTGTGAAGAATGAAGTATCTAGAGCTGTGAGATCTTCGTCAAGAAAATATCCGAACTTCGTCTTGATAGCACCTTTTTTGCCCATCTTGTCAGTAAATCCATCAGAATTGTACCTATCTGGCGGTATTGGTCCCCTAGTGTCTTTCCCATTGACTAGCACATCCCAGAAAGTTTCACTGTCTCTAATACCTCCTGGAAGTCGCATAGCCATCCCGCATATTGCAACTGCACGGGGTGCACACTTAACTCCATTGGAAGTTTCTCCATTGGTATATAGATGGGCGAATGATTTATTGTCCGCGTCTGTAGTAGAATGGAAACCGTTGGTCTTGGGCTTGTAGTCTGCCACTCCATTGGTATCATTTGGAGCTTTCAAGACTGGAGGCATTGAAGTATGAAGAATATCAATCGGAGAGGTTGCCATCGTTGAAATTTTATACAAGCAATCAACCACAAAGTCGCTTTCACAATACTTGAATGCTTATACAGAGAAATTCTTTAATCAGAAACCTCTTTCGTTGGAACATCTACTTATAAGAATGTTAATGTTTTTAGATATACATTCATGCGTCATCTAGTGTTATCTGAACTGTGTATCAAGGGTATCTACCAGTGCAGTCTGGATGAAGTACGGCCTTTGCATATTGTATGAAGCGTGTTTAGTGGCGTATGGAAGATGATCCAATCGGCTTTCCTAGGTGGACAACTATGCGATCGAGCTATAAGCTTACTTCCCAAATTGGTGTAAACCTGAACTTAGGGAGCCGTTTGGTGCCGTTCCGATCTACACTAAGTCCATTTTTCGAATCCGTATTTATGTGAAACGATAAAAATGTGTCTGCACACTATAATTTTTAGCGAAGAAAAGATAAGCACCACAGCTTTAGTCCAATAAAGATCTATCTTGTGTTATCATCTGGTTGCTGATTTGATGTTTACTCGATCGATCATCAGTTTTTCTTTCTCAAAGCTAGTGAGAACGGTATGGCATAAGCTGAAACTCGCAGGATATGCCTTTTACTAGCTCGTAATCCCATGAGACTCGGATAGTTCCTGTCACGCGGAGTCCATCCAGACCGGGACCGCACCGGGACCGCACCGGGACCAGCTTCATTCCGCGTAATCTCTATGCCTATTTCTAGTGACGTGGTGTTAAAAGCTATTTTGAAGTAGTTTGATCAGATTAGGCTAGTAGCAGTTATTCCAAATTCCGAGTAGTTTATCATATGTCTATAACTTTTATGTCCCTTCCCACTTCCTTTTTCGCTTTGTGCTCTGAACAAACCTCACCACTTGCGAGTTCGTGCTACTTATTGAAGCTTTCTTAATATGGAATACTCTGTACAAGAGGATCACTCCTCCATCCCATTTCCTGAAGGTCTTCCTTGCATAGATCTTCCTCGAGTTTCGTTGAAAAGACTCCTCGAAAATGACGAGGATGAAGCTCAGAAAATCTTTGACATCTGTAGCAGTGTTGGATTCTTCTATCTCGACTTGACCGATCACCCTACAGGCAAAAAGATGTGGGATCAATGTTGTGAGGCTTATAAAGCTGGGCAAGAGACACTTCCACACGTTTCAATGGAAGATAAATTGGCTTACAAGGCAAGAGAAAGAGTTGGAGTTTTTGATATGGGGTAAGCCTTTGCATCATTTGTTCAACGCTTCCTTCTTTGACAAGAATGAGATTTTTTTGACTTTTGAAAATCGATAGATATAAATGTCCAAGTGTTGATAAAAATGGTCAACCAAAATTCAGTGAGGCTTTCAACGTGAGTAATGACATCTCAATCAACAGCCTCTAGTAGCATTTCATTAAGATTTTCAAACTAGATTCCTCTTTATGAACTTCTTGTTGACGAAAAATCCGGATTTCAATTACCGGCATGGCTTTCTAAGTACAAGGAGCTGTTCGAGAATCTTCTCAGACAAGGGAATAAGATTTGCAATATACTCCACGACATTCTAGAGAAAAAACTCCAAGTTTCGCCTGGAGCACTCACATCTCTTCACCGTGTAACCGACCCATCCAACGACTTCCTACGCATTCTTCGTTATCCAGGTACGATCGCTGTTGAAAACCCCAATCAAGTCAATTTTCCTCCCCATCGCGACTCGGTCAGCATCGCAATGCTTTTTACAATGGTAGGGGGACTGCAGATTCTTGACCCAAGATTCGATATGCATGCCGCCAAGAATGGTAGCGAGAATGGATGGCGATGGGTGAAGCCCGTCGACGGCCATGTGATTGTCAACCTTGGTGATGCCCTCGCCATTCTTACGAACGGAGTGTTAAAATCCGGATTCCACCGGGTCGTGACATCACCAAAAGATCAGGCGCCTCTAGACAAATACAGCGTACTTCTATGCTGCCGACCTAATCTTTCAACTTTGATGACGCCACTCACAAGTCCGATAATCCCTCCTTTGACAGCAGAGCAAAAAAAGGAACCGGTCCAGACTTGTGACGAATGGGGTGCAACGAACGTTCAAAGAGTCTACAGTGTCCTTGAAAACAGATAAATTTGCAGTTAATCCTCCTGTGGTTAGCCTGGGCTTCTTTTCCTTTCTATCACGTTAAATGCAGATGAGCATTGCAACGCCTGGGAAATCGTAATCCAAACGTTCCTTATCCATTGAGCGAGGTCTTCTCTGTATTTAAGTCCTACACAAACATCCACAGAAGTATGTCTTCAAGTTGCGATAAATTTTACTAAGATCTTACATCTTCTGGCTGTAACTTTCTTCTTCGCTCAAAGGTCTCTTCAGGAGTGCATGACAGAGGGAAAATCTAGGAGTCTTAAATTTCAATTATGGAGGAGTACTTGCTCTAACTTCTCGTGATATAGAATATTTTAGTGTACCTTGTTTCGTGTTGTTTTGGCTCTGTTCGCCATCTTTTCTACCATCTTTTGGTTTCCCATCAAAGCTCCAACAGTTTGATACGAGCTAGCACCCAGACATACATGCAAATCGAGTCTGTAGGTAGGTATCTGCTCAATTCTTCACACTGACTTCATTATTTACGAAAAGTGTCGAGAATTTCACAGAGTTACTATGACTCTGTGACAATTTCTATTATAAGCGGCATACTACTCCTACGCACACTGTTGATCTATTACGCGTTTCCGAAGTTGATCATATCTGCCAAACACTAACTTCAGCATTAAATAGTGGTATTGAGAGTCGCAAGATGCTTACCTGTTTCGAGCTCCAATTGGTGTCCGCTCGGGAAAATATCTCTCCACAATCTCAATCCATCTGCGACCATGGGCCCTCACAGCTTGTCTGAGCGTCTCGTCCTGTTGGGAAGAAGTCAACTCCCATACTCTCGACGATTATGGTATCGTGGTATCACTGAACTGCAAAGACATTCACGGGGCAGCTTTTTATAATGATTGCCGTACCTCTAAGAGTGACCAGCGGTCTCGGTTGATATTTGGCTTTAAATTTTCGTGCCAGCGTCGTGATGACTCTGCATTTGCGGTTAGATCCAGTTCAAATCAAATTTGATGCTTTAATAATAAGGAAGACTAACGGTCGGGATTTCTCGTCACTATTAAACGCGAAACTTGAGCCCATCTTTGCAGCGTTATAGCAGTCAGTAATGAATTCCGTTTCTAGATGTGCACATCACACTAGTAGAAAACTAAGACACTAGAAAAGCCCCTTTTCAATAAATAACTAGCTGTTCAATACTAACTTTGTTCCGTAAATTTGTACACCTTCTCGCAGAAGCCGATCTTCTTCGGCATCCCATGGCCCTTTATGAATTGACGGAGCCAGCGAGTACACCCAGCGTTTCCGGCAATCTTTGTTACTCCGGTTGGCGATTGTAGCAGCAACTTGGTACCAGTTTATTTGTCTCGAAAGGCCTGCATGAATTTCGTGTTAGAGTAAAGACATTCTTACCGTGAGCTTGGCTTTGTCCAATAATGAAAGTTGATTTAATGACGAACATACCCTGCTCAGCTACGCTTCTTCTTAACTTTTCATCTTCGTCCAAAGTCCATGATCCTGCCGAGTCTGCCATTGTTACAAGCAAGAACCAGGACAAAATACGCCTGGATTCGAAAATGAGATGGAAAATTAAGTGCGTGATCCTATCCACACAGCCTCCAGAATCGATCAAAACTACAAGACTAAATATTGGCACAAAAAATACGAGAATAAGCTGGGACAAGCGGACACCCCCGAGCTTGGTACGTCGTCTCCAGCATTTCTCCAGCTTTAACCCTCTCTTGGGTAGAAGGGCCCACAGGATAAGCGTGCAGATTACATGTACATGCGGGTATCAATAGCTTATAACTCAAAATTACAGGGCTTCGGTCGGTCAGACGTCTTGGTGGGGAATAATCTCATTAAAGTGATTCAGCTATATAAAGGATAGTAGAAGTGGAGGTTCTTATATTAAGCTTACTTCTGAGCCTGTAAAATACATATTTAACTTTCTAAGGGATATAAAGATTAAAAAGATAGGTAATAAAAACAATTTTATTATCATTATTTGATTTTCTTAATATTATTTTTATCGTAAATAAAAGAAGTATAATAATAAATTATTTTGATTATAATTCCTTTTTAATTATAAAAAATAATATTAAAATTATAATATATTATATATATATATTTATTTATAGAAAGCTTTGATGATATTTTTATTGTATTTTATAAAAGTTTTAAAATATTTATTAATAAAAAAATTAATTCTTTGAAATTTTTTAATTATATTAATTATTATTGATTTTATCAATATCAAAAGCTTACTATATATATATATTATAAAAAAAATGAGAAACTCGTTTAAGTAAATCACGATCTGAATAATCTGATTGGTCTAAAATACCCTTACAAGAAATCTAATAAAAAGCTTAATACAAGCCTCAAAACCTCAGATATATCTAATTTGAAGCTTTTTTCAATTCAACTCATTCAATTCAACTCATTCAATTCAGCTCACTCCATCCAACTCACTACATTCAGCTCACTACATTCAGCTCACTCCACTCAGTTCACTCCATTCAGTTCACTCCATTCAGCTTACTCCATTCAGCTCACTCCATTCAGCTTACTCTATCCAGCTCACTCTGTTCAACTCATTCTGTTCAACTCATTCCGTTCAACTCATTCCGTTCAACTCATTTCCATTAAACTCATATAATAATAATAATAATAATAGTAATAATAGTAATAATAGTAATATTTTATTACTCTTTTGATTTTTAATCAGATTTTAAATTATCATTTGAATAAGATTCTAAATTATAATTTAAATGATTTGTTAAATAATTTTTTTTAATTAAATCAACAATTTATTTATATTGTTATGTAATATTAAAATTGAATTATAATAAAAAAAATCTTCTCAAGAAAGCCAGGGGTCCAGGGATCGTAGGCCTGTGGTATATATTTATCAAATTTTATCAAAATATAATTTTTATTTAAATATTAATAATAATTAATTGACTTTGAAGAGTTTTAAACGATTTTGTTACTAACTCTTTAGGATTTATAATACTTATTTATTTAGATTTCGTTATATAAATTTTTAATTGGGCGGTGATATGATTATTAAACACTCTGTTTATAAAACAAGCACGGGCTTTTTTTTGGCCGTGTCTCACAATACTTACCCCATCGATCCCAATGCATAACTAGAGGTCTTGAGGGCAATCACACCTTCCATAAACTGCCTAACAACGTGGTGTGCACGTTGGATTAACCCATCATACCCTGACTAGGTATGGTAGGGTTTCGTTTATTTTGATTGGCTTGGCAATCTACAGCCATTTCAGACGCTTCCGTAGATTCGGCTCGGTCCGTGTTCAAATACAACACCTAATACGTAGCTTGTCAGATTATAGCTTGACTTTTCGAAGGATTGAGTGTCAGATACTAATTGATTCTTTAACTAATTTTATACGAGAGCCCGTTAACCGGGACAATGGGCCATTTGAAAGCATATTTTATTAGAGCATTATATGATGATCCTTCTTTTAGGTTTTTGAAAGTGAGCTGAAAATCGGTGAGTCAGTTAATCTGCCATGGGGCGGTTCATTGTATTGTCTAATGTCTTTTACCCGCTTTCAATATTACTGCGCAAATTAGGGAATCTCGATAGAAGCAGGTCCATCAACAGCATATAAAGCATTATGATCATACCTTGGTAGCATATGATATCACAGTTGACATTTACTTAGTTGTTCAACATGAGTACCTCAACATTCGCTGCGAAGGCTCTAGCCGTCTATCTCTTATCTACAACCAATGTGCTGGCCACCAGACCTGCAACCTCCAACCTTTTCAGTAGCTCCTTCGGGCTTGCAGGCCAGAATGGTACCTTTGATTATGTAGTGAGTTCCAATCTTTGTTCCAAAAACTACTCTTCCGTCTTACTAACTAAACAAATCAGATCGTGGGAGGAGGCACCTCTGGGCTCACTACAGCCGCACGGTTATCTGCAAATGGTTCTTTCTCTGTTGCTATCATTGAGGCTGGTGGCTTTTATGAGGTTGATGCTGGCAATATCTCAACCGTGCCAGCCTACGAATCTAATTATCTGAATGCACCGCCTACTGTTGATTGGAAGATATACACGACAAACCAGGCGGTAAGACCATTTTAAGGAGACCGTTCAAAAACCATAAGTCTAAATGCTGACTTTGTGGATCGTTTTTCGCAGCAACTTGATGGACGCTCTATACTCTACTCTCAAGGGAAAACATTGGGAGGCTCGTGAGTTACTTCCTCACCCCCTCAAGCTCTCTCTAACACGCACTCTATAGATCCGCTAGAAATGGCATGGCTTATTCAAGGTATGGATTACATAGTGACTCTCAATAGGAAGTTACAATACCATAGAGTTGGCAGCTAACTTGATTCTGTCAGAGGTACGGCCAGCTCGTATGACATGTGGGCCAACCTAGTTGGAGACAGTAGCTATAGGTTCGAAGAACTTCTTCCTTACTTCAAGAAAAGTGTTCAATTCAGTCCTCCAAATGTGAGCCTTCGTGGAGGGCCACCTGTTTTGTACAATCAATCAGGATTCAGCTCGACTGGAGGACCTCTGCAAGTTTCGTACTGGAACTATTATGTCCCAGTTTCCAAATATATTCGAAGGGGACTGGAGAGCCTTGGCTTTAAAGAAAATGGGCAAATCCAGAACGGCAAACTTCTAGGATTTGCTCAGTTCCCAGCGACACTGCAACAAGAGTCTCAGCTTCGCGACTCCTCCCAAACCTCGTTCCTAAATTCGGCCATAGCCACCTTTTCAGGACCGTTAGTCTACCCAAATACGCTTGCTAAGCAAATTTTGTTCGATGGGAAGAAGGCAACCGGTGTTCGTGTCAATACGGCTGGATGGGAGTATATTCTTTCGGCCAAAAAAGAGGTTATTCTCGCGGCAGGTCCAGTATGTTTCCAGTCTATAAAGAAGTTCCTACGGAAATTCTCTAATGATTTTATAGTTTCACAGCCCGCAGCTGCTCATGGTTTCTGGCGTAGGCCCGGAAGAAACTTTACAGCAGCTTGATATCCCGGTTGTTAGTGCTCTTCCGGGTGTTGGACAAAATTTGATGGTATGTAAAGTTTGCATTGAGTGACTCGAATCTTTCGGGATTTCCGCATATCAATCTCATTTTTTTAAGAACAGATATACTGACAGTTCTAGGACAATGCTGGCTTTGGTACACTTTATCCTGTCAATGCGGTTAGCCAACATCGTCTTTGGAACAACGAAACATACGCCATGGAAGCACAAAATGAATTTTACAACAGTCGGTCTGGTCCCTTAACTGCCTTTGCTAGTAACTATATCCGTAAGTCTGATTGAGTCCTCAACCTAAGTCCTCCTTGAAGCTATATTTATTCAACACTAATACGATGAATGCCGATAGTCTGGGAAATAATGCCTAACAGTACCACTGTCAATGGTACCACACGTAGCGCGCTCTCGGCCATGTTTCCTTCTGATTGGCCAGACTTACAAGTCATCTTTAACGCAGCAGGAGCAGCCGTTAACACGACAGGCGACTTTATCAGTGTTGGAATAGTTATCTTGAAGTCAACTTCATTGGGCTCCGTTTCGATTAACTCTTCTGACACGGCTGATCGACCCTTGGTGGACGTTAATTGGTTTGATACAGTGTCTGACCAGCAACTAGGAATGTAAGTATGAATGCGCGTCTTCTAATCCTACCGATAGAATCAATACTCACTTCACAAATCTCTAGTCAAGGATTACGACGAGCTCGTGTTTTCGCTAATGCGACCGGCGTCTTGGCAGGAGCAGAAGTTATTCCAGGACCAGCCGTCCAGACTGACGAGGAAATACTTGAGTGGATCAAGACAGCGGCAAGTCCAAGCCACCATGCTGCGGGAACTTGTATGTTGATCTTTCTCTCTGGTTTCAATTCATCCACATTAATCTTGTCCTCATAAATGCTATGGTATAGCGGATGACAAGAAATATGTATATTGGATCATTTGTCTTTGATACGCAAGTATTCGAGTGCACATTTTTGACTGACTTTGAACTTAGGTAAAATGGGTCTTGCTAATGACACATCCGCCGTAGTTGATTCACACGGATGCGTTATGGGTGGCATCTCTGGACTGCGTGTCGTCGACATTAGCACTTGGCCAGTCCTTCCTCCTTCAGGAGCGCCAGTCGCAACCGTGTATGCAATTGCAGAAAAATTAGCACAGGATGTATTGTCAGGACATAAGTGTGTTTAAGCAGGACAAACCAAGAACCTTTTGGAAGTGAAGAGTAGATTGATAACATAAAGGGACCTATCACTGGGTTATTTGGAGTTGGGGATGTAATTGTATCTTTTGTCACGGGTTCAACCCCGTTCCTTAGTTGATGCCTTAGGCATCACATTTCTGTATATTATAATTTCAAATTCTTAGAAAATAATCTTATTAAATAATTTTTATAAAGTTTAATTTGATAAATATTATTAATAATTATTTAAAAATAATAATAATTAAAACTTGAAAAAAAAAATATATAAAATCTTTTTAAATTAAAATTAAACTTAAATTTATATATCAAATTAAATATTTTAAAGACTTTATTAATAATTTTAAATTAAATTTTTTGATCAATTAATAAAACACTATTAAATTAAATATAATTTTGATTATAAAGCTTTTAAATATTATAATCTATACTTAATTTCTTTTCTTATATATTCTAAAGCGATATTTGTGACGTACAAAAGCCTTATAAAAGCTGAATAAACAGAGTCAATTATATTCCTTAGAATCTACAACTGAAGAACTATCGCTCATAAAGAGCATCTATATATATATACAAAATACCTATACAGTAGCTGCATAATTGTACACACCCTACCTTAGGGTAACCATAATCCCATACTAAAAAGGGTAAATCTGGCCAGATATACACAGGAAAAGGAATCACATAATCGTTCCTATACGAGATCCGTAACAATATTCATCTTTTTAGTTTTTATTTAAGGTTATCGGACGACGGTATTTTTAAACCATGCCGTAGTTTACCCACACCAACCCTTAAGCATGTCATCCCCATCCCATTCGCTTCTGCATACCTAAGTCTGTCTTGCATTTACGAATTTCTGAAACGACGAATGCATCGCAAATTTCCACATGCAGAAAGTCAATCTACTTAATTAGATTAACCTAAACGCCTTGTTCTACCAGATTATTTGACCCAGCTAATGAATTATTTCTTGTACTATCCTTATCCTACCTTTCGATGCTGCTGGATGGCCGCCAGGAAGTAAAAGACCTAACAAACAGTATTGTGTTTACTGTTTACTAGGTGAGGTGAGGAGGTGTGGTTGTGGGCAAGCAATAAGTACACCTTCTGAGCCACAGATAAAAGGGTCTAGACAAATACAACCTCGTTGTCTGCCTTTACAATTCCCACCTTCGAAAATATAGAAATAAACACCAGAAATAACTGTCGTATCATCCTATTCCGTCGCATCACCCATCGGTACTTCCATCCTGTCAAAACCACCGCCAAAAACACTAAACTATCTTATTCATCTAATAATCAATATAAATCTGCACCTTGCAAGTCCAGACCACAACCACAACATTCTGTGTATCGTGAAGAACAACCCCAGCACAGATGTCGAGAAACCTTAACTCTATCGAATACTCCTCATCATCATCTATAATACAATCGAGACATGAGACCAGACGACGGGTCTTCGACCACCATCACCAGGTCAGAAACCAAAACCATGTTACTCTGCCTCGAGCACTGTTAATACGCATCCTAGTAGCCCCATACCCAGACCCAACCCGTTTAATATCACGATAGGATGAGACGATGTGACATTTTATGACAAGTGCGGGCTATAAGGCGAACCATAATCCATGCTCTCTATGGGTATCTGTTACTATGCGCCCCTCCCCTCCATCTCATCTACATGCATGTATCATCATTCATCCGTTCGCCTCTCCATTTCTCCTTTCTCCAAACCAAGCCCAAGACTCTAACCTAACCTAACCTAACCTAACCTAACCTAACCTAACCTAACCTAACCTAACCTAACCTAACCTAACCTAACCTAACCTAACCTAACCTAACCTAACCTAACCTAACCTAACCTAACATAACTCAACACAACCCAACACCCAAACTTCTCTTCCCTCCCTCCCTCCCTCCCTCCCTCTCCCCCCGCCCCAATCCATCACCCAAACCTCCCAAGCTCAAATCGCAACAGATGCACCACCTACCAGTACCAAGTTCCAACACCACTTCCTGTAGCGCGCCAAGGCCTATCAAATAAGTCTCTGTACAGTGTACGTGCCTGTCCGTCCGTACCTATCCTATACATACCTGTACCTTGCAGCGAGCGGCATCCAAAACAAGAGCAAACAAGCCCCGACCCAGTTCCCACGCCATCCCATCCAATCCCCTAGCAAACGGCACATTTTACCCCTTGTACAAACACAACGTACGTAATCCAAGGGGCGGCATCATCCACGTTCATTTTGCTCGTCTTGAAATTTCGCAAGAGGAGAGAGAGAGGCTGTGAGAGAAGGGTTAAATTTTTTAACTTTTTTTGATGCTTTTTTAATAAATCTCTGTCCATTCTAGTTGTCTAAGGGTATAAGTTGTAAATGAAGGGGATGGAGTAAGTGAATGAATAATAGAATATCTATTAATCAAGAGTACAAATTTAAAATCTAAGGATACCACCTATCATTCATTCATTCATTCATTCATTTTTACTTTTATTTCTATTTCTATTTCCAATCATTCTAGAATTTAAAATTTATTCTCCTGTCATCAATTACAATTTCAATTTTGACTTCAAGTGTCTCATTCCTACGGCTTCTACTTAACCTTACTGTACAACAAACAGTACTGTATATGAAGCGCCTAGGATTATTTAATAAATAAATGCTCTTTTTTTCCCCGCGGTGCATAACCACAATCACATAGTATCAAAAGATCCATCCATCCATTCATTCAGGAACAGGAACAGGTACAGGTACCTGCCTACCTACCTACCTACCTACATAACATACATGATACATTCCAACTTCAGCGCCAAGATCTAAACACGAAAATATCCCACCCACCTCCACAAATTCAAACTTTAGCCATTTGCTTTTTTATTCTCATCTTTTTTATTAAACCTTTTTAAACCTTCCAACTAAACCTTCGAACCCTTTTCTTCCCGCGACGTCTGGACAACGCCTTTCTTGGACATTTTTGCTTCATTTACATTCCTTAACCCACCTTCCATCTATTTCGATCCCTTGGACGATTATCACTGTGTTTCGCTGGTCATACGCGAAATTATCTCTCGCTCATTCACTTATCCACTATCTAACGGCGCAAGACGTCCATTTACAAACGAAATAAGCCACCGACAACCAATTTTATATCTCCTGCTGGCCCGGATTGAATATTGAATCACCTATCTACCATCACTTACTTATCACGTCGATCATTCATACAAAATATAACATCTAGACCTTTCTCTCATCCTCCACAACAACATGTTTTCCTCTTCGATATTTGTGGCTGCTCTCGCCATGGCTAAGATGGTGGCTGGTGAGGCAGCATCTGGAAGTTATACTCCAACCACACCAACTACACCCGAAGCAAAAGCTTCTGCTGCTGCCGCCGCGGCTCTCAAAGCCAAAGCAGCCATGTTCAACCAGGATTTTCATGATTACATCTTTATTGTTCTTGCTTCCTTGATCGTCGCTATGGTGGTTTGGAGAGTCGGGATGGAGTCCGTCAAATATGTGCGAACTATGGCATCACTCAACAACGAGACTCAGAGATACTTTGCTATTCCTTCCCTTGGTTTTGCAAAATTTAAGAAGCACGTCCTCTATGCTCCTATCTTCGGCAAGAGACATAATAGGGAAATTCAAATAGGAAAAGCCGTCAACGTTGGTACACTTCCAACCAGATTTCAATTTGCCTTCCTCTTGGCCTATTTCGGAACAAACATTGCGTTCTGTGCCGTTAGCATTACCTGGGATCAATCATATACTGCAGTTGCGCAGCAGCTTAGGAATAGAACTGGTATTCTTGCCGTTATTAACATGGTAGGTTGAAGAACGAGGAGTCCACATGTCCATCACGTGCTGACCATCTATTAGATTCCTCTTTTCATCATGGCGGCGCGGAACAATCCCTTGATTAACTGGCTCAACATGTCTTTCGATACATTCAATCTTTTGCACAGATGGACTGGACGTATCGTAACTCTTCAGGTTATTGCCCACGTTGCCGCTTGGGCTGCTTCCAAAGTTCATACTTCTGGTTGGTCCGCAGTCTGGTCATCGATCGCGAAAAGCCCTATGCTAACTTATGGCGCTATCGTAAGTTCTTTCTTTAAAAAAAAACAAGTATTGTGCTAAAATCAGCAGGCCACGATCGCCACTATTGTAATCATGATACAGGCTAGCTCGCCTGTTCGCCATGCCGCATATGAAATTTTCAAATACCTTCATATCGCGCTAGTCATCGTTTTCATCATCGGTATCTACCACCACTTGAAGTTAGACGATCTTCCACAATTACGACTTCTCTGGGGAGCCATTATCCTTTGGATTACGGAACGTGTATACAGAATCGTTACAGTTGCGTACCGAAACTTCGGAAAAGGTACCTCTAAAACATTGGTGGAAGCCCTTCCAGGGAATGCTGTTCGAGTTACCGTTGATATGGCACGACCATGGAAGTTTAAGCCCGGACAACATGCCTACCTTTACATGCCGTCTATTGGACTATTCCAATCTCATCCTTTCTCGGTCGCTTGGTCAGAAGAGGCAGAAGATTTATCGGATGAGAAGCTAGCAATGAACCGCCAAGAAATCTTAGCTATGCAAAAGACAAGCATGTCCTTCGTCATTAGAGCCCGAACTGGATTTACAGAAAAGCTTTATAAGAAAGCTGAGGCTTCTCCCGATGGAAAACTCTATACCAAGTGCTGGGCTGAAGGCCCTTATGGAGGAATGCATATGATGCATTCTTATGGAACAGTTATGTTATTCGCAGGAGGTGTTGGTATCACTCACCAAGTTCCACACGTACGTGACCTCGTCGCCGGTTATGCCAATGGAACCGTAGCCGCACGAAAGATTATTCTAGTTTGGACTATCCAATCACCAGAGCATCTCGAGTGGATTAGACCATGGATGACTTCAATTCTCGCTATGGAGAAACGTCGCGAAGTCCTTCGAATCATGTTATTCATCAGTCGACCAAGATCTACCAAGGAGATTCACAGTCCATCTGCAACTGTGCAGATGTTCCCAGGTAGGCCCAATATTGACACCTTGATGGGGACTGAAATAGAGAACCAAGTGGGTGCCATGGGCGTCACGGTATGTGGTAGTGGAGCACTCAGTGATGACGTTCGAAGCGCAGTTCGTAAACATCAATATTCTGGAAACATTGATTTCATCGAGGAAGCATTCTCGTGGTAAGTCCAGGGTGATACTTTGTGCTCTGTGATAACATTGTTCCCATATGGAAACGATAATCTCATACACAATGACGGGATATGGAGCCATTCATTGTATATTTCAGGAGTTGACGGAACAACCATACGTGGAACGACGGATATGATCTGGCTGGATATCAGGCTCATGGTCCTGGTTCGGGTATGTAGGTAGGTAGTTGGAACGCACATATGATGAACGAATCACAGATTCATGTGCCACCGCAATTTTATGCTGTGATGTGTTATGAAACTGTTCGTATAGAGTTCTATAGAGATTAGTCTTAGATTATTCCTACAACATGGCAATTTACCTTTTCGTTATTTGTACCCTCCTCGATTGTGTTTTTCACCGTAAACTCTAGGATGATATCAAAACCACACTGAGTGCAGGTAATCGTCGCTCATGGCATAGAGCACAGCGAGCAATCTCGAATGATTGAATGATCTAATTGGAAATGAACAAGAAAAGTAAGAACATGTAGGTATTCTTCGGTCCTACCTTTTATTGTCCCAAATTACTCTTAAGAGCCAATGTAACAGCCAATGAATGTAACGGTCAAAACAAGTCATTGTTGGTTCTTTAAAGGACATTAACTGCCTCCTCAAGGTATTTTCCTCGATTTTGCGTCCGGGGTTGGACTTGAAGGCCATTTGATCATTTGATTCAATCATCACTCCCTTCTTCCTTACTCCTCACGCTAAGATACCCGTCTAGGTAACGCTAATAGAATAAGGGCGATAAGGAGCGATAAAGGCACCTGCATTGGTCCTGCAATCAACATCAACTTCAACAACCGCCTGCCATCCATCCGATCTTTCAACACTTTAAATGCATACGTACGTGATACCTACTATTATTCTCCGAACCCAACATTCTAAACTCTGAAAACAAAGTGTGCGAACTTGAGACGACTTGTCAGAAAGGCAAAAGGCCGACACCACCTGACGCAATTTACTTCAATACTTTGCTCAACCTACTTACTACCCTGCAGCAATACAAACAAGACAAGCAAATCTGACTGGACCCGACCTCTTTTGCAACCTATTTCTCTCCACCTAGATAAAATACAATACAATACAATACAAATTCGTCCGCGTTGTTTCTTTGCTCTTTTACATACGCCTGTATCCTAAATCCTCCATTCTATCTGATCGCATCGCATCGCATCGTATCGTATCGTATCGTATCGTATCGCATAGCTAGCTAGCTCTTGTTTCCTCCCCAAACTACACCTAAACCTACACCTAAACAGCTAGATATTATCATCCCCCCTCACGGATCCGCAGTCGAACAACCAAGGTAAACGGAACGAGAATATTTGAGACATAAGAGAGAAATTCATACCGAACGATGGGTCTTTCATATAATACGTACTTAACCAGCGATAAGATCTACGGCTGCAAAAACTGCAAGACGCATTTAAGCACGCACGAGGAGATTATTTCACGAGTAAGTTATTCTCTTCTTCTCTGGGACTTCAACACCTCATCTTCCTAGTCCTTTCATTGTCCCCTTCCTTTTCTCTCTCCTCCTCTCTCACATATATCACTAATACTAATATCTCTCTCTTCCCCTCGACAGAATTTCCGCGGCCAACATGGCAAAGCCTATCTCTTCGGTACCGTGGTCAATATCGTCCCCGGCGAACCCTCCGAACGCAATATGACGACGGGCCGCCATATCGTGCGAGATATCACTTGTAAACGGTGTAATGAGACGGTGGGCTGGAAATACGATAAGGCGTATGAGGCGAGCGAGAAGTATAAGGAGGGGAAGTTTATTTTGGAGGCGGAGCTGTTGTGTAATGTTAGTTAGGGGTTGTTGGGGTGAGGAGCTGTATGGTGGAGTTCTTTTGCAGGGGCACCTGAGAGAGCGAGAGATGGAGGGAGTGGAATGGAATGCAATGTGATGGGATGGCGAGAGATTATTAGAGCGTGATGTAGGTGATGAAATGCGATATTGGGAGAGGAAATGAGAAGGGGGATGAAAATGAGATGATATGGAAACGGAAACGGAAATGGAAATGGAATTGGAAACGGAGCATCTGCGCTAGGTTTCTTTGGCACACATGATCGATCACATACATACACACCTGGAGTTCAGAACGGAGTTCAGATTCGAGGGCAGTCTGTCGGAGTGGGATTTATTTTACTTTTACTTTATTTTACAGGTGAGGTGGTGTTTTATGGGAAGAGGATGTTATGATTCATAGGTATCTATGGAAGGATGGCAGGATGGAGGAACGGGAATGGCGATATGGATATTGATATTGATATGGATAACTACCTACCTATGGTATTGGGAGAAAAAGGCATTGCTTTGAAAGACGGAGCTGGTCGTTATGTTTTTGATACATGCATATATGCATACATACAGAATACATATACATATACAATGATATGACATGATATGATATGAAATGTTATCTTGGATGTTGGATTTAATTTGTTGTATTGGATGCAGCTGCTAATCTATCAGATAACTTGCACAGATAAAAGTGTACTGGGTAGAGAGAGCTCCGAATATTACAGTGGCTATGATGCAAGTGATGGTAAAGAGAACTAAGCTACGGCGCGAGCTTACGCTTGATGATGTTTCGTGGTGGGAAGGGCATGGCTTCGTTTTATGAAACCCCAGGTGAGACCGTGAGATGGACTGTCGGGGAAGGTGTTATAATGAGCTTGTTGAATATATCTGATCATTGGGAGCACATCTATATTTCGATTATTCCGTATTCGTTCTGCTGTTGATGTCCTATGTATCTTCCCACGAGCTCGAAGCATCTAAAGCGCTCTAATTCTTGGAGGGTAATGACGGTATGAGATCTACCCACAAGATTATGACATGCATGTTCCGTTTTTAACGGCCTCCGCGGACTGATTCCTCAGTGTATACTCTGTATATGAAAGAATGGTGTCGGTATTGCCGTTGAATTCGAATACCATAGTTCCAGTATGCCAGATCTCGATGGATTGATATCGAGTATAAATCCATATTGCCATGTCCAAGTCACCTGCACCGTCATTGATATACTGTGTAATCTCCCGCACAATGGCATGAGAAGTATGCGCCTTGTTGTTGTCGCATGGCTATACCGAAAATTTCGGCTTTTTGAACAGAACTTATGAGAAAGTACTGGGATGACGGGTAGGCTCTGCTGAATAAAGGAACTGAGTATCTAGGTTTGCTGTCGAGGTCTCGGACTCATGCACGCTGGAAATTTAAAGGTCCCTGCCGCTGCATTCATGCTCGAGGCATGATGATATCCAGATTGCTCCTGGGCTGGCCATTCCAATCAGACGTCTTTCAGTTCTGTCTCGGCTTTACAATTCCATCATGCATGATATAGTACACAACCGTACTGTCATCATGCAAAGTCGCCAAAAGAATCCTCTTCTGCCTATTGTCTCCCTGCCACTTTGCACCCACAATATTCTTCTCCTCCGCACTCTCGTTCCTCCCCTCAGCTCCTTTCCCCTCAGGTACCGTTCCTACTGCATCAAAAACCTCCGCGAACCGTGCCAAATTCCATTTCTCGTCCAAGTGTGTTGGTAAGACCCATTCACGCTCGGGGAATTGTGCAATAGATTCTCCAGTCTCATGCTCGGCTTTGAGGATTTCTACTTGTTCGTCGGGATGAATATAAGCGCGGCGGGGAGGGAGTCCGGATATCAAAGGTCGAGGGAGGGGAAGCTTAGTGACGGTTGAGTGGGTGTGCAAAGTTAGGGAGGTCCAGTCATGTTGGAACTGCAGATTTTGGAGGATGGCACTTGCGAGATGGTGGAGGTGGGCTGGGTGAGGAGTATTGGGGGGTGTAGGAGTTTGTGTGTTGAGTATATTCTGGAGGGCTGAGCTGGGTGGAAGGGACGCAGTGGTAGCGGGCATCTTGAATGAGACTTAGGCAAAGCAGATCAGAAAAATGAGATATTCGAGCGATCGATGACAGTTTCCTGATTTGATTCTTCGCGGGGCTTTGAACAAAATTTGGAGTGGGGAAAAGTTTTTATTGCTTAAGGCAGGCGGTCGACCAAATGTCCATCAGCCTTGCGCTAAACACATGCAAGGCTAATACTTTAGACTTTTAGAACTGAGCCTGTTCCGTTGTGATATAATTTAAAGAATGATATCAAAATGCTTTTATATTCAAACATTCATTGTCGAAATTACTTCATCCACTCGTATGAAGAGATGAATTCAAACACTTCCTCTAACTTTACTCCCCATACTAACGTTCTCAACACCCCCAAATAGAATTTCTTAAGTCGGTTAAGAAATTCACACTTTTACTTCAACAACTTACACACCCACAGTTGCGCAATATTAAGTATAACCATTACATCCAAGATAAAGAATCTAAGACGTAGTGTCATTTGTCTCGATCTTCCCGTATACATTGAAATATTAATACAATGTCTGGTTTCCCTGGCGATATACCAGAGTATGACTTTACTACTGATTCGGGTCATCAATATCCGGACCCGGAAGCAAGCCAAAGCCAAAGTCTAATATGGCCGACCCAACCCCCATTGCCAGCGCAAGGCACCGGTGATGCCAGTCTGGACAATGCAAGGGCCGAGTTTGCTACAATGAGTACGGAGCAGAGGAGACAAAGACGAGAGCAGGTAGAAGGCGCGGATGATATCCTAGATATGGATCTTGGGTGAGTAGCTGAGAAAAGGAAGTTTCTTTAACAATGATTTGACTTTTTTGATAGTGACGAGTCGGATGACTCTGATCCCGATTACCGGGAATTTGGTAGAGGTATTCGCAAAATGCAGGATGATGTTCGCCAGGCTAGACATCTAGAGAGTGATTCAGATGAATCCGATGAGGGTCCGATGAGCCGTAAAACCAAAGGAAAACGACGCGGCGCCCGAGGCGGTAAAGGTCGTAAGGCTGGTATCAGAGGTCCTCGGAAAGCTGCGGAGCCAACTGGTGACATCAAGCTGCGTTTGGGTCAAGCTAATCAAGCATTTTTGAACGGACGTTGCGAAGAGGCTAGAGATATAGCTTCAGAAATCATTCGGATTAACGCAGAGACTTATGAAGCATGGACTTTACTATCCGCATGCTTCAAGGAATTGGGCGAATACAACTCGGCTGTCAAGGCTCTGATGATTGCTGCCACCTGGAGGCCAAAGCATCCTGGACCTTGGTATGCCGCTTTATACTTTGCTTTGAATGAGACAGGCGATCTAAGATCGGAGTTCCTTATATCTGCACAATACGCTGCACAACAGATACTCAGAGCAAATTCACAAGATCTGGAAGCTCGAAGAATCAAAGCTTCCATTATGCTTGAGCGAAGAAACCTCAATCATGCGGCCAGGGAATATGAGATCATTCTCAAGCGTGTTCCTTTTGATACCGAAGTCGTTCAGACGTTAGCGTCAATTTACGTTGATCTAGGGCAGATAGAAGTCGCCATGAAACTTTACATCAAAACCATCAATAAGTTCAAAAAAGCTGATGTAGAAACAGACACAGTCTTTGGTTGGACAGACGCCTATGCTTACGTCGAACTGTTCGGTCTCTTGGGAAAATACAACGATGGTATTAAAGAACTCAGGTCAGTAGCTCGTTGGTTAGTTGGAAGGAGGGAAGAGGACTTCTGGGATGAATTCATCAATGATGATCGAGAATGGGACGACGACAACGTCAGAAGATCTGAATGTCCTCAATTTGATGCCAACAGATACCCCGTAGACGCATATGGTCCAGGACTCCCTGTCGAGTTACGAATCAAAATTGGGCTATATCGCTTGTCCCTCGGTCATTATATGGAAGCTTTGGTAAGCCAGATCACCACTACACATTAGGAAGTGTTACTAACAAGCCCAGCGCCATTTTAACTATCTCAAAACCTCGGATTACAATGGTCAAGGCCTTATTGAGGAGTTTCCTCAACTGTTTGAGGAGGTCGCGGATAATTTAGCTCGAAAAGGTCATAATAAGGATGCCTTGGATTACTATCTGCCTTTAGCACCAGGCGCTGGTGCCGAGGGTGCCTCGCTCCAACTCAAGATGGGTAACTGTTGGCTTGCTGAGAAAGTCGACCAAGAGGCCGAACTCTGTTTTCAAAATGCAGTACAAATGGAAGAGGATAACATCCCAGCAAGAATGGAGCTCGCTAGATTGTACGAAAGACTAAACGAGAAGGAACAGTCATTCATGTATGTGAATGAAATTATCGCAATTCGACGAACGCAACGCCAAATTGAAGATCCAGAAGGTGTACCAAAGTCCCTCGATACTGCAGCTTCCAAAAAGCCGCGCAGCAAACAAACTTCGTTTGCATCAACTCGAAGACCACAGTCCCGTTATGTGCCTCGCAGGCTTCTTCACCCAGCAGAGAGATTAAAGGAAGAAGCCGCGAGAGCAGAGCATCTACAGAGCCAGTACTCTATCATGAAAATGGAGCTAGAACGGATGAGAGCCGGGGATGAAATGGCTACTTTGAAGTGGATGGAGGCTGCTGAAGATCTTATAGATGATTTTAGAGGGTTCAAAGCCTTCTATCCTTGGGATAAATATGTCAAATTTTTAGGTTACAGCAACGACGATAAATTTCAGGCCGAGACAAAATTAGAGACTGATCTGACCGAGATGGCTGATCGATTATCAAAAAGTCAGTTATACTCCTAATACATGGCTACCTAAAGTACTGACACATTTAGAACTCGGAGCGGATGCTGAGGACAAGACGAGTGCTACGTCTGCTAGCATACCAGCTGATTATCGTGGCATCTCCTTCAGCTCCTGGTTGGATATCTTCCTCGAATATGCAATATGTCTCGCTAAAGAGGGGAATGACAGAGAATCATATGAAATTTGTGAATCGGCCAGGGACGCAATTGTCTTCTATCATAAGCGCGAGGATATGTTTTTGATCCATGTGTGCTGGGGTAGTGAGTTCATCTTTCTCTCGAGTGATTAATACTCTGCTAATTATTATAAAGCTTGTGCTTTACTATGTAACGACGAGGAGATGTGTATCAGGGTGGCAAGATATTTCATGAGAGAATATCAATTCACCACCGACTCTTATAGAATGTACGCAGCCATAGCTAGGTTGTGTCAGTCTCCGGTCTCGTGGTATTGTTCAGGTCCTGAACAAAAGTATATGCTTCGTCAAGTCAAGGCCATGGATTTTAATCTTGTCGACAAAAGTCGTCGAGAAAAAGGCTATGCGGAGAAAGCTGGCTACACGTCTCAGGACAAGAATGGGAAACCAATCCTCAATGACGACATGGACGTCGCTCTCCTCATGTTATACGGACATATTCTTTACTCAGGAACAAGCTATGCCTATTCTCTAAGTATTTCAAACCAAGCCACCATATTAAATAAATCATTTCGCTGACGAAAAGTATCATAGACTATTTTCTGAGAGCTTATGCACTCGACCCGAATAATGCTATAATTAACTTGAACATAGGCCTTGCTTATGTTCATCATTCTCTCAAGAGACAAGCAGATAACAGGCAATTCATGATCCTTCAAGGTCTAACATTTCTTTTTGATTACTACAACTCACGTAAACAGTCAGCGGCTGTTGAGGAGCGTCAGGAGGCGCATTACAATTTGGCTAGAGTTTATCATATGCTTGGTGTCTCGCACCTTGCAATAAAATACTACCTTCGTGTTCTCAACGAGGCCAAAGATCATGAAAGCACACGAGAAGATATCACGATTGATACTGCCCACAATCTAAAAATCCTTTGCATGATCACAGGTAATAGGAAATTGGCAAATGTCATAGCTAGACAGTGGCTTGTAATTTAGCCGATCCCTTTTTGCAAATCGTCCCAATGAACGGCGTGAAAGAGGACAGGGCGGGGGAGGGGCGAATTAAGTAATTTGAGTTTGTTCTTAACTGAAAGCTAAGAATTTCGCAGTAAAGTATGTCGATCATGAAAAGTCAAATCAGGTGGAAGGCACTATTATAGTGGCCGCAGTGACCCTTCTTGAACTAGATGCGCGAAGTGGGTTATCCGGTTGATCGGAGAGTACTAAAACGGCTCGCGAGTCGAAGCCACTTACAAAAATCAGCGCAAACCCCACCACCGGTAACAAATTAAAAAACAGTTACAAGCTGGTGGCGGAGTCTCTTGAAAGTGCAGAGTACTTCCCGAAACGTTGCTCAGACGTAGAATTTGAATCAGTAATTCCGCTCCCACCACCATTATTGTAGGGCTAGGTGTCTTTTGGATGGGGTTTTTCCATGGAAGCTTCTGCTAAACTTCCTTTTCATCGCCCGCTGCGCTTGGTACCTGATTTAGAATACCACTATGAATCCCATACAATTCTCCCGTGATGACTACTGATATTTAGATCAGCTTCTCTGAATATTTCTACTTTTTTAATGTGCCGAGCACGACATGGTTTTAACCATTATGGCTTTTCCTCTTGCTTCATCACCCAGCTAATTTTCCCTTCTTCTCATTCAATCCCAAACTGCTTACCACTACATTATCTATCCAAAGCCAATCCGGCCTATTGCACAACCACGGATGGGTAAAATCCTTTTACAAATTGAAACATCTCAAGAGCACTAGTGTGCTCTAGGCCGTTCAAGTGCCTCGGAAGCCCTACTTACATGAAACAAGACAGCTCTTTGCCTTGGTAAATTGTGCTGTCCGATCTTTTCTTGGAGGTTCAAGAACACTAGATCATAAGAGTACTTCCCCATGCAATAATATTTTCAGAGATGAAAATTCGCTGAACATCAGCATTATCGTTTCCCTACATATATATATCTTCCACAATGGCGGGGATTAGCAATAACAGTGGAGCTTCGCAGTCGAATACAGTGATGGCTACTGGTCAAAATCATAACGAAATACCGTCTGTTGTCAGCGATGAAGCAAAGAAAGAGGAAGGAAGACCTTTAACTCCGGGGTCTAGTGCTGAAGCTGCAATGAACGAAGCACTCGGTGGTCCCGAATACACCAATGAAGGACCTATAATCAATATAATTGCCCCGCCCAGCGACACCATCGAGGATGTCCCATCATACCTCTCTGCCGAAGTAGCCGCAGACAATGGCAATGCCATCTTCAACGCTACACCACATCTCTCCTCGGATTCCGACGACGCAACAACAAACGCTCCCCCACCTCCTCCGCCCTTCGAAAAACTAGCACAAAAGAACCCAAACCCTACAGATCACCTATCCATCACAATCGGCCCTCTTGTTATCCTTCTATTCGACATCGTCATCCCATGCATAATCTACTACGTCTGGTTCGACATCCACCGTTCGCGATGGGCAAAATCCTGCAAAGCATACCCCAAAAACGAGTGTCCTCTACCCAAACCCGAATACGACAAAGATATCCTCGGCTACGCCATTATCTGCTTCGGCTTCGGCGAGCTCTACATCCTCATCGTGCGCGTCGCTCGTCTTCTCAAACATCGCGACCTATGTGCTCCTCTTCTCTCCCGCTCAAAATGGGAATTAGATGCCACATCTTGGGTATACGGTGTCTCTATGCTCATGGCATTGATTCCCTTTGTCGTAGGCAGCTCCCTCGAAATCCCAGAACTGTATCTCTATTCTCCCGGTTTCCTCATGAGTTTCCTCGGTATCGTTATGCTCATCTCGCTTATCCCCTTCAAACTCCCTATCGGCATCAATTCCCACGCGCGAGGTTCGCCCATACGCCCGTTCATTTATTATGCGGCCGAAGATTTTATTGCCGTCGATGGGCTCCAGGATCGCGAGTTCCGCGTGAGATTTAATGCGCGATATGATTCTTCCCCGGGCTTTCGACGCATGTTTCTCCACTTGACCTTATGGTGGCTCGCGGGCGTATTGGTATATCTCGGTTGTCTGAGCGCGGTAATATGGTCCCTGGAATTTCACTACGCTTTTGGTTTATCCCTCGGTGTGCTGTTTGCCTATTTAATCATTTGGGCTTTGGTGTCGTATTATTGGGCCGATCGTGTAATGAAGAGGGAACAGCGCGCGCATGATGAGCGCGTGGCGAAATGTTGACGTGATGATTAATTTTTTGGTTGGATGGGTGCTGTAGATAGATAGATAGATAGTTGGTCAGATGGAATGGAATGGAATGGAATGGAGCATGGGTATATATATATAAGGGTTAGGATATTATAGCGAATTGAAAATTTGAAGTTTATTATAAAAATCGTTGTAATAGCAAAAAATATGGTTTGAAACAACAAACTAGGAATCTCGGATCATCTGCCGAGACCCCTTCCTACCAGAATATGAAAAAGGGTTTGGTTTTTGTGTGAAAGCTTTGAATCTTTTTTTTTTTTCTTTTTGGTGTTTTGTCTTTTTTCTTGTTTTTTTTTTCTTTCTCTTCGAAAAGAAATATTATTTACATGGTTTCTTTTTATTTACTAGTTCTGGCGTGGAATTCTGTCATGGGAATCTGTTCCTTGTCTTCTTGGATGCTGCGGTATTCGGGAATCTGCTCCAAGCGTCCATGGTCGTCATACTCCGGGATCTCCTCCAAAGATGCATGGGCGCTATACTTGGGAGTGTCCTCCAGACCCCTCTGAGCGCTATACGCGGGAGTTTGTCCCAAGTCCCCTCCTGCGTGGTAATCACTAGTCATCACAATCCTCCCCTTTGAATCCTGCGTCAAGCCAATCTCGTCTTCCTCCAGCCTTCGGTTAGCCATGCGACTATCTTCATACTCCATCATTGGGGGTTCCGCGGTCTTTCTCCGCAGGACTATCTTTCCGTTCTCGTCTTGCGTCAGGTGCATTCGATCTACATCCTCTCTTTTCTTGTCGTCGGGGCCATTTACGTCGTCGGTCATGTCCGCACCTTGGAGGATCAAGGTGAGGGTTCTTCGCTTTGCGCTTCTCATACTCTTTCCTGGGCCGTATCCTCTGTCGGCGTCGGAATTGAGTTTTCTTGATGCTAGTGATGTGTGCATGTCGTTTAACAGTGGTCGCATTAGTGGTATGGATTGCACGATTATAGTGCCTGCTACCTCGGCTGAGTACCAGACCATTGATAATCCTTGGCGCCCTGTTGGAAGGTTTATGTTAGGATGGTGATGAAATGGTATGAGTGTGAGGAGGGGTGTAGAGATAGTGTATATATGGAGAGGAGAGGAATAGAAGGATGGAGAAGAGAAGTGGAAGCGTAGATGAGAGGAGGAGACAGGGTAGAGGATGGTAAGGAAAAAATGAGAGTTTCTAAAAAGACTTACAAAAATAATAGTCATTGTAGGCATCGACCTTTGGGTCATTCATATAAGCAGTTCTAACGGCTGAAACGATGGCGATCACAACTCCGAGGCTCATGGTTATACAAAGAGCAATCTTCTCTTTGAGAGATATCTTCAGCTTCCATGTAACCATCCATGGAAACAGAGCGAGCACAAAATCAGCGACGATGTTAAAAACTACATGGGATAGGTTAGCGATCGACATTCTAATCATATGAATGTGGCACCCACTATTTCCCCCGTTCTTGATATCATGCACTGCTTGGTAATCAACACAGAAACCAGGCATCCTCCACCAATTTTGATAACCAGATTTGTCACAATATTTGGACCAATTCACAAAAACCTTGAGGACTAGGAAGACGTTGAGGACGAAGAGGGTGGCGATGCAAATGGCCTTTTGCCAGGCATTTGTCATCCTGAGAAGCGTTACCGCGAAAGCGGACTTGCTCCATGTCTGGCCGGCGGTAGTAAGGCAGGATGAAATCGACACGAGAATCAACATACGATCGTTCCAAGTTTTGACGACATATCCGGTGGCGAACTCGTAGGAAATGAATATGTCTGCTGTGAGAAGGACGGCCTGATGCATGACAGTTAGCTGGATGGGGTTTCGTGATTCGACATCAGTCATGTGTATTCACCCAGGATAGTATGAGTATATAATCATCCCACCAGAGACCTTGACGTCTCAATTTGCAATACAGTCGTAGCCCGAGACATATGGTCGCACCGGCGAAAAGAGACCAAAGGCCAGCATTAACCTCTTTCTCGGGGGATACAAAGTGATGGACGGCGCGCGAGGAACTCATAGTAAAACTATCATCGTTATCCGAATCGGCGGGAGGAGGCGAAAAGTGATTGGCAAAATCCCACGCGTCCATCAAGCATAGAATGTTTGTACAGATATCCGTAGCGCTTAGTGTGAGGGACAGCGTGAAGTAGTTACAAGATTTTCTAGAAATAAAAAACTATGGGAACGATGGGCACCCGTTCCATGTTAAACCGGAGAATTGTTGGACAATGCACAATGCATGTGAAATTCTAGTCCGCTCCGTGAATCGTTCTGGGGGAGAAGTAGGAAGCAAGAAAAAGACGGACTTTTATCATAAGCCAAAGAAGGGAATGGGCCCCCCCCCGAACATCCACTCCAAGCAGGGTCTTTAAATTTAGTCGATAGAGCGTGATATTGATTGCAGGTTACAAACTTACAAGTTAGGAACTCATCCGTGCAGATAGAATCTCACATGCCGTGCTCTCTTCTCCTCTTTCTTCTCGTTCTCCTCCTCCTTCTTCTCATCTGGAGCGTAAAGCTATACGAAGCACGAATCTAGGCTAGAGATTTGACACACCCTGTCACTAATGCAAGGTACCGACGGACATGAGAAACGTGTCAAATGGACCAAACAGGTCGCTTGGATATATTGGAACCCCTGATGCCCCTCATCACTTTACCACTTTTAGCCATTTAGTAATAATGCGTCGACCAGGTTTCGTCGGGTGTAGATTAACCTGTGCTACGTGAAGGAAGCAATCGAACCACAATAGTGGAATCTGCACGAGTCTGCACAGTGAATGCAGTAATAGAGAAAAGGTTATATAAAAACAACCTTTCCCGCGGTTCCTGAAAATGTGAAAATGGTATAGCGGTTACGGGTTAAGGTTCTAGCTTCGGAAAATTATATGGTCGGCTGAGTAGGTAGCAGTGGCAGCTAACGCTATCTAAAATCTAATCGTACACACTGACTGTGATTGTGAACGACTCCTGGTTGGAAAAGTCATTGTATTCCATCTATCTCATCTATTTCATGCCCCCTTCGAGCTCGAGCTACTACTGTAGAAGAAACAATGCCGTGTCACGTGTCGCATGTGGGAATGTCCCGATGTTCAGGAAACCATGGTAAAAGTTTTATTGGGGAAATCTCCTATCCCCGGAAGGAACTCGGGGAATAAATTACCAAAAATTAGGGCATCCGTTTAGCTTTCAAGAATTGACATGTGCTAGAGCAGGCTACACGGGGGTTGAAAGCCTTATAGCGTTGGAGCGTTACAGCGTAGAGCGTTACAGCGTAGGGCGTTACAAGCGTTCTGAGCGCCAGTTTCTGTTAGGGCCAAACCGAAGCACCGGTAAAACGTTGGGTCACGAGTCAGAACGCAGCTCGGGGCTCAGGCTCAGTACGTACTCAGTAGGAATAAGAAATGAGCTGGATCCCTAATACGTTCTAAAGTCACGTCAAATAGTCAAAGTTCTTTCATGGCATTAGCCGGCGGGGAACCCTCGGATCTCAATCGATCCCCTGAAAACACTTAAAGTACATTTTGCTTGTTTCTCACTCTATTTGAGTTTGTCAAAAGATAAGACCTAAAACGTCCAAATTATTAAACAGGCCTCCTCGCTATCTTTTTCGATCGATGAACCTCAATTTAGCAGATTGCTGGATGCTGTGCCGTGTTTATAGATGGGGCAGCTGTTGGGGCAAGGTTAGGATTCTCGCTACCAGGCTTCAACTCGACACCAAAATCGATAAAATTAGTCCAATTTCTTAAAGAGTAATAACATGTCCTCTATGGATAATGAAGTCTTTACCATTGTAATTATTCATTTACCCGTCACATATTTCAAGTCTTATCATGCCAAAATATAGATATAATGAACAACAACTTAAGTATCGCCCACTTGTACCCGCAGATCGGAAACATCTTACCCGGATCCCGTGCCAGACAGTGTCAGTGTCTTGGACGAAATTAGAATAAGTCAGGGCGCCGCGAATCATTGCTTTATCAGCAAATGCTACAGAGTACATAATCAAATACACTTTTGTTCTAATTGTCCCAAGGGGTTTTGTCAGTTATCTTCTGCGTTGACTCATCGTTGAGCCCATACAAGACGTTGGCCGTGTTGGCGGAGGCAGCATCAGTGTGTGTCTATCTCTGCCGTTCCAAATGTCATTGCTCTATGCATAACATTTTTGAGAGACAAAATCTACTGCAAGGTCTGTTGCGTATCTATTCTGGCCCTCGTTTGTAAACGAGTAGCATGGTTGCCAACAACAACAGCATCTCAATGTGTAGAAGAAATCGGCCGAAGATCTCAAAACATAGCTCAGCTGGTTTTGGAAAAACAGTTCATACATAACGTGATGAAATGTACATGGAGTACTACATGAATATCAGAGTGAAACCATCGACCAGATTTCTCTTCCACTTCATCACATACATCCTTCTACACTACTCGCATTGAATCAACATCAAACTCTTAAAACCCAATTAGCCAGCCTCCACAACCCCACAACCCGACAATGCTTCATCTCCCAATGTGTCCCGCGTCGTATGATCCTTTACTCCTTCCGTCGTATTCCTCCTTACAATCAATCACTCACCACAAACAGCCTACCAATCCTAATGACGACGAGATGAAGCTCAGCCCCGATCAGACAACTACCCACTCTGCTACCGGTAGATCAACTTAGATCAACTTAGATCTAACATCTGCCGACTCTGGAACTGGCTGTAGCGAGCGAATATCAACGCTGTTTGCTGGGCATAATATAGCAGGTGCGAGTGTAGTGGGGCTACAGCATATAGTTTCAGTCGTACGATAATAATAAATCGAGCCCTCTTCACACCCACCGACAAGAATAAACCTTTCAAGTTTCCACGCACTTTGCTAGCATTGAACCTTAAGGTTCACATAACGTGGACATTCCCATTAGTGGGTGCCGAAGCGTCCCCACCACAACTACTGACGCAAGTGCAACTTCATTTGTGTCGATGGGTGTGGATCCGACATCTTGTGCTCCGTCCGGTATGGTATGTGTGTACCTACCTCGCCAAATCATGTTTGTCCACATTGAATTGAAGATTGATAATGCATTTATTTTATCATATAATCTCGAGAAGATCAATTCGGGTTCTGCACACTCCTATACGGACTAATATCATGCCGAACCTGTCTGATATTATGGGTGCGCGAAGTTGTGAGCAAGAATCTATACGGAGTAGCCATGATAATATGTATCCCCAATCAATAATCTATGGAAACGGACGAATGTTTCAACCGACCGGATTCAAGCTGATAAATGTCATCATTGTCGTGAGTCTGAATATCTCGAGATTACACATACGGTACATGGTTAGCTACTACGACTGTTCATACTATAAAAACACTCGAACCATTTCCAGATGGAGTGGTGAAGGAGATATACCGTGCTCCTTAGAGAAATCGACCTTCTCGCATCTTGGCGTGGGGTGTCATGCTGAGCTGAGCATATCAACATTATATTATGAAGAGAAGGGGTAAGGGTACGAATGGATTATGGATCACGGTTGTGATTCTGTTTATGGTTATGATTATGGTTATGATTATGATTATGATTATGATTATGATTATGATTATGATTACGATTATGATTACGGTTATGATTATGGTTATGATTATGGTTATGGTTTGATCAAGCTTCGGTCCGATGATTATATTCTATTCTATGTGGAAGGAAGGCACAGGTTAGTTCCGGTCATTGGTTATGAAATGTCTTTCAATCTCTTTTTCCTGCCCTTGAACTCAAAGATCCATCGGTTTCCATTCGAGCTTGGAAGTGGCATGACTTTCTAGGTACGCATTGGTGTTTTTGGTTATCAACATTTGGTTTTTGAGACAGTGCTCTTTCTTGAACAGGATATCCACCCATTTATTCTCTTCAATTTCGTTCATAGAATTTAGCATTTAACAGTCACAAATACATACATAGTAAGTCTTACTTACAACGAATTTAGATATGAGTCTAACAGCAACCAAGTGCTTCGATCTATAATCGTATAGTGCTACAATAATATATTCTTGGTTTAGTTCGCTTCTAACTTCTCAGACACAGACAGCTGTAACCTACCTTACTGTATAAATTATTTTTGTTGCATATCTGAGAAGAATAGAATCAATAAGTTGATAATCTACCAACAATCAGTCCAGACTTCGCTTCGTCAGTCACCCACATATTCGCTCCTTTCCAAAGTTTGGTTGCACATCTGATTACATATTGATTACCATAGAAATGTCAATTTGGTGATGATGTCATGGTAACCAGATTTTACACCTCTCTTGTCATTACCGTCTCTCCTCGGACTTTTTAATTTGATTAGTAAACACATAAATAAAGAAGATAATGTTTTTACCTCCTGGACGATGTTAAATCTCGTCATTGATAAAACAAGATTGATTGTGTAGTCATTAATTAGTAAGTGTAATCAAGGATTGCCATTGCCATTGCCTTTGCTTTTAACAAACTTAAAGTTTGTCGCCGTCAGGAATTAAAAGACTGAGCTCACCGGGAGCACAAACACCAAGATGTCGGGTCACGCTAAAATCTACCCCCCTGTCAAACGCGTCCCCCGCAATTCTTTTGTCAACATCTCATCTCTCGGTCGACAAAGTTCTTCCCAAGAACTCAAAATAACTTACTCATTTGTGACTTTATTTGGTTATTTATTCGTGCTACAGGTACTTTGATTTCGCCATATTATCCGCAGCATATTTGTATCCTCGGGTATGCACAGTTTCCTTCGCACCATCGGCGCAAAACAATACTCGAAACGACCACAACAACTATGAGTGCTGCAGATACTGCTCTCCTCACGGAGCACCTTACATACAGACCAATTGTAAGTATAGACATGTGGTCATACTAATTCTGTGCATTCTAATAGCGTCTTTCTAATATCTCCACAGGCTGTCATTGATGACATAATAAACAGTATCAACCTTCTCGCATTCCGCGCCATCGATGCGCTCGAAAAAGGTCTTCTAGCCGCTCCTCCTGCCTCAATTGGCTTCACACCTACCTCTATCCTCTCCGCCGATGATGTAGCAACACAATGTCAGCACGAAATCGAATACGGAGTTTATAAATTGGAGACATTACTCAATGCGAAGATTGATAAGAATTTCGATAAGATGGAGATTTATTTATTGAGGAACGTCTTCGCGGTCCCGGCGGATGTTAGGGATTGGATTAGATTGAGTCATTATGAAGGATTGGATTTTAGAGGAGTAGAAGAAAATGGGGCTGGGGAGAATGGGGCGCCGACTTCGGAAACTGTTACATTGCAGAGGAAGAGGTTAAGGGAGACGATGAAGTTGAACGCGGTATTAAGAGCAGAGAAGGAGAGGAATGAGAAAACTATTGCGGCATTGAAAGGAATTATTTCACCAATCGCTAGTCCGACAAAGAAGAATGTGAAGGCTGAGGATGGTACTGAAATGGATGTTGATGCAGAGGATGATGAACGAGCTCCATTGGCTTTCTTACAAAAGATGGGAAATTTGACAAAAGATGGAAAACATCCTATTGCAACGACGACTGAGTTTGCACTAAGTCAATTACCTGCGCTGAGACAATTATTAGATAATCTAGGACCGAGGTTGAAAGAGTTGTCAGAAGGGAATGGTATGGATGGGATGGTAGGAGAACAAGAGAAGAGTTGGAGAAGAGAGAGATTGGAATTTATTGAAAAGGAGACGAGACGACATCTAGAAAATGTGAGAGGCTTAGAATTAGGCTCGCAAGGTGAAGTGAGAGATGGAGAATGGCAGGGTGAGGGGAGAAAATTTGGGAATGGGGAAGTGGAGGATTTGGAAAAAGTTGTAGGAATGTTTGAAAGTCATGCTGCACCGCCAGGAGATGGAGATGGAGATGGAGATGCGATGGATGAAGGAACTTGAACTTGAATTTGATGCGAGTATTAGGGGCACTTTTTGTGATGTTGATTTTGATGTTGATGATGTTGATATTGGCGTTTTAAGGATATACCCATGGATCTTTGATTGAATAACTGGCGATGTAGAAGTACGGATTAGAATGTTAGTTTCTTTAATATATCCTGTGATAGCTACATATATATATAGCTTGAAGTTGAAAAATGAATCAAATGAATAAATTAAAAAGTATCTAACAATTAGTCAGAATAGAAATCTATTACAAACACCTCATTTAAGTCTAGTACTTTTAATTCAGTTATCTTTCTTTTAGATTATTTTTTCTTATTGAAAATAACAAAGATTAATATTTATAACTTTATAATAAACGAATAGAATTAATTAAATTTATAATCTAAACCCGAAGGAATCATATCAAAAAACGAAAAATTATAATTTTTGATATATAAAAAAATACCCAAATTAAAGGTGGTCTGAAAGTAGAATATTAGATTTAATATTAGTTTATAGATATAGTTTAAAAATCTCATATAATGGCATCATTGTTTTTTAAAACCAGCGATCTTCCACTAAGGGACTAAGCTAAACTCAAGCTAAGTTTGATTTTTGACTTTTCTATACACTTATTCTCAATATTCGGTGTGATGTTCGAGAATACCGCATGCATTTGTTTCGCTGAATCGTGCTTCTGGGTTCCGTTACGGCTTCTTATTTAATATGCAGTGCAATTGCTTTGCTTGTGATGTCGTTCATTATGAGCTTCTTCCTGAGTGACTGACTACTTTGAAGCGTACATTGTTTAACTTACCTGCCTCTTTTTTTTTGGCTCTTTTATATAGTGTTTTGCGTTGCGTTCTCGACTCATAAACTAGTAGGCGGGAAAGCCTTGAGGTAGATATCAAAAGGAGGAATTTCCATATATGATGTATATTAAAGGAAAAACACTAATCTCAAACAGACAAGGGCGATGTTTGGAGAACTCTACTGACGACTAGGGTAAGTCGATTTAATATAATGTTTGAGAATATCGAAAATTAAAGAAGTGAGATATCATTATGTGATGAACTATTGGATAATATCCAGGCACATACAACAGAGTAGATCTACAGTTCTAATAATAGGGGGGTACAGAGCACTATCAAACTTAATGATCGCTTGGAACACTTTAGAATATTAATGGTGTTGATTAGCTTCAAATTGTGCTGGATGATAGATTTGAACAACGGCCGGATACTATGAACACCATCAGATCCATGTAGTGATGTTGAGTAATGGTAGACATTTTATATGAGCCATGATGAGGCATGTAGAAAAGGCAAGAGATATGCAACATAGTCTTTTGAGGTATGTTTGATTGGCACTTTATTTTGGAAGACTACTAGGTAGTCGATTAAGTTAGTACTAATCGGTAAATTGTATCTTAAAATCGAACAGGAACCGGATAGTAACAAGTTTTTATAATGATGTATGACATCGACGATCATCGCATACTTGGCAGGATGAGGCACGTAGAGAAGGAACTAGAGACGTGCAACATAAACTCTCAAGACGTTTGATTGGCATTCTATTTTGGAAGACTGGTCAGGTAAGACAATACTAGTCAGTGAATCATATCTTTGGGTCGAATAATACTGGATGGTAGTGAATTTTTATAATGATGTATGCTATTCATGATTATTGTATACTTGTCAGGATGAGGCCTGCAATCATTCAGAAGTGCAACATATTGCTTTGAGAGAATCTGGTTGGAATGCTTTGGATGGCCATAGAGCTGCTAGTTAAAGGCTTCAAAGTAGTGTCATGAAATTAGGATAGAGCTCGACAAGATTTCCTACTAGTAGATAAACTTCCGGAGACAGATGACAGAATTCCTGGGGTTATGGGCGCCGAGATTTTTAAACATGTAATATAGTGAGGTGCCGTCGTGGCTAGTACTAGAAGGAGTTTAGGAAGGGATGGTTTATAGATATCCTTGTAAGGTGAGCAACAGGAGTCTTTCTACTTGTCATCTGATAACACACCTACCTAGATAGCTTAAGAATATTCGATACGCCATCTGTGGTGAACGTGCCAAAACTTCCTTTAGAAGAAGCTGAAATCGAACCAGCGTGCTTTAGGGAGCGTATCCACCATGTTAGGCTCAGAATGGAAGACTCTGGCATTGCCTTTTAAAACCCAGATTCAGAGCATGTGCTACATAATCTTCATTTTAAGGTGCTGTTGAAGTAGGAAATGTGAACAGCTAGGATTTTAACCATGATCCGTGATCCGAGCCAAACCATCAACACTCCTTCAACTAGGGGTCGAATGAACTGTTCCGTTCAAATCAATCCCAGTATGATAGATTAACAACAAAGTGCCCATATATTAGATGTGTAAGAGGCCTTTCATGGTGTGTATCTAAGCGAAGGATATGATGCATGTAAGTGCCTGGATTGTTCGTGCAACACGCTACCACTTGCATTGTATGGACTACAAATAGATGATACGAAAGAATACGATTAACAAACTCGTCCCATATCAATCCGAATTAAAAGCCATGTATCCATGATACCAGGTGGATTATTTGGTTGTTTATCTTAGTTAAGGATGATGTGGATCGGCAGGTTCAACAAATGTGGAAGGCAAGCAATGATTTGATCCATGATGCATATTCACAACAAAAAGTCATAATGCCATTGTAGTCTCCATGTTTGAATTCACCGTGAAGTAGTTTGCTTACTTGGCTCAAACTTATATTGACTGGCAATGAGGTATGCATTCTGTGGTTGTAGCTATACGACCGTTCCCAGGAATCCCAATGAGATATAAGAAGTTCTCGCGAAGGTTTTCATCCATGAAAATTCAATATATTAAACTTAATATATAGATAGGCATGCTTGATCCAAAACAGTCCATTAATATTTCAGTCTTCGAGTCTAAATTCTCCGATTGAACTTCACAAGCTCCATTGAATACATATTTCATTTTGCAGTATCATAATCTGCAGAACACTTGTCCCGTATCTTCGACAAGAATTAAATAGAAACATCCCATGTGATTTGTGAGGATGCAAGGAAAAGTTATTATTCAATGCCATAAGCATAGGTATATGAATAAATTTGAGAAGAAGATGGATATTAATAAAGGGAAAGACTCGTGTTAGAGGAGACTGGCATGATACAGAGCTTGATGTGCAGGTTAAAGCTTCCTCCCGGTGAGCTTGATGTGCTCGCAAAGTTCTTGTCCGATCAAGCGAGAAATGAGAAACATGATTAGACCAAATTGGATTTTAAATAACAAATTGTATTAGGCTAATAATTTCAAGAAGGTGTATTGATAGATTTGTGTTTGAATACGATGTCGTTTGTAGTGAAATTTCAGACAATATCAACAATGATAAGACGGTAGGATTGTGGTGCAACAAGGCTGGACATCTTATTGGTTCTAGCCTAAGATGCCCACATTGTTCCCAATTGCCCATCTTTAAACTCACTTACAGCCTCACTCTCTACATTCCACCACAACAAAATATCATCGTCATAATAGCCATCATGTCTTGCAGCTCGCCATGATTTTGTGGCCAATCGATCCGTATCTACCTAAGCAATGGCAGGCGTACCTGTGCGCACACCCTTTCAGCCTCGCTCAAAAGCTCACACAGTCGTGAACACCACCGCTATCTCTCCAGAACCGATAGCCACATCGAACTCTCGACCTAATACTCCAGCCGGTCCCATCAGCCGTAACCTCTCTACAGATGCTATCTCGGATAGGTCTACATTACTGTTCATACGTCGCACATTATGCTCACACCTGAGTGAGAAGGGTCGTAGTACCCCAGCTCCAATCGATGAGATACTTCCCCCGTTGACGAGTAGTAACGAGGTTGATCTGCAACTGTACGCGTTTATAGCAATCATAATCAGGGAATTTGTGTACACATGGTATGCCAAAATTACACCAGATCAAGTATTTGTGGAAGAGGTGGTGAAAATTATTGCCCATTGTACGAGAGGTCTGGAACAAAGGCTAAGGAAGGTGGACTTGGAGAGCTTGTTGCTTGAAGAACTACCAGATTTGTTGGATACACATGTTAAAAGTACAGCTACTTAGGGGATACATCAAGTGACGAAATACTAATTTATTGTGAAAAGTATATAGAACATCGCACTACTCCCTACACCCAGAACCAATTTCGGTGGACCCGCGTCAAGCATATCATTCTCTTTGGCCTTTTGCGCCGCTATCGCCAGTTCCGCTTGAAGGAGATCCCGATACGATTAAGGGACAGTCGAATAATGAAGCTGCTTATAGACAATTGATCATCAACGGTCTTTTAGCCGTCTTATTACCCACGGAAGATCTCGAAAATGATTGTTTGACATCCTTGGTTGGTCAAATATTCTCAGAGATGATACTGGGCAATGGCATCGGAGGTAAGGCCTGCGAACCCTGGCTATTATGGGAAGGCATCATGAAGATTGCGGAAGTCATACAAGCTCGACTACCGAAGTCTAAAGCGCAAGTCAGAGTTGACAGGTCAAATTCCGAAATTACCAGGCCAAACTTATTGGATATTAAAGATGGCGGCACGAAAACTTCGAATTTCGGAAAATCGATGCAGAAAACCTTTTGGCTAGTTCTTCAATATTTGTTTCTAGCGTTCGCCACGATTCGGGCTATAACCATTGCTATTGCAACCTCATCTTCATTGCCGTCTCGTATTCTTTCTACAAGGAAACCTACTGGCTTAGCCTTGCCGAACGATGATCCGGAACCGCCGATGAATTCGGAAGCATTACCTTGGGCTAGAGCTCAACCACTCAAGCGCCCTATTCTCAAGATGAGGTTATGGTCATGCGTGTCTACTTTGCTAGATATGGATACCCGCATGCCATGGCTGAGCGCCACATTATCTCTTCTTCAATGGGGTGCAATTACCGGCCCTGGAAAAATTGGAGATACAGACGGCATGATTGATAAGTAAGTTACTATGATTGATCACTTCTCATTTTTTTGGTCCCGAGTTCCAGAACCCATCTATACATCACACCGCATGAGATTTTGGTCACTTGACCAAAAACGTTCCAGTTAACTTGCAGAAACGAAGTCGTTTAAAATGCTGTTTATCATCAGGGATTTATAAAAAGTTCCCGTTATCGGTATGCATGACAAGGGGCCTGCAGAAAGCCGAATGAGGAGTCTCTTTTCAGATGCCTAGGCTTCAGCCACTAGAATGTAATGTAACCTCGACTTAATGGATTTTTTAATCCCTCGAGAAATGATATACGCATCGACATCATGCGGTCATATCTTTGAATCCAATCATCCTTTGAACCTGCATCATTTTGCATTCAACCACGACACATTTCCCGTTTCCCGCATTGAATCATGAATTATCCTTTTTATCCCTGTTATTACGTTTCGTATTGTGGTGCTTCGAATTTGGGTCGAAAAATGTGTCGTGCCTTACGATGGCCTTCTCTAAGCGCCCGGCTCAATACATTTTAGTACGCCTCGCATCATTGCTGTGCATATCTCTTCCCCACCAAAGGCATTTCCTAAACCAGTCAATTACCGCTTTCTTCCTTTGTAAAACTTGGAAGATCTACGTTTCTCCGCTTCTTGGCCCCCATCTATATCATGGCCGAGGCGAGCAAAAACATCCGATGACTTCGCCGGGCTTTCCAGTGGCCTGGCTGCGGAGAAAGATCACTGATGTTACACAATCCGCCAAGGTCTTATTCGGTCTACCAAATGCTATTTTTCTTACAATCCATTACCATTCATTTCATCCATACATCCCATCAGTTCCCCTATTTTCCACACGCAGCACAAACATAAACTTGCCGGAGGCTGGCACACCTCATGTCTCAGCAATAGTACAATTCACAAGCTAACAAGCATCCATAGACTCCTATCCCACCAAATCCACACCCACATTTTGGACCCCACCCTTCTGGCCCCCCTCCTCTGCACAGTCCGTCAAACCCTCTTCCCCAATAACACGCTCGCACAAGCTAGAAGCCCTCCTACTCCTGCCGAAACCATCGAAATACGACGAAGGTGCGCACAGGCTATATTGGGGTTGATACCAATACATGTGCGGGATATTTATTTTGGCCGTGCTCCTTTACATTCCTCGGATGCTAATATCGATGTCGAAGCGAAAACAGCCGAATCCTCAAAGGAAGAAAGACATATCCGAGAAGTAGAAGATGTGTTGAATGTATTCAGCGATGTGTATTGTAATAAACACCTACTCTATGGAATTGTGGAAATTATCATCCTGAGATTGATACCAGAGTTGGGGAAAAGGGGTGCAGGAGTTATTGGATGAGAGGTTGAATTAATTAGGTAGTTTTAGATTTGGATTTTCGGCTTGTCGTTTATTGAATGTTTAGATACCCATAATCCAATCCCATTTATGAAATGGAAATATAAATAAATCAAATTGAATTGACTCAATCAAACACTCACTGTGCAGAGAGAATATCTTCAACAACACGAGTGAGGAATGTGCAGCTTGTAAAGTCCAGGATTCTGTGCGCAGCAGATAAACCACCCAAGTCATTCATTCCATTTGTATAATTTTTGTTTTGCAGAGACAAATAAGTGAAGTGCCAGCTAGCTTTGAAAAAAAAACGAGGTGAAAAAAAGAGTCTGGAACCCCATTGTTTGTGCTAGGAGATATCTTTCTTTCTTTCTTTCATCCGTCCAATGCATCCATCCATCCATCCATCCATACACATATATCTTATCAGATCAGATGCAACGCGTTCTGTCTCTTCTCATATTTCCATTTTTCCATCTCGTCTCCTCCTAATCTCATCCCCTCCCATCTCATCCACGGAGTATAAACGAAAGAATTTCAACCTGTGGAATAAGTATGCTATGCTATGCTATACTAAAGTAAACTAAAACTAAAACTAAAACTAAACTAAACTAAACTAAACTATAAACGAGAGAAAGAAAGAAAGAAAAGAATATCCTAAATACAAAAAGCTACACCTGAAGAGAGAGAGAGCGAGGGAAAGACAGAGAAGAATAAGTAGTTATAACACAGGACACAAGACACAAGACAAGCAAGCCGTACATTACTGTAAAAAAACCCCAAGGATATAAATCAAAATTGTCGGGGAATATGAATTTGAACTCTGCAGCATCAATGTCGCAGAAAATGAAAAAAAAAACTTGTTCCATCAATTTCGATTCCGAAGAATCTTAAAGACAAGGAGACACACACATGAAGAGGAATAAAAAGCCCGCCTAAAGGTACAAAACGAAAACGTGCTATGTAGGGTATGAAGAGCGAGTGCCTCAGCGTTGAAAGGGCACCAGAGCGCATATATAACAGAAAGCCGTATGAAAGACGGCGAAATAAGATTTGTAAAGAATTAAACGCGAGAAACAAGCAAGTCGTACTGAGCTAGAGATTTCGCGTGAGCGTCGAAGATGTAAATAAGCAAAATCTTGAAACCGATTGAGCTTGGTTTGGGTATATAAATTTCATCCGAGAACATGTCCTGATTTTTTTTCGGTTCCTTTCCGGACCTCCGATTTTGGTCGCGACGGGTATGCAACTCGCCCTCAATTGCAGTTCCTGCTTGATCGTAGCAATCAAAATATAAAACGCAAGAGGAGGTGCGAGGCCGCTGTAGATAACACGAAGAACATGAAGACGGGTATTTTCATATACAAGTTGAAAAGATATGATGGAAATAACGCCGAGAAATGTTGACTTTGGAACCGTATATTTAAATGCCATGAATTACATAGATATTAAACGCATATATAAAAGAGATGCGAAACTCATTGTTAGTTAACAGGCCGTGGATTGCTCCATCTTCATATTTTGTGGCTGGTTATCGCAGTCCTCCTGTTCCGAGATCCGATGCAAACCGCCTGGTAAAGGTCCGGGACTTTGTTGCTGTATTCGCAGCTTGTCAGTCAGTTTTAAAACCGTCAGATAGTCATTTTGATCCACCAATCCAGTAGGAGCTTGATGAAAAAAATTGAGCAACGTATCAAGCGCTCGGCGTGCATCATCCTGGGTAGGTGAGTTCGGTGTTGAGAGATGTGGAGGCGATTGCAATCCGCTAATCGGTGTATGTGATGCCGGTGGAGGAGCCATAGAGCTGTTACTGCTGCTATGATGTAAAGAACGTGGCGATATTGCAGAATCCAATCCAAAAGGAGCGCCTAGTTCATGAACAGGCGATTCGACGGCCGATGAAGGGGCTGTGTCCGGTAGATTGTATTTTGGGGTCATAGGATCTGTACCCTGCGAGGCGATGAATGAAGGATCAATCGCTAAAGTGGGGAAGGTTTGGCTTCTTGGACGTTGAAAATTGCTAGCAGGGTTATTTGCGTCCATCCCATTGTTCATACTATCTTCAGTATTAGAGTTTCCACTTCCGTTGGCCGGCTGTTGTGTTATCCGAGATTGCTGAGATGGCATCCAAGATCCAGAACTCCCATCAGGAGAAAATGCGAATGGGGTTGTTGGGCTAGTCGGTCCCCCTGAGAATGACGAAGGGTTATTGTCGGTAAACGCACTAGACAATGAAGCTGTGCTGTGAGAATTTGAATGTTGCTTGAAGCTCGTCGTTTGAGTAAAGTCAAAATAGCTGTTCAAGCTATCATGCATATGATGGGACCTGAGGTCCTCACTACTCTTCGCGGACGCCAATAGCAAAGGAGACTGTAATGGCGAAGAAGGTGAGACACCATTAGATGTACGCGATCCGGAACTTCTACTTGAGTCAATATTGATTGCCATACGTTCGGAAAGACTACCAATATCGGCCGCGGATGCCCTTCGTCTGAGGTGACCGATGCCATTCTTTTGCTTGAATTTTTCTAGCCAACTTGTACTATTTGTTTTTAAGTGACTCTCGTTGTTGCCAACAGTGGTGGCAAAAAATCTGGCCTTCTCCTTAATCGCAGCATCGGTAAGAGGAATCCCCTGTTTTTGGGTATTCCGAACCCAATTCGAAAGGGCTCTCTCGATATCAGGGAATTTTCCTTTGGCCCGTTTAACTGGAGACAAGCTTCGATCTTCAGGGAAAAGATACTTTTCTCTTTGGCGTAAAACTTTGGAGACGGTACTGGGATTTTTCTTTAGTCAAGATCAGGACCAAATGCCAACTATAAACTATACCTTCGTTCGACACCAAACATAGCTAAGAGTCTTAAATTAGCAAGAAGATCACTAGAAGAATTTTTTATGCCCTACCTCCAATCTCGGTCTGCTTAACAGTAGGATTATCCTCATGATATTGACACATCCGCCTTCGATCACTATCAGTCAGTGTCTTCCTTGGAGTCGGAGCAGCATGAATCGCTGGAAGTTTTTGAGCAGGCTTTCCAGAGTTCGCTGGAGGAATTGCAACAGGTGGTGCTTGGGAGTTCGCCGGATTTGTCAACATGCTCGGCCACGTGGGATTATTTGGCATGATGAGAGGAAGGAGTTGCTGGTGATGTGTGGGATATGTCGGCGGTGGAGGTGGCATCCTTGGATATTGAGGTTCAGTAGGCATTGGATGATGAGATTGCATATACTCAAATGGAATCCTATTTTCGTAGATTGGTGATTGATGCTGTGATGAACTGTAGCCGTTGCCCATTTCCGGCCAACCTTCACCGCCGTATCCATTTTCCTGTGGATTATGATTTTGCTCATGGTCCATGCCAATATGGGCCATCATAGATTCGTGCATTCTATGATATATGATATTTAAACGAATAAATTTCCTGGTGTTTCCTCAAGTTCCAGAAATCTGAGGCAATTGGAGTTGTTTATGGTACAAAACCTTGCGTAAGGTGTACAATATCAAGGACGTTGAAAGCCTCAAGAGCGGGATACTGCATGCATGATAAGCAAAGCGAAGAGTGGTTCCTGGCAGCGTTAAATATATGAACCCTGCGGAATCTGCAGGAGCAGCAGATTGAGCCTGGCTGGATTTTTTTGATTTTTTTCCCCCCCAAAAATATGGAGTTTCGAATGCGAGAATATTTTTCAAATTTGTTTGAGCTAATGCTAGACACGCACAGCTGGAGGCAAGATGCACGCACTTCTAAGTGTGGTGGTTGTGGTCGTTATGGTGGTGGTGGTGGTGGTTGATCTTGGTGATGATGGTATGGTGGTGGCCGTCTGCGGTAGATGGGGCAGAAGATGATCAATTACCTATGCGACAAGGGAGGGAAGGAATAAATGCTGGGAGAAAGATGCTGGGAAATGCTCGCTGCAATGCCGAAGAGGGGGATAAACACGAGGCGTATGCAAAAGACTGCAATTGCAATGGTTATTATATTATGCTGGGGAAGGCGCGCAACAAAAAAAGATGTATGATGTATGTTTGATGGATGGATGGAACGTTATAGTAGGTAAGTAGGAGGTAAAACTGGACTTTTTGGGTTGTGTGGTAGTAGGTAAAGGTCGACTTATGGGAATTTGGCAAGGTAGAGGTTCCGCAGCAGCAGGAGAAGGGAGTACTTGGGAACTGAATAGATTAATGGTGGGGACTAATTGGACTAGAGAAAATAGATGCTAGGCTTGCTTTCTTTTGCTACCATGCTAGTCAAGACTTCTTTTCAAATAAGTTTATAAGTTTATCAGAATCATATCATAGGAGCGAGCAATGAATGGCATGGCGAGGACTAAATCAATGAGCGAGCAGCAAACGAGCTTGTAGAATGGGATAGCAAGGGTACGGAAGGAGAGGAAGAGAACGAATCGAAAGGGGATGAATGGAGGGAGCTCTATGTAAAATTCAATGGAACCGCAGAAAGACAGAGGATGGACCTAACAAATTCAGAAAAGGGTAAATCAATTCGGGTGAAAATATTCAAAATATTCAAAGAGGTTATTTACAAGGATCCGAATTGCTCATTGGAAGATTTAGGTAGGGTTTACTATGGTTTCGTAAGGTCCAGGTACAGGGAAAGTACGAAGTAAGACTTGAAGACTTGCTTGATTTGCTGCTTTGATCAAATGATTGCTTGGGAGAGAAATCCATCCATCAGATGAGAAGCGAATCTAATCATCCCATCCCATCACATCTTTGTGTATATGTGTGTGTGTGTGTGTGTGTGTGCTCCTACTCAAAATTAGCTCAAGTAATAACTCCTCCGTAGACAACAACTATACCATAAAAGCTATCCATCTAGTATCTAGCTGGAGAAATCGCCGAACATCTATAGCTCACACGTCTACAAGCATCTATACGGGATATCGGGCTTTCATCATGAAGAGTGGATAGGAATAGGTCAAGTATCTAATTTCATACGATTGACCCTTTTTGAAGCTTTTATTCACTGAAAATATCAAGGTCCACTCTCACCCGTTTTCTCCAAGATTGAAAAGTTGAGGCTTTCCAGGTTTCTTTCAAGGGTATATTCCAATGATTATCGTCCAAATAGGTTAAATTTCAATTCGCATCTCATTTCAGCTGATTCAAATGGAGAACGGAACTAAACTATTCAAGGTCTAAAGTTTTACTGAATATCGTGGATGATAACCAGGATATGGGCGAATGAGACACTGAGGTGAAGCTCTTTGAATTTGCTTTTAGTTTCTACTCCGTAGGCTGTTAATCAACGGTACACTCCGGGAAGCCATGAAAAAAACGAGGTAAAACCGTCAAATGATCTATGAAGCTACTCTGCTTAGCTGGAGTCAGTTGCCGCAGTAAGGACAGGTAAAATGTTTGTCGTCATATCATATCATTTCAGCACAAAGTACTATAGCTATGTTGTTCGAATTCAATCGATAATACTTGTCATCAGTTCTCTCTACATTCCAAGTTCTATTCAAACAATCCAGCCCCTTCATCGTTTCGTCTCGCCAAATTTCTCAGCATTTTCATAAACGAAGCTGATGGTGTAGGCAGTAGGTAGGGAATTACAAGGATTTTGAAAAAAAGCTCATAGCTCCAGTAGCTTCAGTTCGGAGCAACTTTCGACCATCACCAAAGTATTCCCTAAACAAGTAAGGAACTGAACCCCTCTAGACCAAAAGTGTCATATATCATATTAGCCAGAATTCGAAACCCGGCCTCCAAGTTACAGTGTTCATGGTGTAGAAGCTACATCCCTCAAACCTCGTGGAAAAGAGGGTTGTACATGTTGCAGAAAAAGGCCCGTCCCTTTACCAAATGAACCCTCATAGGTATTCTTATCCTAAGTTTTAGCCCCAAATTGAGAGATATCGCAAGGTGATTGCCTGATCATTTTGCATTACCTACTCTCTATAAAACAACCTCGCCTCATTTTTGGTCCTGGGGGCCTTTAAAGTAGGTAGGTGTCCTTCATCCTTCGTCCCAAGTTTCCAACTGTTGGTACCGACATACTTACTATGTTTGTATGGTTGGGAGCTACAGATATCCGATGCAACCTTCAGCAACCTTCCTGCACTTCAGCTTTATGGTAAGGCTCCATTCAATGCTTCGCTCCAAGGCGTTCGTGCAGCCCATATCATACTGCATTCGCACCTGCATTGCCCCTGAGTAACCCACCCGAAAGACACAGACAGGTAACAGGATACAGCCATGACCGTCTTCATTTATCCCACCCATAATATCCATCCCCATTTCGCCTCGCGTCTACTCTGGTTGCGAGCTCCGACATTGTACAATCGCATCGATCGCATGCGTACATATTAACCAGGGGTTTCATTCTTAGAAATCTCAATCCCCCACTATCCATCTCTTAACTTTTACTTCGCAATGACATTATATCTCACCGAGTTCTTCTTTGAGAAAATTGAATTTGTAATTGCCGAAAGCGTTAGACCGACTCACATACGTGCATATGTCATCTTTCTTCGTTCCCGTTCCCCGTCCCCGTTCAAAGCAAGAACTACCATCTACCTAATCTACCTTGTATACCTACCGACAAACACATCTACATTGCTCCCGCACCATTACCCATATCAGACGGTGTCATTATCCTAACCGAATTTCCCGAATAATGTGGAGGAACCTCTCATTTGAAGTTGGGCTCCCCATCTTTGTGCAGCATCCACTCTGTCAACTACTGGTCCAACCATAGAACTCTTGTGTCAAAAGTTCCGGGTGAAATCCCAATGGCCCACAATACACACAAATCTATTTGCAGTGATTTTTCTGCATCATCATTTTTCATAACTATTCTCTCCCATTTTTCTACTTTTTCCTACCCTATATTCATTATCATCCATTTATTAAATCTTCAGCAGGGCCATCGATCAAATGAGCCTTACCTTTGGTTTCATCAAGGGCATTTTCACAAGCGGCCATGAGGCACCGCTATCATATACGAATGTGCAGCCTCAAGTTCAATGATTCACCATCCAAATTATAGAAAACAGTAAAACATGTGTGGCGCATTGGCCGTTTGAAACGAAATCTTAGCGACGGAGGGTATGTAAGTAGCCAGAAGATAAAAATAAAATAAACGCGTCCAGACGGTCCACCTCGTCTCCAAACATCCATCTACCACCAACATGAACAGCGGTGAAGGAAACTTCAACCTCGGGATTTGAAGATCATCCATCACGAGGAAACAAAACTTCATTTCGATTAACTCCATAGCTCAGATCTCTTTCCCTCTCCGTTGGCTTGTAGCGGGTAAAACATACATATATATATCATCATATATGCTCAAGTCTCAAGTTGTTCGTTCGTATTTAGCTAGCCATTTCCACATTTTTGTCGGCAACAATTGAGACAATCTCATCTCCATCGCGGGGAAATGATCCTCATCCGCTCTGCTCATTCTGAGCCTCTGCACGGCTGGCTCAGTGAGTATCTGGTTCTAGGTTTGACGGCTAGATAACCTTGATATGGTGGATTTGCCCTGTCGAGATCAACTTTCACATTTTCATGAACTTCCCTCAACTTCCCCAAGTACATACTCTAGATGATCCCATCATATCAAGAACTATATATATACACCAGATATCCCACAACCACAATTACAACAAGCAACTCACTCCCAGTTCCCGAGCTTACACCAATTACTTCCTCCAATGTCTCAAGTCCCCAATACAGTAATTCCCCATTTCAATCGTCATCAAAGAAAAAGCCCCCCTCCCAAAGAAGCCAAAAACACCCAGTTCCACAGTCCGGAGCTCCAAAGCACCAGGCAAGCATTGGGCAAGCAATTGCAAGCAGCCCACCGATGGCATCCATCAACCGCTAAAAATTCATCTGTAGCCGCCGACCATAATGGCAAGGCAAATAAATACCCAATTACTGGGTACGGTACCTATACGGAACGGAGCATGTCATGTTTGACAAACCCTATAGGGAAAGAGATCCAAAAAAGGGATATAAATAATAAATAAATAAAAGGAAGGGAATATGGGTAAATAGCGAATAAATAATGAATAGTGAGAAATCTTTATGGGAGTTTGAAGCGCCGGGCGATGGGAACTGGAGTGGATGGGAACTGGACAGGTACAGGCACAGGAACAGGAACGGGGATAGATGGGATAGATGGGATAGATGGGATAGATGGGATAGATGGGATAGATGGGAGAGATGAGATAGCTTTGGTGGATCAACAGGTAAGGTATTGACATTGACACTGACATGGACATAGACATGGACATGGACATTACCACCGATATCCCAAAAACACCGCAATATCCCACGTCCCATATTCCACCCGTCAAAATCTGAGATCATACTCTAGATACCTAAAATGCATAGAAGGATAGATGCACAGAATCATCAGAAACATAAAATATGAAGCAATCGCCAAAAAAAAAGAAGAAGTCTATACAACCATATTATATCATATATTATTTATTATTATACTATACCCAACTATACCATACCATACCACACCTACCTACCTACTTATCTAGATATATCTACTCTATATACCTATCTAAGATCACAATACGATACGATACGATACGATACGATGCGACATATTATGTATGATATGATATGATATTTTATGACGTGACGTGACATGACATGATAAGGAACGATATGATATGATGGACAATACACCGATCCGGACATTCCATTCATCCATTCATCCCTCCATCTCTATCCATACATCAGGATCCAGAATCTCAAGATCTAGATCCGGGAGTTTTGGGTTTGGTGACAGCTACATGTAGATTGTAAGATGATAAATGATAGAGATAGATAGAGACAAAGAGACATGTAGCACAGAATAAAAAATAAAAAGATTAGTTAATACCAACTCCTCATACTCATACTTCACAGAAATCTACTACTCGAGTAGAATCGAATCATTTCCATTCACTCAATTTGCCCCGTCGATTAAAGATGAATGACTATTGGGTTCAGCTCAGTTCATTCGTATATTTGAAGAAAGGAGGTAACCTTATGGGAAAAAGTAGTGTAGATAATTAGGTAAATAGATATACAGAAGCAAACCCGTAATCAATACTATACAGTATCCTTCCTATTTATCAACTATAATTTAAAGAACAATCAATATATTCTATATAACTCAAACTCAGAAGGCAGAACTCAAACTCAAACTCAAACTCAAACTCAAGCCCTAAACTAAAATCCAAATCCAAACTAATCCTATCCCATCTCCCATCTCCCATCTCCATCGTTATATAGAAAACAATTCCCCCTTACCATCCATATCTATATCCATATCCATAACCATACCATAACCACACAACAACCAACTCAAGAATAAACACCCCTCTCCATTCTGACACGTGTTGCCCTAGGAAAGTAGCGTATGTAAGATCTTACATGTTCGAAAATAAATGGGTAAATGGGTTTACCCGGAAACAGTCCTATACAAGTCACTCGGACGAGTTAATAGAAGAACGAATGTCATAAGCACATTAGCATGCCGCCCTCCGCCCCTGCCGATTCCATCGTGAATATCAAAGTATAGAAATCACCATTACCTCATCCATCTCACCTAAAGACTCAATCCCATCTTTCAGTCATCTCATCCAAGCTTCTCGTTCAAGTAGAGCCAAGCGAAAGGAATCTAGGGTTCATCATCATCTGTTTTGTTTTGTTTGTAGGCGCTCTTGAAATTCCATTAATATATCGAGTGAAGATCATTCATTGATCCGATGAAAAAATCTCGCCACTCTCAGTTTAATATATCCCAGGAGTATAGCGGCATGTGTATACAATATAGTTGAGTAGACATCTGTTTTTGGCGGCCTATCCTAGTCATTCAAGCACACTGGAGAAATTTGTCTTTTGTATATTCATTCATGTCCCCCTCATACCGACTACCTTCATGGCCTTTATATCAATTAAGGAGGAGCGCCGCTGCGCAGATACAAACCTACGAGGCGACTACTAGTAGCTAACCAGCGAACTTCCCTTTCAAAGTCCGGAGCCCAATGTCCGAATATGTCTGTACCAAGACCTAACGCCATTGACTCCCGACGAACGTTGCTATATGTACCGCTCAGCTCATCTATCTATCTTCCGATGATCCCTGACTTCTTTTACTCTTTCTCCTCGGTGTTCGTACAACTGGAAGATCCTTGGTGTTACACTGTATTGTTAAATTTTTGCGTCTTCTATCGTTTGACAATAGTAACTGTATGGAGAGTTAGTCAAAATTCGGCTTAACTAGGCGACATGTGGAACTTACTAATATCTTCATCCGCTAGTTCGTGACTAAGGCCTACACGTTGTGGTTGATGCTTGACGGATTTTCCATAAACAATAGCTACGCGGAAATCATCCGCAATAGTCTTATGGATTGCGTTACACTTCGATAATCAGTCAGTCACTGATGTGGTGCTACGTAACTTCTCGGAATGATTAAGAAGCGACTTACAAAATCTTCAACTGTGCACCTGGTGGAGCGTAACACCACTGGTGCGGTGTAATCAGGTAATTTTCCTTTGGGCTTTGTATAAACTCTGACAAGGTTGAGTTTCTCCCACCTGTTCAAGATTAGTATAAGGTTGTTAGGCAATTGCAATAACTGTATAAGTCTGCTAGCCCTTGGTAAATGCCTTGCATCTTCCCTTGAGCCAGTGGATTATAGCACCGGAACGCCGCATCGCTTGATAGGACTATGGGCATTACTCTAGGGCAAAATGGAATAACAAGGCTCGCAAACCATGAACTTACATCTGTTCTAATAGTTCATCAACGTTCCACCCGTGCTCAGACGAGATGGGACATGCGTTAGGAATTCTGTAAAGCAAATCAAGTTCCTCTATCGAAATAGCATCGATTTTGTTCAATGCATAAATGACAGGAATATAACTTCGTCCTTTGGCCTCAAGTACGTCTATTAGATCGTCGATAGTAGCATCACAACGAATAGCGATATCTGCCGACGATATTTTGTACTCATTCATGACAGCCTTGATCTCATCATGATCGATGTGCGTCATCGGGACGGTATTGGTGATATTGATTCCACCCTTATCCTTTTTCTTAAACACGATGTTTGGTGGTGATTTGTTGATCCGAATGCCAAATCCTTCCAGTTCGTCTTCAATAATCTTCTTATCCGTCAAGGGCTTATTGACATCCAGTATGATGAATATCAAATGGCATGTCTTAGCGACCGCGATGACTTGTCGACCTCTACCTTTTCCGTCCTTTGCTCCTTGAATAATACCTGGAAGATCCAGAATTTGTATCTTGGCTCCATTATATAATATCTGACCGGGTACTGTCGTTAAGGTCGTGAATTCGTATGCCGCAGCCTCCGAATGTTGTCCAGTAAGTTTGCTCATCAATGTACTCTTTCCAACCGATGGAAATCCTATAAATCCAACACTAGCGACACCTGTACGTGCTACATCGAATCCTACACCTGCTCCACCACCACTTGACGAAGGGGTCAACAACTCTCTCTTGAGCTTAGCGAGCTTTGCTTTAAGTTGACCCAGATGGAAACTCGTCGCCTTGTTCTTTTGCGTCTTGGCCATCTATCGTCCCGTTAGAATTCGTCGAGGGTAAGTCGGCCGGGTCCCAGAAGTATACCTCATCCTCAATTGCTCTGATCTGTAGCGGGGCATTAGCATTGAAAAAAAGTGGCCAAGGGAGGAGCATACCTTATCAGCGGTTGTCGACATGGCTGCGGATTTTTCTGGTCAGATCCAGAAGTCGTATCGAAGAAAGTTTATTGCTAGAAAATTTGGTTGGTGAAAGAATGCAATGCGATTTTCCTCAAGCTGGTATCAAATTTTGGAATTGAAGTGATGTGAATTTCATTGTGGGGTTCCGCTTCAAAAATTATTTCTATGATCACATAGTTAACCTTGTAACCTCAGGCACAAATATTCACACACAACCTGCACTAAAAGCATCCATTTCTGATCTAAATGTTATTCTAACTCACATGAGCTTCGAATCGCCTCACCAAACACTCATCTACAATTTAACTTTTTTATTGAAATTATGGACATTCGAAATATCTGTATAGCCTTCTTCGTTCTAGGAACCACGGTCGATTTGGGAGGAACCTTGATACCTTCGTTTCGACAGCATGTCATGAACTATGGCAGTCGAGGAATCACGCCGAACGCTTCCAAAGACGCTTCCATCCTGAGCAAGCCCGCTAATATACTGGAATACATTGGGTCCATCCAAGTTCCTCACACCTGGTTTAGTCATTACTATATTGTATCCGTGGCCTCTTCGATCTTCTGGGCACATCAAATCATCGCACGTGGAGCTGCTTTCAGATTTATTGCCTCGTACTCCCAACATGATACCACGAAATTGATGACGGTTAATCAGATAGCTTTGGCATGGGGATTTATGGCTTTACAGGGCAGCCGGAGATTGTATGAGAGCTTCACGCTTACCAAACCTTCTCAGTCAAAGATGTGGATTGGACTTTTGGTTGTTGGCGTTGCGTACTATATTTTCATGGGCATCTCAGTTTGGATTGAAGGTATTGGTGGGTGACAGCAACTATGCTTTTGTGTTGTTTTGCTAGTGACTAACTTCCAAAGCCACACTCAATGCGATTGAAAATCCACTAGATCTAATAGAGATCTCGAAGCCTTCTCTGAAGACCTCTGTGGCGGTACCTCTGTTTGTGATCGCATCAGTAATTCAACATGAGTGTCACAAGCACTTAGCAAGTTTGAAGAAGTATACCCTTCCCTCACACCCATTCTTCCGCAACATCGTCTGCCCTCATTACACTAGCGAATGCTTGTTGTATATTGCCATTGCCATTGTGGCCGCGCCTCAGGGACAGACTCTGAACAGAACCGTTTTGGCAGGTTTGTGTTTCGTGATATCAAATCTCGGTGTGACTGCAGATTCTACTAGGAAGTGGTATGTCGCGAAGTTCGGCATAGATAATTTGAAGGGTAGATGGAGAATGCTACCTTATGTGTATTGAGATGAGGTTCGCTCAGAGTGTGTGGATAAGTGGCTCGAAAGATAGATGGAGGAGGAGACCATGTCAAGACGAGACGTCTCAGCGTTTACCGAATATCCCTAGCTTAGTACCCAACTTCGATACCTTCAGTACGTCGCGATACGTAAGGCTTAGTCGCTCACGTCTTTCGTATCTTCCGTCAATGATTCCATCTTCGGACCGTAGAAGATTCCAGTTTGCGACTGTTGTAGAATTGAGATTGATATCTGCTTCAATCTCGGATATCCCATGATAATAATTTGTGTATAGCTCATCTGTTGTGATCAACAAACTTCTTGGTTCCTGAAGAATCCTCCACCTTGGTTGTTCCTCTCTTGTGCCATCCTCTTTGTCCCCATATATATCCAAACATAGACTTGCGCCCAAGCTTACGGTGCAGACGACAGGATGATAGGCCGATCCATCTTTGTGTGGCATGATTCCTTGATTGGGTAGGTATTCATTTATTAGGACATGGGTCGGACATCCATGGGGACTATCACTAAAGATATGGCGTCCTTCATCTTTATGCGAGGTAGGCAAGGAGAGGAGTCGAGAGACAACAGGATCTGTTAGCCACACGGGCAAAGGCGCATCCAATAAAGTATTCTTCGTCAAATCGGAGGGCCATGTTTGAAGACGACGATGAGTCAACTGCTTCCACCGTGGTTTTGGTGCTGTCGCAATCTGCAAATGCGACGATGTCAAATATCGAATCTCAAGCTGATAACGGTGGATGAGCTCAGGATTTACTTACTTTCTGCAACAATACCTGTTCCTCATCCTCCGTAAGGAAATCGGGAACATAAAATGCTTTCGAGGGTAGGGACTTGATTTGCGCCTCGTCGAGACATGTTGGTAAGGTCAATTGTTGGAAATCCATTGTTGACTATATCTGATAAGAGACGGCGAAGAGCTAGGAAAAGGAAGAAAAAGGACAGAATACCAAGGTACGGTATGCAAATTCCATGATCAGAATATCTAGGAGTATGGAGAACAACTCTAAATGGTGTAAGTATGATACGGATACAGCGACGGAACTATAGAAACGAGGGGAAGTTTTAATCCCGACCAACAAAAGTACAAAAGGACAAAAGTAAGGTTACCGCTAGCTTTTAGAAAGTAATTAACCTTGGATGCAATGAATCTTAAACCGAGGAGCGAGTAAGGAGTTTAGTTGGAACTAATTGTAAGGAGCGTGGCTACGGCAGACGGGTAGATTTTATCTACCTGGTAATCACAAAATGAACTTTGTACACCTGGGCAGTGTACCCTAAGCAGCTTTGAGTTTTGAGCCATCCATGTTCGCTATGATAATCTTTACTCGACCCAGAAGGCTCAGAAGAGTGAGTTGATACATACTAAAGAGGAAAAGTGGTTTGTCAATTGATGCGTTGTACTCTGTGTTTGTACTTGGTTATAGTCTTATAGATAGTATGACTAGACTTATGCGAGATTTGTTTGGCTTTTAGACTAAAATTCCCGTCAAGTTGGACTTTCCATTAGATTTCCCTTAACGGATGCGCTACTCGCCGTATGTCGTAGGTAGGTATATAGGTAAATGTCTAGATCTCTTCTTCCCTTACTCAAGTACAGAGCAGAGCAAGGCGAAGAAGCCTCGACGGCAGTGGCGATTGTCAAGCGGAGCATCATTAATTGAGCTAAAAGAACGGGTCGTTCATACATGAGACTATGAAGAGACTTCAATGATTGGGTTTCAGGAAATAATCCAAGTAATGCTTATGTGGGTGGTAAGCTTCCATGAAACCAAGGAGGCGATGTTTTTGGATTGCTAGGTAGTTAGGTACGAAGTACGGAGTACTGTAGCGTTATCAGATGAAGGAGTGAGACATTTGACATTTCAATTCCGACTCTCTTTCCCATCGTCCAAGTAATATAATATATATATAATTATGTTATCTTGTATAATATTGTATATCGTATATAGCATATATTTTAATTACCTATATTTGTTATCAGTTATTTTACATAGCCATTACGTACTAGGTATGTGTTGATGATATATTCACCAACATTGCCGTCTCGCTCGCTCTTCGGGCATCAGATTTCTAGATATCTAAGAGATTTACCTACTATGCCTTCGTAGTTACTAGTTACTAGTTACTACTGTAGCTACTAACTACTGCTTAACACTTCCTACTCCCTACTCCTTCCTCCTCCCACTGCCTACTACGCCGTACTTCCTAGGTGGGTTGGTGGATAATACTGGAACATCATGAACTTATTATTATCATGAAGCTAATCTATTTTCTTCTGTTTGTCTCCATTCCACCCTATCACAATGTGCCATCAATTCACCAAAATCCTTTACCGATGATTTTGGCAATTACTTCCGATAAATGGTCACCGTATTTTTAGTGTCTAGTGTCTAGTCTCTATGGCCTCAACTTATCTTTCCCTCGCTATTTACAAAACCACTCTCCTTCCACCCATCCTCGAAAATCTGTTCTTACAATTCAACCTCACATTAACGATCTATGATTACGATTTTAATGATATTCTTCATATCTTATCCAACCACTCAACAAACATAAGACCTCGAGAGCACGCCATTTTCGATTCTTCCTGCGACAAACCAATCAACCGGCGCATTTATTCCATCCAATTATCACTTTAAAGGACTCGGATGCTCCTCCTTGTCCTTACAATTAGATACAATCAAAGTGTCTACTCATAATACAAGCCAGGATGATCCGCAGGATACAGCGACGCATAGCCTAGATGTTATGGACACTCAAAATCGTCATGGAACGACGGCTACAGGACAAGGGGACTTGCCTACCAGCATTGTCGCTCGAAAAGATAAAACTAATTCCACCACTAATACTATCAAAAGCTCGACCTCTTCCGGAAGCATATCCTCTCCACAGGTGACTGTGACTGATGCGGAGACTATAATGGACGTGGACATGCCCGATGCGCCTCTTGAGGATATTGATGTGAAGAGTGATTCCGAAGCAGAAACAATCGTACTACCAGGCAAGGATGGCCACTCGCCCTCGAAAACTCGAAAATCGATTAAACATGAAGACAAGAGTGACGATGAAGATATCCGGAAGCCGTCCGAGTCAAGGAAGCGGGAAAGTCTATCACTGGAAGCACTTTCTCAAAACGAAAATCACGCAGGAAGGCGCAAACGTCCCAGGGTAGAATCATTTGAATTAAGCAAATCTCATCCTAGCAACGGAAGATTATCCAATCTACAAGACAAACGACACTCTTCTCTCCCCAAATCCTCTGCGCCAGAATTGAGACTTGACAGATCGCCGTCGCCACCTTTATCCATCCTTGACAGCCTTGACAAGGCTAAATCCGTCGAGAGAGCTTTTCCACGGGCCAAACAGAATACATCAGACTCGGGTGATGACCATGTGGATCGCGAAGATCGAAAACCGGAGCGACATCAAAATACTGCCTTGAATGGTACTCAAAGCAAAGAAAATACCCCATCCTTAGACAATCATCTAGAAAGTACAGCAGGCGCCGTGAAGGAACGATCGGAGTCTCCTCACCACGGACGTCCTCACAAACGCAGTAATTCTACTCAATTCCCCTTAAAGTCTATCCATGGTTCGAACAATAGGAGAGGGCGAATACCACCTCCTCTCCTATCTACCGAGTACCAATCAGACGACTCTTCTGCCAGCGGCCGTTCACATCCTCGCAGCTCTCGACCGCGGCAACGCACAGCCCCTATTAGAGATTCTATCATGACATCCGCGGCCCTCCGTGAAAGAAAACGGACAGATAGCTCAGGCGCAACGACGTTATTGCAACTTGTCCGGAAGGACAATATCACAGGAGTGACAGATGAATTGAACAAGCATCCTCAAGACCTAAATCAGGCAGACAATGCATTGAACACACCACTGCATGCTGCAAGTCTCGTGGGTTATGTTCAAATTGCGAAATTGCTCTTGGCCAAAGGATGCACTGTGGACGTAGTTAATGAGGCCGGTGACACACCGCTTCATGATGCCATCGAAAATGGTCATGTTGAAGTTGTGAAACTACTTCTGGAGCATGGTGCTAACCCGCGCAAGGCAAAAAAGGTGGGGGGTGACGAGCCTAGTGACCTAGCAGCGGCCTATCGTGGGGGAGACGACGACATGGCATGGGAAACGAGGAAAGACATGCAGCGGCTTATTGAAGATGCCAAGATTAAGAGTGATGCGTCCGGAAACAGTCTCTCGAGCGATCAAACAACTGTAGAAAGTGTAGATCACGATACTTCCTCAAAATATAGCCCTCGCCACAGCCCTACGTCCGAATATCCTAATGTCCCGAACCGTATACGGGCACGTTCGAACAAAACTACGGACCAAGATCTATACCGAGACCTGAGTAAGGTGGAAATGCTTCGTGAGGCATGTCAAAACGCCGATTACCAAAATGTTTCCAAGTGGTTAGATGTTAATCAGGGTCGGAAGGATGCCAAATCTCTTCTCATAGCGGCAAAAGCTGGCGACCTCTTTGCTGTCGAGCTAATGCTTGGACTAGGTAATTTTGATCGCGACCCCGAACCTTTAAGGAGTGAAGACCCCCGCTGGTCTACTCCAATGCTTTGTGCTATTGATAAAGGACATATTGACGTGATTAATTGCCTGCTTTCAGGAGATTTCGACCCGACTAAACGATGGAATAACAAAACTTATTATGAAATCGCGCTGGAAAGAGAGAAAAAGGGTCACAACTATGATATAGTCGTTGAAAAACTTAAAGAAGCTTTCAATAATTATTCGAAACCAGCTAAACCTTCGCCCTCTAAATCTCGTTCTCCTAAACTCCACCGAGACGCCGATCGCGGCCGTGACTCCAAACGGCCAGTAAGAAATGCCCGTGATCGGTCTTCGCCGTCGCGAAAGAGAAGCCCTTCAAAAATGTTTGACAAAGGCACAGACTCACAGAAAGGCCAGCACGGAAGTAGTTCATCCCTTCGTCAAAGCCACAACGCGCAAAACCAAGCAAGAAGGGGTCCAGGGCGCCCAAGAAAGGAGGAAAATAACGCAATGCATCCGACTTCAGACACGGAAAGCACTCCTCTAGGACCTCCTAAGAAAAAGCCGCAAGCATCAAAGGTAACAGAACCCGATGCTGCCGCAATGTCATCTGAAAATGAACCTTCGAAGCCACGGCGCAAGCTTGTCTCTGGCAAAGAACTAAAAGGGGAACGGGACAAACAGAGACGTGGAAGTGTTGCATCGAATGTTTCTACAACATCTGTTCCAGATCGACGCGGGGTAGACGAATTGAAGCATGCAGACGGTAAACATAGAAATGCGAGCATCGCGCGATTAAGCGAACCTGCCGATGAAGACCTAATGTCAAAACGCCTAGGCACGGAGACAGGTTCTGACAAAGGCGAGAGACATGACAAAACTAAAGGTACAAAACGAGATAGTTCCAAAGACAGACTCGCCTCTATCCGCAGCGAAAAAAGCCCGATAAAACGACAACGTCGGAGCACGACACCGCCTCCCACAGGTATACTTGACACAATAGCTACCACTGAGGATGATGGAGCTCCGTCGAAACGCCGAAGGTTAGAGGGACTTTCAAAACACGTAGCCATGGATCGGAATACGCCAAACTCGTCTCCTGACCATCCAGAGCCCAATTTTGATTCAATAACTTCTAAGGACAAGTCAAATCCAAAAACCACAAAGGAGAACACATCGAAAACTTCTTCTAAGAGCGCGGAAGAGAGTGAGACATGTTTCAACAAAGAGAACGAGGAAGCTCAGGCAGCCAAGAAAATCGAGTCGACAATTTTCGCCGATCTGGAACACAAGAATCAGGCAAAACTGGCTCGTGAAGTTCGGGAGGCTAAACAGCAGGCCAAAGAAGTTAAAGAAGCTCGTGAGGCGATAGCATTGGAGGAGGCGAGAGAAGCGAAGGAGAGAGAGGTAAAGGAGAGAGAAACAAAAGAAAGAGAAGCGAAGGAAGCCTACGAAGCCCAGGAGGCCCAAGAGAGACTAGCCTTCGAGGAGGAAGTTGCCAAGCTAGAACAGGAAGAAGAAGATCGAAGAATACGACAAGCCCAGGAAGAGCGCGACAGGGCAGAACAAAGGCGGTTATATGATGAACAGAAAAGAATAGATCGAGAGAAGTCGGAGCAAAAGCGGGCCGCTGCGCAAGAACGAGAACGACTTGAAAAAGTAAGGCAAGCGCGGGAAAAGGAGGCAGAAAGATTATCGAAACTGCCGCTTCTACTTCGAGCGTTTGATCAACTTCCGCAATCTGAGACGCTCAAAATTGCTTCTTTGCCCAAGTTCAGGATTATAAAAGGATATCGATATGATACGATTAGACCAAAAGCAACAGGCCAACCCAGTGCCCGGGAGCAATGGATGCTTAATACTGACGTTGCGTTACTGCTAGGAGAGAAAGACCTGGAACTATCGAGATGTGAGTAAACTCAAAGGGATACGAAAGGAGTTAATATTTATTGACTGTAATAGATACAGCGTGGGAGCGTATCCCATTAGAGATGGAAGTCAAAGAAGCTATATGGCCACTCGCGCACGCAAAATATTCCCGTGATCCTTTTACACCAGATATCCTCCTCGGCTTGCATGAACGCCTTCGCCTGGAAGAACAAGCCAAGCCTTTATTCTTTGGGCTCGATCTTTTCTTCGTGAAAGTATGTGCCTTGTTTTCCTGGAAATGGTTTGCTTACTAACACTATCCCAGGTCTCTGAATTTATGTTCATTGTACCAAGTTTCCCTCACCTAAGAGGTCTTGAAATGGCCGTCGAATATCAGGAGCTTGTGCCTCTAGGCGCCCTTCCTCTTAACAAATATGAACAAGATTTGGATTACGATCCCAGCAATCCATTCTGGCCTGCTCCCCAAAGATACATCGATGGATTGCTAGTCACACATTCAAAAATCGAAACAAAAACAAGTACGAAGCCTTTCCCGGAATCCAAAGTATCAAGACGAGAACTATCCAACGACAAAGAGTTGATCGCCTTGGCATTGGCCAGGTCACAAATGCTTTGCAACTCGAGGTCGAATTATCGGCCATACATGGTACCGCAGGATCAAGACAATATCACGCCACCCCACTCTGACCGATCTAGGTCGCTCCACGAAGAAGGTCTGATTCAAGAATCTACTTCTGACGTAACCAACCTATCACATCATCTTGATCTACCGAACGGAGCACCCACTATTCTCAACGGAAACATTATGCGTACGGCGGATATACTGGAATGAGTGATGTAGTAATACTATACTTGCTATGCTTGTTAAATAAGCATTGTATATAAGGCATACCCGCAGTATGACTTTGGAATGTTGTGTATATATTCCCCGGCAACGGAGTGTCATACTATGTAAATTAATGACACTTTTTTTTAAACAAAATCCTCGATAGCACGTTATTGTACACAAATCGAGATTCCAAATGTTGTGAGAGACCAGGCGAAAGGATGCTTTTCATATCCAATTCCAATCTCAATCCCAATATCAAGCATCCATAAGGTCTGAGATAGCAGTGGTCGTATTCGAGAAGTAATGGCGTCTTCGACAGAAAAATTCCAAACGGCCAGGATAAGGGGTGCGGAAGGGTGCGGAACGCCTTGAAAACTATACGCCAATTGAAAACGCAATTAGTGTGTATTGTCAGGCCCCTTTGGCTAGATGTCGTATAAATAGTGAAGAAGTTTCGTGATTCGATATAGCTTTCCCTTTTGAAAATGCGTCTGGATCACTTATTCATTGTAGAAATGTATTTTAGATACCCTGTGACTCTTTTGGGTTTTGGTGAGATCAAATCTAGGATTGTGACTTGTTGGCGGTTTTTTGAGGGTGCTTCTCTTCCTCTTGGGGTATATTGAATGATAGAGGTAGGTAGGTGATCGTACTGTAGATTCTTTGGTCTGATCGTCGCCTGTGAAAAGGGAGGTGTGTGGTGGAGGTATGGATCTATGATTGAAGGACATGGTGGTGATAGATAAATTTTCGAGTCGGATGGTTGGTATCAAATGTACTGAAAGTTACATATTTGTATATAATGTGTAAAGATTATCCTTGTTTTTCAATTGAATGGTCTTGAGAATATCTCTCTCCGCCGGATCTGTTCTCCGTTCTGTCGTTAGTTGAAACAAAGTCCCTCGTCCCTCGAATATAATCCTTCCGGAAATGTCCACCTGATGGACTTTCTATTGTGCGATCAATTAAAGACGAAGAAGATACGAGCAGATAAATGTGAAGCAGGTTAATCGCAAAGCCACGCGGTACGAAACAATAAGAGGACTCGAGATTGCAGGCAGTTCAATTGAGCAAATAGCGGACGAGAAGACTACGCATAGGAAGACACCAAATCAGAAGATACCAAATATGGAGACAGTAAATGAGAGGACAATGAACCTCCATGGTAATGTTTTATATGTAACTACTGAGGAAGAATATTGATATGGGTAACATAAGCAATGCTAGAAACTTAACGATAACGGGAAGTCGCAATGAGATGTCTTGAGAGTTATCACAATCCTATCCCGCACCAGTGACCAACTTTCACCGGGAAATAGCCAAGGTTCTTCGTGAATGCATCTTGATGGAATGGATCGAAGGCGTATATATGGTTGAGAGCGAAGATGGCTAGATAAGTAGTATATGTCTGCGAAATCATGCTCGATTCTGCATCGTTCGATCAAAATAGAAAGAGAAATCGAGAGTTTGTTGCGGGACATGAGGATTGGGAGGGTTGTGGGTTTGTGATAAAATCTTGTCGGTTTAATCGATCAAAACCCGGTTTTCGAACGATTATGTGGAAAACACAGGATAAGTAACCCCGTGATGTTGAATTGTGTGTTAGATTCTCTGCTGCATTTTTGTCCAAAGGAGCTTTAAAGGGATTTGAATTAAGATGAGACGATGAGGTGGTAAATGGAAGTGCGAGATATTCATAATGGGTTGAATATGGAAGAAGTGCTGGGGATGTATTTAGAAAATTCTTAGTACACCTGGGCATCATACGTACTAGGCATCCCGATAAGGTAATAAATAACCGACCCCGCCTTGTCCGCTTAAAGCGAGGGGCAAATACTTGTATCACTATCAGTAGATAGATAACAACTACATCATCGGAATATATCAATCAGACAAACCACCATCTAAATTCCCCTTCAATTTGTTTTCCATACTGCCTTCAGTTTCGCTTCGATCGATACCCAGCCTTTTAAAGATTAAAAATTCGGATAATATGATTCAGGAGTCCTGCTGTACTTGTGCGCGTTTGCTTGCACAGATAGGAAGTGATGGATCGGGGAGTGAACCGCCTTCTTATTCGGCATCTACAGCGGGAATCGACCCCCCTTTTGAATCGAGGAGAAGGATTTTGAGTTCCAGTGAGAGAGCGAAGGAAGACGAAGTATTTTCGGAGAAGAGTGGAGCATATGATTGGGAGAAAAAGGAAGACATGATTTGGGAAGAAAAGGAAGGGAGTAGCAGGGGAGAAGATAGAAGATTATCATGCTGTGGCCGCATTATCTGCGGAGAATGCATGGAGCGCAATGAAAGATTCAAGATATATTGTCCATTTTGCCAGGTTAGGAACGGAGACACAACGAACGGGGATACGATATCCGATTCCACAGGACGCAAACCAGCAACGAAAGATAAGCCGCCCTCTTATGAAGAGACCATTGGCAGCCACTCCTCGCATTCTCAAACTTCCCTTCCAGTCTATAGCCACTCTCTCTTCTTCAAATCACAACAGCAATCAGTGACACAGTCACAAAAAGAATCGCAGTCACAGTCACAACCAGATGATATACTTCACTTCCTCTCCCATAGCAGCGATTCCATGACTTCCCTTTCACTCCGCTACGGTGTCCCAATCGAGGTATTGCGAAAGAAAAACGGTATAACAAGCGACTACCTTCTTCTTGCTAGGAAAACAATATTGATACCTGGGGAATGGTACAAGGGCGGTGCGAGTTTGAGCCCGCGGCCAGTGGAAGGAGAGGAGGAGGAGAGGAGGAAAGCAAGTGTGAGGAGGTTTATGGTGGGATGTAAAGTTTATGAGTAAGTTTGCTTGTGATTATTTTTGCTTGGGCGCTCGAATGAGGGGGGGATAGGAAGAGGTTCTAGGTTTATGTACGAATGTGAAGTGGGAGATTTGGGATTGGGTAATGTGAAACGAAGAATAGAGAGCTAACATTGGGTCCTTCATTAGATATGATGTCGCAGTCCTCTATCTTGAGCAAGCCAACTACGATCTAGAGCTCGCTATGGGGGTATATAGAGATGACGAGAGATGGGAAAAGGAAAATCCCATCTCAGATAAAGGGAAGGGTAAAGGCAAGACGAAATATGATGTTGGGAGAAGGAGATTCACAGGACAGAGATAATATAAATTTTAGCCTGCACACAATGAATACTGTAAGATTGAGGTTTCAGATTCTGTTTTAATTTTCGTATTTAAAATAAGGATCATGAGGTTCATTATATCGTGCATGTTGACCGCTTTGTATAAATACAACACCATCTGATACAATATCTTTGCAGCAAATTACACCAGGCTAATATGCCGATCGTGTCCGAATATCCTAAAAGATTTGTTAGCCTCATGTTCTTCCTAATTATGTACTGGGGTTGTGTACCGAAATTTTTCTCTCAATCTCCCTAACCGAGCGGTCCAACTCTCCTGCAATCATTTGTTTCTTGTCCATTGGCAAGAGGGTATATCTTTCGCATAAATCTCCATCAATAACGCCCTTCACTGGCACGTAATAACTTCGGTATATTAAGTGATCTCTTCCAGCCAGGGGCGGGTCTTCTGATCTGAGATGCTGTTCTAAAGTCTGAAAGAAGTCTACGTCCTCTCGACTAACGAATGGTATCAAGATACCAAGTGTACCTTGAAGTCCAGCCCACAATAAGCAATCTCTACCTCCGGCAACGAGGTTCGTCTTTTGAATGCTCATGGGAATATCCTGGGCATAGTTGTGCGCCATTAATGTTAAACGATGTGGAGCTCCAGCTAGGTATTGGCGTTCATGTAGGAGATGAGCACCGGAACCTTCTTCATCCGCTTCCTCGCTGGCTTTAGGAGGGCAACGGAGGAGCCAGAGATTGCCAAACTTGTCCCCTCCTGCAACAGTCTCATAATCTACCATGGTAGTACATGATGTCCACCTTGCGATTGTGTCATCCACGAATGGAATGAGTCTATTTTCCTGGAATTTGTACACAACCATGGTGATGCTCTCTTGAACGTCACTTACAATGATGCGACTACCTTGAGTTTGCAGTCCAACTATCATATTAGGTGCAACTTCGGATTGTGCTTTTCGTAGGAGTTGACGCATTCCAAGGTCATATATGCGTAGATCTTTTCCTACTCCAGCTAATAGTCTTCCTTGGAAAGCAAGTAGTGCCATGGGTGGTTCCTCTACTTTCGTTTTGTGTATAAACTCAAGTTCTTTGCCATCTTCGTGGAAACGATATACGTGAATGAAGCCTGCAGTGGATGATCTTGGGCTAACCACCAAATCCTTACCAGTTCCGACAACCAGGAATGTTTCGTCTTCCTGACTGGCGAAAGCAACAACAGCGACGCTGACTGCCGATTCGTTGTCCTCAAGGTGGATTGTAGTCAAAACTTTCTTTTCAGCCACAGGATCGACAACAGAGATACAAGAAGCCCAGTGATTTTTTCCCCTTGGATACCCAAACTCCTCAGGGGGGAGCACCGTGGCATCTCCATTTACAAGCGAAGGATCCTCGAGTAACTTTTGTTTTGTGGCTGGAGAAAGAATGTTGTTGTCTGCTTCGACCACGTAGAAAAGAGGGTGTTCTGGGTGTCGGACGAAACGACGAGGAGTGTAGGTTAGAGGAATGGATTCTTGTAAGAGGTTATTGGTGAGTTTTTCGATAGAGAATATTCTGTGGTGGGTTAGCTTTTACTCCAGTATGAGTGTATAATTTCATGGCTTAATTTGTGTCAAATATCTCAGAAGGAACAATTGGAATTATAATATTTCATCCTCATGGTCACGAAGGACATAGGAAGTTTAACGATAAGAAAATCATCATGATATTTGATGCCGTTGAAATTACGTGGAGCTGTGTTGACATACCTAAGATTTTGTCCTTGAATTCCTACCATTCCTTCGGTACATTGTTCACTACTGAAGTTCCAGCCCCATTCCAGAGCAGGATAATCAAGTGGCGTGAGCATGAATCCCTTAGTCACAGGATCTGAGTATCCTAGCCATGGTCTAGAGCTGAGCGCAAGCACTGCAGTCTGACCTTGAACGGATACTCTGAAAAGCTTTACAGGCTTTGGCCCTAGGAAACGTGTTCGCGTATCGGAGAGCTCTCCGGTCACTTCATCTAAAACAGTCCGCAGATAGACACCGGAATAAAGTCCTATATGAAGATACAGAGTTGAGCCACCAGAGGATGAGTCCGACATGGCCATAATGGAAAGGGCGTTCGGGGGAGAAGTTAGAGCTTGAACCGACTTGTTCTCTAGTGTTGAATCGGGATCTAAACTCAGAATGCGAACTGTCGAGTCATCGCAGCCAACAGCTAAGAATTGACTTCTCTGTCGTCCTTCGGGAACTTCACCAAGACTCAGACAGGTGACTGTGCCGCTCATTCCTTTCTTCTCGTCATATTCAGCGAGAGATCCATCCGAATCCATCTCAAAATAGACAATTTCCCCAGAACTTAACGCTACAGCAACTTGTCGTTCGTTGGTAGTAGCTGCAACGATTGAGCGATGCTGGGGAGCAGCCCATTCATTCACGCGATGGTCCGCACGAATGTGGCGGATACCTTTAGGATGAACCTGAATCAAAGAATCCTCGCCAAGTTGCTGTACGGCTAGTGTCGGCGCAGACGATAAAAATCCAGTATCAGTTACTTCTTCCACCGTTTCACCAATACTGAGGACTAAAGTACCATTTGAGAAAGATAGAATGATGTAAGCATCATAAACATCATTTCTAGTGAGCTTTGTCGTCCAAACTGCAGATGGTACACCGGGCAGTTCAGATTCAACGATTTCGCTAACTTCCAAACCGTGTTTCAGTGTTCTAAAAGTACTTCGAGCGCCAGTGCCACAAATTGAATAAATTTGTGGTGCATCCTCATCGGTAAGATTTGCCACTTTGCAATCCATCAAAGGGTTCATCGAGTCGATACTTTCGACTAAGCTCAAATTTTCCGCCGGTCTTGGGTGAAAATAGACGGGCGTGTATGATTCATTTGTTCCCGTTGGAAAATCATCGCTGACGAATTCTATTTCTTCGTCATCGTCTCCAAGTTTCTCAAATTGGTAGAATTGATGATTGCCAAACTCGCTTGCAACAAAAAGAAATCCACTTTTAAGGATGCAAAGACTCGCCGCAACAGGCACTGTATCAAAGTACTTGATCTTGAGACGTTTGACTTCGCCGGTAGGTTGCCCGTTGTCATCTTCTACCATCTCAATGGTAATCTTGAAGAGATCACCATCATCTGTTTGTAACAAGAAGAAGAAGGCTCCTGCAGCACCCTTAAGTTTGTGCATAACACCTGCTACGATGTTTCGTTTCCTTTGTGGGTCCTCGGTCGCGCCACGCCGACGAGGAATAGCAACACGAAAGGCTTCCTGGTTAGAATGCCTGTAGGTGATGTTGTCTTCCCCACAAACTAAAACTCCACTTGGTCCGTCTGTCCCTCCAGGTACCTGGAAGAGTATGTTTGCTGTTCGATCGACAGGATCCGACCATTTTCGCACAACATGATTCAGACCAAGATCCAGTTCATAGTAAACAAGCTGTTTCTCAATATCCTCATAGGCCTGCCCTGTTGGATCCTGATCCGACTCTCCATAATCAACCTCGAGAGCAGCAAAGACCGGATTTGCGTATCCCACGTCCAAGGCTACCAACGCAAATACCAAAGTTTGAGCTTTATGGGCTTCCAAAGGAGATGATATCGTAAGCTCCGCCTGAGAATTGCGATTCAGGACATATACGAGCTTGTTCTTCTCCACCGATGCGGTTAGACAGGCTCTGCCTTTCGGATCGACAGCCAAGTATTGACCTGGAACTACTCTTCGGACGCCCGACTTGCCGAAAGTCTCGAGATGTAGCCGATTGAATTTGTTTTGTGCTGGGATAAACTCGACAATCGTTATACGGCCAGAGTCAGATGTGATGATAATGTAATCTGCGATTATTTATTTTAGCTTAGCTCTCCATTATGGCTGACTTCCCATAACACTCGTCCCCATAGCCTGTCCATGTCGTTATGATTCGTGCTGCCATCGATGCTTCAAATCACTAAGTGAAGCTCAAATGGGATGAGATGAAGGACTTACCCTTATTGCTACCAGCCAGTCTAAAAGCTGCAATGGCTCTGATTATACCAAAGACATCATGTGAAAGCGCGGTAATAATCTTCCCCTGTGATGGATCTGGCCTATGAAGAGTAAGACGCGAACCAGAAGCGGTCACAATCTGTTGTTCTTTCGTTCCAGCAAATTGTCCGAGGATCGCCTGGGTGATGGCCGTAGGAGGATTGATTGACAAGCTGTACAGGAATTGGTTTGATGTTGTCGCCATATTTTGGCAGCGGCGCAGAAAGTCTGCGCAGCTTCAGGTAAGATTAATCACTTGGCGCGGAATAACAGAGATGGTATCATTTGTAATGGGCTCGACAAGTAGCTTGTCGCAAAGCTTTGGTGCTCGAGGTTGTTTTTCCTGCATCTACAAATATTCAAGAGCTAAAAGAGATTCATGCCGCTTTAAGAAAGAATACGCGACCACTTAAACATCGAATCACCTCATGTATCAAATTTCTTGAACACGGCTTGCAAAGCACTTTACTTCTACAAGATATACGAAACTCAACGGTGGCTAAGAATCATGCGTTCCTCAGCTTCATATACCTGTCAGAAGTGCTTACATGCGCTAAGAAAAACGCCTAGGTCGATCGGCTTGGGAAGAAGAAACATCACTTCTGGCAGTAGCAGTAGGAAACCCCAGTTCTCCTCGAATGCGCTAGCGGGAAATCAATTGGCGCAAAAAGATCTAGGTCGTCGAGCAATATCTTTTGCACAAGGTCAGGTAGCGAGAAATGAGCCTCCGCAGTATAGAGGTCCAGGTGGCTTGGAATCGACCCCGCCTTCAGAGGTTGAGGAGCGAGCTCTCTTGAAGCCGAACAACCTCTTCCACTCTTTCTCGAATTCGCCATCCCCCGAAATCAGGAGACGGGCAGCTTTCATGAAACAAAATGCCTACTGCCCACACCCAGATCATCACCAGACTCGATTGCCCACAAACCCAGACGACCCCGAAGCACGGAAACCTGCTACAGGCGCATTATCACCTGCCCACGTCAGTTTCGAATGTCCAGATTGCGGAATACCTGTGTCATGCTCAGAAGAGCACTGGGCGGACGATTATGAGGCACATTTAGAGATATGTGATACCCTACGAGAGATAAATGAGGATGACCACGATCTACGCTCCGGCCGGTTCTTTCCCGAGTTCGAATACCCTTCAGACCAGATTGAGGAAGCAATGGTTAATATGACGAATTGGGATACTCTACTCTTTTCAAGAGAGTTCAAGGCTATCAATGATGAAAGGAGTTTAAGGCAAGCGACTAGGTTATTGACATACCCTCTTACTATTGGAAGTGTGCTACACGAATTGAGTCCCTACAACATTAAGAAAGGTGGAAGATTGACGGTCGAAGGTCTTAAGAGTTTGAGTGGTATGTCAGAACTTCAAATCTCTCGGAATACTTATGACTAATAGATCCAGCTCTTCGTTACAATCTACATCCTGCACGAACTGGTGGTGGATCTGAGATCAAGAATCTTAGACCAACACCCCCACCAGTGAGAATCTTTATTCTAGGTGCTCGCGCAGAATCTTCATTGCCAAGAGAAGTGTGGGTGCAGCTAGCACATCTATTTCCTCGGGTCACATTCCATCTGATCTTCATCGGGCCAGAAAGTATGGCGAACAGAGATGCCGAATTTCCTTTACCTGAACGAACTCCGGGGAATCCTTTTGGCGCAATTGTTGAGGATCGTATAACCAACTCCTTGAAGATTAGTACCTTTGTGGAGTATTATCACACCCTTCACAAAGCTGGTCACTTTTATCCTTATGATCCTTACTTCGACTGCTTCATGCTTTTCCATCCTGGTTTAGGACACCCAGCCAGCTCACATGAGTGGGCGGAAACTATACCACAACTGCTAGAGACCAAAGTACCAATTCTGGTAACTGGATACACACAATATGATATGGATCGCGATATTGATTGGGTCAAGAAGACTGTAGGAGGAGAAATGGACATGCTCATGGAACCAGGAGAGAATCGCTTCCGAAGTTTGAGATGGGATCTGAACGATATGGACCCTCAAGACATTAGCTGTGGTAACTGGGGTATTTGGGCATTCAGAGGAAAGAGGTATGTTGTCACCTGAACGTATAACGATGACACGAATGCTGACCTGCCATAGATATGAGACTACGAGGGGCAAAGAATAGTAAATCACTATGAAATAAATCGTAGCTATCAAAAAGGATATTATATGCGTCAGATGGGCCCTTCGCGGTAGGGACTCACATCAGACCAGTGTATTAATTCCTTTTGATGTATAAATACAACCCTGTTATATCCATTCCAATGTTGATTACCATGTAGAAGAACTATTAAATAGATTAAATGACAAAGAAATCAACTCCCGCCTTTAACAAAGTCAAATAGAATTCCTCTTTGATATGATACAGTCTTAAGTTTCTCAACAATATAAAACTCCGGAACTCCTCCAACCGGCGGCCCCTTTCTTTATCTTATCGCAGCCGAGGCGGGGAGAAAAGCGCAGGTACATATTGATTTTCTCCATACAACGTCATTGTGAAAAACAACTTAAAGTCTCTGAAAGTATATCTCTTTTTCACAAACCCATCAACCTACCACCAAATGTCTTCCAAATCCCCACGTTCGTTGACAACAATTTACGTAACTCGCCATGGCGTAAGTTGTCTCTCTAAGTCTGCGCTCAACTAAAACAAACTGACGTTCTCAAGTTTCGCTCAAACTGGATTGTCGATCGTAAGCACTCCATTTTCTTTTGGTTACACTTTAATATGAACCAATAAGCTTATATTTCCACAAAGCTGTGACAGGTACATACACTGCCAATATTCCAACTCCCACCGGTATACCCAGCGATCCTGCACTTGCAGGATATGGTGAAGCCCAAGCCGCAGAACTTGGCCTCCATCTAAGCACACTGTCTCCACCCATCGAACGAATCTACTCCTCTCCCTTCTACCGCTGCATCCAAACAATCTCCCCTCTTATACCACACCTTTCTTCCACCACAAGCGACCCTGCTACTCTCAAGATCCGCGGCGAAAATGGACTAGGTGAATGGTATGGCACCGCTCGATTCGATCACCCCAGTCCTGCAACCCCTGAGTTGTTACATTCTTTATTCCCGGCATATGACAAAGAGTATGTGCCGAAAATTCGACCTAGTGTTAATGGAGAGGGTATAGAGACTTTGCATGATAGAACGGCGTATGCATTACATAGGGTGATAGAAGATGCCGATAAGGAGGGTGTCAAGGCTATTGTTATATGCACGCACGCAGCGACATTGATAGCAATTGGAAGATGTTTAACTGGAAGAATGCCAGAGGATGTTGGCGAGGAGGATTTCAGACCTTTCACCTGTGGATTGAGTGTCTTCAAGAGAAAGGAGAGTGGTGGTGAGATAGGAAAGGAAGTGGATATGTGGAAGGGTCCAGAAGAGAAAATACCTGAAGTGGGATGGAGAAATGGTAATGGTGTGGGTGGTGGCTGGGAGATCAAGGAAAATGGTGATTGTAGCTTCTTAAGTGGAGGGGAAGAGCGAGGATGGTAAGTTGGCTTCTTTTTACTGGAATATATGAATGACGTGCACTAATTTTTCCAGGCGTTTCTCTGGAGACGAATCATTTTCTACCACTCCAGCCTTGCCAGCTTTAGACGCTGGATCTGCGCTCGGCGTTGTTATCGAAGGGAACAAGCCAGCAAACCATCCTGAACCATCTAGATTGTAATGATGCACTTTGCAGAGTTTTAGAGGTTCACGATTTTGAAAAAATCTTGGATATACTGTAGATCAAACTTTGAATATGGAAGAAGACGATACCCGGCGAGCACGGTGGTTAGTTTTGTATACAAGAGAATCATAGAAGGTTGGTGTCTTAGGTACCAGAAATAATACAACAGTCTCTTTTGAATTACATAAAGCAGTCTATACAGATCAAGCCATGCAAAACCAGTAAATGCAGTATGCGTATATCTACAGATTTTTCCGCATCCGGCGAATGAAATTGCGCACCGAAGTAAAATCCTAGATAAGCATTGATCCTGAAAAAGTATTTGATTGTCAAATCTGCGTCACGAAACGGACGAGGAGTACAAGGACTAGGTATTATAGACCTTAGTGTGGTGTGTAGGGCTTAGGTGATTCTGGTGTTGGATTTATTTCGTCCATAGCGTGATCTCTACTAAGGAAAAATATGTGATATTGTCAAATCTCACACCTAATATCCTGCGGGCTCTTTAACTTTTGGAAAGGGTGGTGCATCTATGTTGTTCAAGCAATCCTTCTTCCAGTGAGCAGGAGTATACTTGTCCACTATGTTTTTGAACTCCGCCTAGAAATGATCAGTCAATGCCCTACAGGCTGTTTTGAGGGTGGAAAAATACCAATGTGCAAAACGAGTCGTCGCCCTCAAAATGCTTGCCTTGTGGCCTACAACCAGGAACTTTCATAACCTTATCATTGTACCGAATCCTAACATAATAACCATCTAGCTTAGACTTCTCCGTTTCCGAAAGATCATGAAGCTTCCTCCGTGCAATACCAATCGGACCTGCTTCAGCTTGTTTACTTAATCCGAATATCGAAAGCAGTCCTTTTTCGGTACTGCGAGCTTTGGGCGGATCATATTTGGGTTCCTCAAACGACGATTGTTTTTTGCGGAACATCTCTAAAGCAATGTGAGACGTATACGGTGGCCAAGGCTCGCCTTCGAACGCCCCTAGACTAGAAAGAACGGCGGCGAGAGTGGTAACATGACAACCACTCAAGCCAAGCTTTATAGCCTTTTCACCTCCTCTACCAATGCCAGTCAAACCATCCTCACCACCAGTTTCCAGCAGTCCATCTTGCCCGTTGTGCTCAACACTACCAACCATTCTCGACACCAGATCTCCCATTAGCCCTCCGATGCCCAGTGATCGATACTCTTCTGACTCTTTATATCCGTTGAACCATTCCTCCACCCCTATTCTTTCTATAATGGCCCGACCTTTTTTATCATAGAACTCTTTTGGTAATCTGGTTTCGGGACCATGAGCTAGGGTGGAATTTATAGTATCCATGATACCAGAAAGTCTGGGATGAGAATCGACAGCTACTCGTTTACTTGAATCGGGCATCCACTTGCTGATAAGTTTATTTAGATATTCCATTTCATCTGTCTGGTTCCATTGATCGGCAGTTCGTTGCGCGAAAGCTCTCGACAGTTGCGCAAACCTTCTGCAGCCACGACCGTTTGGAAACAAAGTCTCATCTAGAAGCTAAGTGGTTAGCAGCGAGCTTCGATATTGAAGACTTGCAGAACATACCAGAAGGCGCGCGTGTGATGATAGTTGGCGGGGGGCAAGATGCAGCGCGTGAGTTAGGTGGATACATGCCCAAGAAGGCCTCTTGCAGTGATTCCAGAGCTCTTGGAATCGGCGTCGCGCGAAGGTATATAAAATCGGTATTATGAATCATTGGGGGTAGAAATTGCAATTGGTCAATGTAAAGTCTTCGAAGTCGTGTTCCCAACTGTGAAGTTGTTTCTCTCCCCTTATCTGTCAATTCACCTAGATTGCAAACATCATCGACCTCTCCTCGAGGCCCTCGTGCAATAGTAGGGCCATCATCACTATCAAATGTTTCTAAGCGACGTCTCCATTGAAGGGGAGTCCAGTCTGAGGAATTAGCTTTCATTGTAGCACCCACCATTCGCCGGGCTGCCGAGCAATACGGCCAGTAGGGCTTCAATCCAGCATTTTGAAATCTCGCAGAAACTGGGCTTCGCTCTCCATGTCGAAGGAGAACCTGAACAAGTTGCAACTGGAGATCTTCTGGATACAGCCTTTTAAGCTCCTCTTGTGAATATGGTCCACGGGGTTCTAACGTAGTCATTTTATGTGATACCTTTTTAAGGTAATGTGACAGAACACGTACGTACGTACGTACGGCACTTGAAGATTCAAGCTGTAAACTAAACCTCGATGTTGATGCCCTGAGCTTCTTTCTATCAAGCTTGATATATGCCGGGGTGTCGGGATAGCTTAGTAAAAAGTCCGTGCTTAGAATTTATCTTATTCATGCATATGATTGACTTATTGTTGAAATATAATAATTCGACTATTAACTACTTTTTTTTGTCTCGAATTTGCCAGCTCTCACGACTTCCTGCTCCGTGACACAAGCCTTAATGCGAGCGTGGAACGGTCGGTATGAGCTCCCCATATGTTTGCATAACATGCCGGCGAACAGTTAGTCATTTACGTCGAAGCAAATCCTTCCAATTGCACTCGAAAGCGGCCTTTAACTCTCTAATCGGTGCCCCCCAAAGCTCCACGAGTGAGGAGCACAAACAAAACTATGCCGAGTCAACGAGAGGATTCCAAGGTGTCGATTCTAGAGAGAGCCAAGCACTGCCTCGAAGACCACCAGCTATTCGTCATGCTACTAAAGAGCCAGCAGATGCATTGGAGTCAATGTTTGAAGATAGCCTCAAGCAACAGTCGATTCGGCAACCAGCTCGTGTATCGGAGTCTTTCCACCGGACGTCATCTCCGGTGAAGTCTTACCAACATGGAGAACAATTACAAAAAATGCTCCGGGAAGAACGCCCTCTCAATGACTGTTGGTCCTTCTTTCTGGAACATTTTGGGCCTACTGCTTGGAAAAGTGGTTCCATCACTCGAAGTTCATGGCCTCCCTCTCTCAAATCTGGAGTACCCTTGTTACTGAGGCTTATAATAGATAAGAGAAAGGAGCAGCCTCTTCGTGACGATGTACCTACCTTTCCAGAAATGATAAGGGTCACTTTTGAGCTGGGTTTACTGCGTGGCACGCAATGGGCCAAAATGCTAACCACATTGATTACCAGCATCTCAGAAGTCGGTGTTGCGACAGAACAGGGACAGACATTACTAACCGAGCTTCTTAAAAGTTGGAACGTCGTCTGTCGCCGACGACCTCGACGATATCGAAGCCAAGAATTATCCAACGAGCTAGACTCCAGCATCGTTCCTTCTTCATCTGACTGGTCAAATCTGCCAAAGCATTCCCTCCACAGTATTTTCGTGGAAAAGCAACAAAATGGAATTCAACATGCATTTAGTCTTCTCACTCCTCAGTTCTTTCCAGGTGAGATGTATCAGTTGCCTGCAATCGCATTGGGAACACTCAAGCTTCTTCTTGAACTTGATAGAACTGAAATTGGTGCAAAGACTGTAGGGAATGCGCGGCCGCTCATATTAAGTTTCTCCAGTATGGTCAATGCATGTTCGATGACTCTAAATGATGCCGCTGTATATTTTCGGGATGTCCCTGAGTCCGTGGTTAATCTAGTCAAAAATGACTGGTCCACCATCAAGGAATTCGCCGAGAAGCAGAAGATCACTAGGGATTTCAATCTTAGGGAAACTGAGCGATCCCAGCTTATACACAAGAAAGTTATTGATGCGCATGCTAGGAGAGATGTGGCTTTACTAGATAAACTATGGTCGCAGGCACAGAAGCTTCCAGTTTACAACTCAGCGGCCAAACCTGGTTCTGAGTCTGGCTTTGAATCAGGTTATCTTACGCCCGCATTTTACAACCAGTTCATTTTGGTATTCATGAGTCTTAAACAGCAACCTCGAGCCATCGATGTTTGGAACCATATGATCAGGAACAATGTAACTCCAGACCTTGGTGCCTGGGATGCCCTATTGAATGGCTGCAAGGCATCCCGCGATGCAAAAGCCCTTGAACAAGTTTGGGCCATGATGATAGCATCTGGAGCAACTCCCGATGTTACTTGTTGGACCACGAGGATCAGCGGACTTATTCACTGTTACAAGGCAGAAGATGGCATACGCGCATTGGATGAGATGGGACGTCTATGGCTAGCTGCAGTCAGGAAAAAATATCCCAATTTCGAATTGAAGAATTCCAGAAAGTGGAAAGACGTCCACACTGTGGCCGTTAAGCCTACTATTGCAACTGTCAATGCAGCAGTTGCCGGCCTCATAAAGATGCAAGAAATAGGAGCTGCTAATCGCATCCTTGCCTGGGCAGATCAGTGGGGCATCATTCCCGACGTCCAAACATATAACACACTTCTTTGGTCAATAGTCCGTGCCGGCCATACAGATAAGACTCCAGAGATTTTGACTTCCATGGAAGGTCAAGGTGTTCAAGCAGATGCCGCAACCTTCGTCACAATTCTAGAGCAAAATTTTGCCGATATCGATGTACTGACTCCGGAAGAACAAATAGAAGCAATCAACAGCACCTTTCTTACCATGGAAAAGATGAATGTAACGCCAAATTTGTTCTTATACAGCAAAATGATCTACCTATTATTACGAGGCGTACCTAAGGATGTCAGCCCGGTATCTGAGGTCATGGCACGAATGGCGAAACAGGGAGTAACGCCCTCAACCTACATCTACACCATCCTCCTGGAATATTACTTCGCGCAAACCCCGCCCAATTTCCAAGCAGCAACCACTCTCATCGAACGCGCTCAGGTAAAGGTGGGCTCCGTCGACCATATCTTCTGGGATCGTCTCATAGAGGGCTATGCGAGCGTAGGAGATACGACAACGGCCATTCATTACTTGGGCAAAGTGCAAAAATCCAAACAATTTACGAGTTGGAACACGATGAGGACGTTGTTGATGGCACTGGTGGAGAATAATGAGTGGGGCCTCGCGAAGGAGTTGGTGAATAATGCAATTTCTGATACGGGAGGACCGATCGGACTTGAAGACAAGGGCGTAGAGGGTCAACATAAGTTTTGGGCGCTGGCGAGGGAATTGATGTTTTTGGGTTGAGTCGCGTTGGCGTGGTTACTTGTGCACTTCTTGTGTAGTGTGCGAGGAGACATGGAAAAAAGTAGCCTGCATAGGTATCACTCCCCTGCTTATCACCTTTCCGTTAAACTCGAACATCTCTACAGACTTTACACTATATAGTACCACCATACTGATGACGTAGCCAATCTAAAAGGAGACCAGCCAGTCATTGGACAAGTCACCAAATGTATTGGTCCTTGGAGTATGTATTGGAAATTTTGTCAAATACCAGAACATAGATAGCTATGCAAAAGAAAGGCATGTCCACGTATGTATCGTATCTATCATCTCATATGAAACATGGAATACCAAACACGAATTCATCTCATATTTAACATCATCTCATCTCATTTGAAGCTACCTACCTATGCAACTATGTCGTATCATCCCAGAATCATCTCATCTTATCTCAGCTCATCTCATCTTATCTTATCCACACTATCCTATCATCGCATTGCATTGCATTGCATCGCATACATCCTAGCCATTTTAAACATAATAAACGGAGGTCACAAATCAACAGAAACAAATAAGGAAAGAAAGCATACACATAGCATCTCGTCTCATCCCTTCCCATTGAAAAAATTAATCTTCTGATAACCCAAGCCAACTTATCTCAAATATTCAAGCCTAGCAGTCATGCAATAAAAGAAAACGAAGTTGTGAGCGTTCTGCATTCAGCTCTGATTGAGAGGATTCCCTAACGCTCCGTTCCTTTTTCCGTTTCCATGGATATTGACTCCCAATCCAGCCCAATGCTATTGAACCCATTCAGGCATGCAACCAAGCAGCCAAGCACATAATAATAAACTTATTCATCTACCAAATTTCTGCCTACACCCTAATCCCAAGCAATAATACTCCTGTTGTGTTGATCGCTATTTCATATCCCATCATATGTACCATCTCTCATTTCACATATCCACACTCCATGATACCTGCAATATTCACAATCACATGATTGCGCACGCACTGCTTCTCGCCCTTCTTCTCCTTCCAACTCCACCAGCAGCTACCCCGCCTTCCTCTTCATCTGCATGCATCAGCTGCGCTTCTCTGGCCCTTCTCCTTCTCCTTCTAATGCCCGCACCATCTGCCCCCGCCTCCTCATTCGCCATCATATACTCAGTCCACTTTCTCTCCAACCTTGCAGCCGCGGAAAGATCCCCCCGTAGCACTCGCTTTGTATGTTCATCCACGGTCAATTGCCAACCATAAAAACATTTAAGTGTGATGATTTCCGTTGGGAATGTGTATCTATTTACATCATTGTCTGGCTTCGTTATTTCAGAGTTTCGAGAGAGGACTTCGCGAATTCCAGTCCACGTAACATTTGAGCAATCGAAGACTACCATGCGCAGACCAGTGCAGGGACGTGACCGTGAGTTTGTTGTGCGTGAAGATCGCAAACGAACCATAGTCGCTGCTTCGGCGAGAATTAGATCGCTAATCCTCGTGTTATCCATATCAATATTTTGGAGACTGGTGCAGGCACGGATAACAGGAAGCATGCCAGCATCGCCCAGGTTCTCGCAGTAGCTTAGGGAGAGGTGTTGGAGAGTCGGAGCGCAAGGGGCCTTGGCGAGATGATTGGATAGCAAGTTATTTGTAAGTTCAATGAGATCTTCCAAATCTAGATGTGTTAGACGTGGAGTGGTAGCTAAGACGGGCTCCAGTGCACTGTCTGTTAATGCAAGGCATCCACTCAACTGCAGGCCTTCCAAACCCTGACATACGTGGGCAAGCGATTTTACCCCCACGTCAGTCAATCTATTACAGCGGCTCAAGTCCAAATGTCGAAGTTTTCGTTGTGGAACCAGTGGAGCATCGGTAAAGACGTCGAGCTCCGGGTTTTTACCATGGATCATTGTTTTGAGAATATTATCAGTGATATCTGTACAGCCGCTAAGAACGAGTCGCTCAAGTTGATTAGTCTCGAAAATTAGAAGTGCCAGATCCTCATTTTCGAGGCCCCTGACTTCTCCGGCGCGAAGATCCTTCAATTTTGGACAGCCTTGAATGACAAGCTGTAAACCAAGCGCATCCATGTGAGTACACCATGAAACATTGAACATCTCAAGATGTGGACAAGATTGTGCTATGATCTTGCACGTTGCATTTGTGACAGCCGACAATCCAGTGAGATTGAGGTTGGCTAATCTTCCGTTGCTTTTCAAAAGGTTGTGTAGAGTTGCTTTCTGAAAATTTCGACATCCTTCAAGAGTTGCATTTATAAGATTCTTGCATGCCTTCACGACCACTTCTGCACGCTTATAATGCTCGACCTGGACACAACCTCGGAGGTTCAGATCTTTGATAAAGGGACCTGCCGACACAATGATCTTCGCCAGAGACTCGGCGGGTATTTCAGCATAAAATTCCGAAGCATCGAAGCATGTCCAGAGCTGTCCGTCAAAACAGGTCTTGTGGAAATCTCGACAAGTATTGGAAGCTCTTACTAATTCCTTTGGCTTCAGGAATGCGAAAATGTGCAACTTGATTTCGTGCGGCATTTCCTCCCAAAATTTGAAGTTGCTGTTTTTGGAGAGCTTAGGTTTTGCTGTCAAGGGTTCCGTAAAATAATCCTCGACGATTTCTAGAATCGCAGATGAAGAAGACGCAGGTCTCTTTACATCCGCGATGGACAGTTGCTTCAGTTCCTGCGGAAGAGTTGATACGCCAGCCATAGCTTCGTTCTCGATGCGCCGAAGAGCAATGTGACGATATACTGGATCATAATATGGGGTATCGGGACCTGGAGTGGCTGGCGTTGAATCTACTTCTGAGGTTACTCCTGAGGCTGGGCCCGAGGCTGCACCTGAGGCTGGCGCTCCAGAAGAACGTCCTTCTGTTGTTGACTGGGTCGCAGGACTCTCCGACATTAGGGGAGCGAAACTTATACAGGAAAGTGTAGACCTGCTACCATATGGACTAGTCTTCGCTCGTTTCCGACTGAACTGTGCGAGTGTAGGCGACGAAGATATCCTTTGAAGCCATTTACCTTTGGACTTCACAGGTCTTTCGTCGTTCCTCGTCGGTGCTGCACTTTCGACTGGAGTTGAGAACCCCGCCATCGTGTTGATTGAAGCCTGGGAGGTCATTTGGTTGTCAGGCCCGAATCGACACACTGAGATAATTTCCTTGTTCAAAAACTCGATGTCCCCACTTTAGAAGCAGGCAAGTGATGGAAGTATTTGATAGTTAATGTTTGACTGAGGTTGAATTGTGGGGGTTCCTCGATTTCAATTCACCAATGACTTTAAATCTGAGCTGACGGGATCCGACGTAAACAAGGCGCAATTGTACTGTAATACTATTTATCGATCACGAAATATGTGCGAAGCGAAGTGAAATAATTATTTTGGGAGACAAGGGAATATTTAATTCCTCTGTTTCTTTTGCATGGACCCAGCCAACGAATGTTTTTTCTTCCTGGACTCGTGCGATGAAAGTGGGAGATATTTCGGGAGTGGAAGATTGGGAGGTTGAACCTGCTGTTTCCAAGAATTAATGCCTCAACTCGTCAAGTGAATGGTGTATGCGCATGCATATGAGATATGACAATTCTAGTAAGAGAAACTCACCACCGGGGGAAGGAGAATGGCGCAATGTGGATGGATAGATATGTCTAGATATCGGCCGTTATCAATATCGATCACTTTTCCAGAGTCCTTATCGCACTTCTCCTTATCGGCTCAACTGGGCTTCGCACATGAACAGGTTTCGTGCTTCAAGCAATTTGGTCAGATGTTCCAATCTCAAGCATGCGACGAGATTTGGAGATTCAAAGTGCGAGGGAGGTTTAAGATGACGAGTAGGAAAGTAGCACTGCAATTGGAATTGGAAGATCCGAGATTCAAGAGAATTTGACGACAGAAAAGTGTGGGAGGGTTTTGAGGTAAACAAAGCAGAGAGCGAATGGAGGAGGAGGAGGAGGAGAGATAAATAGCTTAGTCCTCATGTACGGCCACCACCCACGGTGAAGACTCGAAAAGGGAAGCGATTGGAAGCGATAGGTTGAGAATAACAATCCGACATGCGAGTTGAAGTGCAATGGGGGCGGTGGACGATGGCACTAATCAGGCTGGAACGGTGGTCTCGTCTCTCGTCCCATTATTTTTCCTTGGTTCTGTCTGGTTATGTAGGTCACTGGTGGTTATAACTTATCAGGGACCAGCGATGGCCCGAAGGATACAAACCCATTCAAGCAAATGTTTTACTTTATCCAAAAAGTAAAAGTTATGTTTTAATAAACTTCGCCATTGGATCACACAATTGACTTTGGCTTCAATTAACCTTTCTTGTCTTGGATGTTTACGAGTGAGTGAAATTTGATTCGAGTTGAATTCAGCCTCTGGGTTGGTTGTATGATTGATTACCTACCTAGTATGTTATTTGGATAAGAAAGTGGTCTCTAACTATCGTTGATAAAAACACATCTAACGTAAAAGCAGGATGCAATCAATATAAACAGAGTCTCGCCTCTCATGAGTCTCTCATCCACATCGAGTCAGTCAGCTGAAAAAGAACACCAGGCTACGAGTACAGTACACGTAAATCAATTAGTTCATGAATTTCCTCAAGCTCGGATTACCCTCTTCATCAGTCCCCCCGTTCTCCCAGACAGCAGGCTGCGGAAGATATGTGGGCGGGGTTGAGGATTTTAGTCGATCTTTTCCAATTGCTGTGCCTTGATGGCGTGGATGTGGATGTGGATGTGGATGGATAGGCAAGCTAAACCACCTCCCTTGTACGACTAATCGATTGGCCTTCATGGCTGAGCCAAATCGGCAGGTCGGTCTTTCATAACAAGTGGATAGTGGATAAGATCGGATAAGATGTTGATACGGCTCGACTACGGCTATACCGAAGTCAGAATTGCTGCAAAAGAGGATGGATTTTTGGTTCGGGGGGCAATTGCTCTACCACTTGAATACTTCAGGACCTAGTAGGCCTGAAGATTTCAGCCGCGGATATTGGCTTGCAAAACGCTACCGTTGCTATCGCCTACCTATCAGCAATTTACGCAAGACTTTTTTAACTCTTGATCTTTGAAACCCTGAATAGAATCTTTCAACCAATAGTACCAATATCAATACCACATCTTTCCCTCTGGGGTGCAGCTTTAGTGCGGGGTTAGTCCTCCCGAAGACCAAAAAAGGGGCACAGTGTAACTTGGAGAATTTGTCCGAAGAGTCAAAGCGGAATCCTTTCATATTCTTTCCACTTTCTGTTAGCCAATTCGAACGCCAAGCTGATGGAGTTACAATTGTAACTTCCGACACGCTCGTGATACCGCCGCAAAGACAGCAGGATGTTATATAGATTTTGGGGTGAGACCTGCGTAGATGGTGAAGTCTGTATGAATCGATTCTTTAGCCTGATAGAGGGGTCGACTTTGGGAGTCGGGTCTATTATCTCGCAGCAGCCAATGGAAAATTCATTTTCCGTTTATCTCTCTTTTCAAGCTAAACAGAGTTTCTACGGCTACGCCACCTTCATGCCTACCTAAGATAAGTACTTGACTTCTTGTCAATCACATAACTCGGAGGTCTTCCAGGATGTAGATCATCAAATGTGAAAATGGCAGATACCCGAGGTACCAATGGATCCATTCCATAAAAGAGAGATCATCGTCAAACCCGAAACAAATATCGAGGACACCAGACGGTCAATTCACTTGGCGATCATATTCAAGAAAGCCTCTCAGGACAAAAGCACAGAGAGCTGTATTACTATGTAATACATAGATATTTTACGACGACATCACCTCATGAAGGGGTTACGCGAATACCATCAGATGTTACTCGAAGACAGAAATAACGAAATAAATGGTTGGGTCATAGTGTCGGATAAGATCCAAAAGATCCGGCCCCGGGCCAAAAAAGCTGTATTACGATCCTGCACGCCATCTCGGACCAAATTTTACAAATGGCAAGCTTCTTCAAGCAAAAGATGAAAGCTGGAGAATTCCACGTGTTTGCATGTGTGTGCATATGTGACTGTGCACTGTGCACTGTGCACTGTGCACTGTGTATAAAATAATATTCCAATGCAAAGGTACCTAGCTGGCTAGCTGTATTGCATGAATGCAATCTCGAAGCCTGCCGCCCTGTAACAAGGAGTAACAGGCAGTAAGTACGTTAAGGATTTTAGTAGCAGTGCTTATTCCACGAGCCCTTGCTTTGTTCTTGTCAGCTAAAAAGAAATACCGTACCTAATCAAGAACGGGAGTATACTGACCAACAACATCTCGGGGTTCATTCGACGCTTGAAACGGATCAATTGTAATCACTTCGATCAAAGCTGGTGGCTGTGATCGGACAAATGCCATAGGCCAGGATAGAACAATGAACGTATAGATTTTCCATTTCTCGAGCTGTTGAACAACATGAATGAAGCCGTCATGGAGAGTTTTTTGCCTTCCTTGACATTTATTTGTAAGATCTCAGAGAGTACACATTTTTTCCAGTGGGGTATTGCGTTAATAGTAAAACGATGGTTGGATGGATCATCCATCATCACATCGTGGACCCTACCAGTATCAGACCCTGATTTGGCCAGTTGGCGTCACGTCCAGCTTCTTGTTCTCCATCTAAAACCGTTTGTGCTGACTCCACCTCAAACTCTTCTTCCTTCACGTGAGGAGCTGGAAACATACCATACTTATTCCTAGGGATTCTGAGCCCGCCTGATTCACTGCATGATCGAACGAGAGAAGTGTGTGAGAGAACGTTTAATAACTTTCTCCGAGAGTTGCTAATCGAAAAGTATCTATCATCCATCATCCATCCATCCCATCCATCCATCCCATCCATCCCATCCATCCATCCCATCCATCCCATCCATCCATCCCATCCATCCATCCATCCATCGGCAGCTTCATTGTCACTCATCTTGATAATTAAATATCTTGTTTGTGTTTTGTATCTGTCTATATCTATCTCTATCTATATCTCTATATATACATATATATATTATCAGATATAGCTGCCTGTATAGCTATACACGCGCATATATCTCAATACATCAAAGGCCAAAGGCAGGCAAGCCTTGTACTCTTGACCACTTCGACCCCACATTTTCCATACCACTCTCTCAAAATTCAATTTCCAATTTTCTATCACAAAGGGCAACACGTTTCGAGTCTCCAACTCACAAATCCTTTAAAAATACTTCATTTGGATGCTTGCATAGCTTCGACAGATACCACCCTTTTCTTCCAACCCTCCCATTTCAATTTTTGGTCGGGCAGAATACTCAATTATTTATTTGTACATTTGTCCCTACCCAAAACGACATCATCATTACAAAGTAACAAGCTGGAGGTTGGGTTGCCGAGTGATACTACCATTACTAGGTTACCTTCTTCTCCTACCTGTAACCGCCGAACCAACCATCCATCATCAGTCTGGCTTCTGAAAGGCATAAGAAATTCTTGAAGATACAGAAGTCCTCACAATTATGCTGAAGACGGATACTTCAAACAATCATGGTTGGTCTTTATTTCTTATTAATCTCAGATAGTGATAACAATCACATTCGAAAATGTCCTGTCCGAGGTTTCCCTTTTATCGGCGCATAAATTCGGCGCAATGGTAAAACTTGCCAGTCGTACCTTACATGTTTCTCCCTTTTCCTTCCATATTGTTATAATAAGGAAACTAATCGGAATACATTTTAGCCTTCGAGAACAAAACAGCTAGGGAACCCGATCACGACCGCAGTGTCCCTCTTTGCTCCGCAAACCTGTCAATCCCGAAGAACAGAAGTACTGGAAACCTTCTCGCACATACTTCAGCAGGAGCGGACAGAGGCAGAATACGATTTTCTTTTGATGAAGGGCTGGCGGCGGAGTTTGATACAATGTCGAGGTTAGTTTCTGTTGCCTGGTGCAAGAAGAGCATTTATGAGGTCATGGACCAGTCTTTGCGCTTGCTTGTCTCAAAATGACTAGCAACACAACACTGGAGACATCGGGACTGACAAATTGCTTCTCCAGTGCTAGATCACCCATCGTGACGGAACATGAACATGGACTCGGTGCTTCAGGTTTGAGACGGATTCGACAACAACTTCCCAGAGCACCAACTCTACCTGCTTCCGAGAGCTCCTCCAGAGCCGCATCTATGAGTGCCCGCTCGAGTTCAATGACCCTTCCTTTTCCCGGCCGAGCATCCTCTATAGCGGTGCCGTCAGGTCCATCCTCTCCAGTCATACCATTCACGGAAGATCTCACACGTTTCCCATCCGAGTCATTACATTCCTTCTCTTTCGCCCACCAATCAGATGAGTTTATCCACAACCGTCAAAATGTCTTGAAGAGGTCCGTCGAATTTATGTCACAGAAACTGGGCTGGGGAACAACAAGTGCGGGAATAGCCAGTGCTCAAGCAAGAGTTAATGGTGACGCGGAAATGCAAGGAATGCTCGAGCTTTTGGCGAAAGCCAAATTGGTTGGAGCGAACAACATTGGTACTGGAGAAGAACTCGCCAGGGGTGGGCCACTCACCGGACCTGCAACAGCTCAAGACTCACAAAATATTTTTGATAGTAGTTTTGCCATCCGTTGCGAGAGTCCGGATCGGATGGAAAGTTCTCCACCTTCACCCACCAGCGCTAAAAAAATCACATCGTCATTACGCACCTTGCAAGAAGATGAATCACAGTCGACCGAATCCAAGAATGGTTTAGTATCAGCCCTAACAGCTGATTCTGAACCTTCAACTAGGACTCCGACCAATGAAAGTCGGACAACGGCAAAAACGTCCCCGCCAGTCACTAGGCGGCAAAGTTTAAAGAGAACTTTCACTGATCTGGAACCTTTGAGCCTACAGAATAAGCTAATGGACGCTATGTCACAACCCTACATTGCCACCAATTCGCTACACGAATCCATGTTTTCTCCTCCCATGCCACAAACCACCAGCGCTTCTACTTTCGGACCTCATTCATTAGGTCCAGCAAACCACAGTCATTCGAGTCGTTGGGCACCTGCTGCACAAGCTATTTTTACCACCGAAAGCGCTTCGCCATATACAATTTTAGCCGCCAACGACCTTGCCTGCCTTGTATTTGGTGTCACCAGAGCAGAAGTTCGCAAGATGGGCATCCTTGAAGTTATAAAACCAGAAAGAAGGGCGTGGTTAGAGGAAAAGTTAAGTGCCCACAAATTTGAAGCCGAGTAAGTGAGCCCCTTATCTTCTCAATATTTCAGTGCCCATAGCCGTTTGTCTCGGTGGACGCATACTTTACCTCGCTCTGGCCACGAATTTTTCCCCATGATATTAACGATGTCTTCACAGGGTTGGCAAACAGACTCCTCAATCACCATCAAGCCAAAGTCAACAATCAAGCCCAACGCCAACCAGTAAGTATAATATCCTCTGAACATTTGACGTTTGATTACCTCTTTCTCGTTGCTGGTATACTGACCAGGGCTTGCAGCATCAATGCTGCTTGGACGGCCTGGTGGTATCACGGCTAGCCTCCTGAGTAAACCTAATTCACGTCAAGTACAGAAACCCAGTCGTCGAGCGCAGACCGATGACGGTGCAGGCTTGAGCCTTGTTTCGAGAACACGAGCAGCCAAGGGTGGTCTAAATCATCAAAGTAATAAATCCAGGGGCGTTCTTTTATGCGGCGACGTAGTTCCTATTGAAAAACGAAACGGCGCAACAGGATCGGCAAGCTTGTGGGTGAAGGAGAAGAGAGGTGGCCTCATTTGGGTTTTGGAAGAGATTCACGAGGATGTGGCAATCATAGGCCTCGACGACGGTGCTGCCATTACGAGCACATCTGGATCTATCGATGCGATATGGGGGGATGACATTAGTTGGACGGGCGCGGATATTGGGAAACTTCTTCCGAGACTCCCACGACAAGGAATTGATGGCAGAAGTGGAGAAATCGATTATGCTGAAGTCAGTAAACGTAGATATTTTACAGCTCGCACCTCTGGACGTGCAAATATTCCTGCAGTCGTCGACAGAATTCCTGGTTGCACGGATCTCCGCGTTTCCAGCTTTCCTCACATTGCCGGCATCATGGTTCTTTCTGCGCAAACCTTGAAGATCACGAGTTCCAATTCCGTCTTTTCAGCGGCGTTATTTGGGCAGGACAAGCCTGACGGTCGGCTCATTACTGATTTGATTCCTGATTTCGATAGAATTTTGAAGATCCTTACGGAAGAAGATGGTGTGGATATGGTTGACGGGATTGTTATTCCCGAACACAGCTTTAGACGGGCTCAAGCTTTTCTTGCACTACGGGATGGGAAAGCCGATGCATCAACATACTTTTTGAGACCAGATGGACTACCGGCCAGACATAGGGATGGATCGGAGATCAAAATTGATGCGCAACTTCGGGTTGTCAAATCAGATCCGAAAACGCCCGCTTACGACGAGAATGTCATAGAAGAGAGGAGCGATGAAGAAGACGGACCTTCATCTTGTGAGCCTATCATCCAATCTGAACTTGTCTATGCCTTGTGGATCACATACTCAAGAAACATACATGCCGCAAAACATGCCAACGGCATGGCAACTCCCTTATTATCTGGACTCGAAACTCCATTGCATCAACCGTCGCCAGGTCAGACGGGACCTCCAGCTCCCATGAAAATGGATTCTTCTTCGGATTCGGATGAGCCCAAGAATGAAGCATCACATGCATCTATGCTCACGGCACAGCTCAAGGCAGCAGCAAAGAAAACAGCAGCTAAGCTTACAGGTCGCGACCGGGCTTTTTCGAAAGCTCAAGAGAAAGCAAAACCAGCCGTCTCGGAAGCGGTCAAACCTGTTGTTAAAAAGTGCATTGATGATTTCACGATACTTGAAGAAATGGGTCAGGGAGCCTATGGTCAGGTAAAACTTGCTCGATACAAGAAGAATGGTAACAACAAGGTGATCCTCAAATATGTCACCAAAAAGCGCATTCTTGTCGATACGTGGACTCGGGATCGTCGATTGGGGACTGTGCCACTGGAGATTCATGTTCTTGATTATCTGCGTCGGGACGGCCTTCAACACCCCAATATTGTGGAGATGTCCGATTTCTTCGAGGATTCTGTTAACTATTATATCGAAATGGTACCGCACGGATACCCAGGAATGGATCTCTTCGATTATATTGAGCTCCGCGTCAACATGGAGGAAAAGGAATGTCGCAGCATCTTCGTGCAGGTGGCTCGTGCTATCCATCATCTCCACACCAAGGCACTTGTGGTACATCGTGACATCAAGGACGAGAACATAGTCATAAATGGCGAAGGAAGTATTAAGCTCATTGATTTCGGAAGTGCCGCTTACATCAAGAGCGGTCCTTTTGACGTCTTCGTAGGAACCATTGGTAAGCTTGCCTTCATCACCCTGCTAAGATTATAACTAATTTCATCATAGATTATGCCGCCCCCGAAGTTCTCTCTGGCAAGCCATATCTAGGCAAACAACAAGATGTTTGGGCTCTTGGAATTCTTCTTTACACCATCGTGTACAAAGAAAACCCATTTTATAGTATTGACGAGATCATGGACCGTGATCTTAGAATACCTTATATCATGAGCGAAGAAAGCATCGACCTCATCAAAAGTATGTTGAATCGGGACGTCGATTCGAGAATCACGATTGAGCAAGTGATGGAACATCCTTGGTGTGCGGATGCAGAGAATGACGAGTAGTTGTCTGCTTCTACGATCGTCTATTGGCTCATATTACAACCAAATTTATATCATCAACAAATTACAAGCAAAACCAAACAAATATGGAGGGAATACGGCGAAGGGAATTTTTGGTCATTTGAAGAAACAATTGAAGAAATACACGAAAGATAAGAAATACCTAGATTTCATGATGTCATGAAAAGAGATACCCCCTTCATGGAAAGGAAGGCAACGTTCAGAGATTTGATTTTATTAGCGAGATCTGGACCTACATTATCTGAGGAACAGCATTGTTCGTCATACTGGGTTATTTTCATCGCGCGGTTTATTAGGGGTTGGGAATTTCGGGGAATCAGGGGATTGGGCAATATAAGCGGCATTTTCGATGAATGGAACGAGGGGAATTGAAATGAATCAGGAGATATAGAGGTGGGTGTGCGCGATGGATGGAAGTGGAGGCGAGAGGGTGATGATCCGATTTGACAGGAACTGGTCGTTAGGGGATGTATTGTATACGAAGTGATGATGATGTCAATTTATTAGACTCAAGACAATTGTCTTTAAGATTGGAGAAGAATGATTGTGAACAAAATATGCAGCCCCATGGCGCTTCTAACTGATCCATATTGACTACTGAAAATGGTAGGAATTCTTCATAGATAAATCGCAGTCCCTTTTGTTGAATTTAGTGACTATAATATACATTAACCATAAATTTCAGCCACTCCGCTTCTTCATCCGCCAGTCCTGTCAAGATAAAGGTAGGCGAAAGTTAGTTGTAGCACAGCTAGGAGCAGTGAATGAGTTATAATTTACATGTAGGTATGATATCACGGTACTGGAATGTTATTTTAACTTCATTTGAATCTGTTATTGTTTTACTCTCGACACCGCAATAGTGAAATGGGAAGAGTGGAAAGAGAAATACTGATGAAATGACACTGGTTAAGAGATAATGGTCACGATCATGATCATTTCACTAATTTACTACTCGAAAACTCTACAAAGATACAGAACCCCTCCCTTCATCCCCATCCCCATCCCCATCCCTATGCTCCTCCATCAACTCCCCAAACCGCCCCAAATACTCCTCCCTCATCCCCGCATAATCCCCCGCTACACACGGCCCCACTTCCCCACCACCCCTCCCCTATGCGATCGCATCCCTACATCCCGCATCAATTTATCCGTATGCCCCACCAAATCCAGATGAAAATAATTGCCCGCGCTTCCGTGCGCTGGATACCGTAGCCCTGAAAATGTATTCATATATGCGGTTTCGCGCATGGCGTCTGAGGGGGCTGGGTGGCCGCAGATTGGAGGAGAAATAGGCCGTGCTCCAGATGGCTTGGGCTTCGGCGGTGCGGGAGGCGTTGGAGAGGTGGAGGTGCGAGAGGAAGACTAGGGAGGTGTTGGGGAGGTCGGAGAGTGGTGTGAGGAGGTTGTAGAGGCGGGTGGGGTTTAGGCTGGGTTTGGGTTTGGGTTGGTGAGTTGGAGGATTGCGGAGTTTGGGGAACGAGAAGAGGATTTCTCGAGTTGCGTTTTCGGAGAGGGATTCTTATATTTTGGATTCGGATGATGCGTCGTCCTCCGCCGGGTGTGAAAGTCCAAATTCGCGTGTCTGTTGCGGAGTAAGAAAGGGATACCCTCGGGTCCATCCCGTTCCACATAATAACATATCTGTATCAATCACGGTCCCATCTTCGAGGATAATAGCACGAGATTCAAGCCTTTGAATATCGTCCCGATAAACCTTCACATTTTTTGCCACCGTGTCCCAAAAATCATCGTGGTGGATAAGTCCAATGGGCCCATTACACCAATAAACTTCACTATCAGGTTCAACTCTTCAAACCCAGGTAATGCATCTTCCCTCTCGAAATCCGCGAGTTTCGCAGCATCTTCATCAGCTCCTTTCCATATTTTCGACACGATACTATTGACGATGGACGACTGGTGAATGAATCTAGATACCCATGTCTGAGGCGTAAAACAGGAGGGACTCAACGCAGCAAAAGCTCGAGTGGCGGACATCTCTGCCCCGTTTCGTCACTGGCCTCGTCCTTTGGCACCCGCGAAGATGGCGGGTCCTTCTCCCGATCGTCGGATTATCCATGTTACTTTCTTGCTGGCTTTGGTGCATTCATACACCATATCTGTGGCGGATTTGCCGCCACCGAGAAACTGTGATTGATGTGTAGGGGAATCCGGTGCGAGGGCTGACATGGCGATTTGTCCAAAATGTTTTTGGTGGACGATGGGGCTCTTGAAGTTTGCTTGATTGAGGAATGAGGGTGTGTGAGGTAAGGAATTTTGACCTGTAGCTACTGCCAACCTTTTGGTATTTTTATCTTACTCTCCTCTTTTCCATCTTTGTCCTTTTCACTCCGCACCCACCATTTCCCAACCACCTTCTCGATTCCCGTAACCTCAACCCAAAAATTACTCGTTCCCTTAAACTCTTCCCATCATGCACGTGCACATCTACATAATCCTCTAGATACTGCGTAACATATTTCGCCTCAAAAGTATCATCATACGTATGCGCTTCTGGAGGAAGAATAATAGGACGATCCGAGAAACCCGACATGCGAAGACCAGATTCGGAACGAAAGCCAGGGTATTGGCGTGCTGTGCTTGAGAGTTAGAGGTGAAGGTGGTTTAAGAGGTGGGGAGGGATGAAATCGGAGAATCGAAAGGAGGGCGATAATACCTGAACTCCAAACGCCGCCTATAACTTCCTCTTGTTCGAGGATGGCGAGACGATGGGTAGGGTGGATGGAGAGGTAGAAGCGAGCGAGAACTATACCGGAGGGACCTACTTGGAGTGTGAAATATGTGTCAAATACTAGCTAAACTGCTCGGGAGGGAAAAGGGTAAAGCAGTAAATATGTAAATGAAGGGAGTAGAGTAGAAAGATTAGAGAAATTAGAAAAGAAAGTCCCATACCCGCTCCGATAATAACAAGATCATATTCTTCCTCCATCCCCTGATGATTTCCACCTGCCATCACCGCAATATCTCTGCTTCCCTTTAGATTCCATTACATCCAGAAGTAAAATTGAGAAAATAGAAGTCGAGATGGGATCTTAAATAAATACAAAAATATGATTTGAAGATTATATCCGCACTTTGTGGCGGAGTATATTCACCACTAGGTAATCATGAGATTTCAGCCAATAATTTAGATGAAATAAACGGAATTGTGTGTCGTATGTTGGATATGTTGGGTATCTATAATAAGCCAACTGTTGCCAATGAAAAACTTCCTTTGCATATCTATTTCTAATTCTCTCCCCTATCAAAATCTAGTCCTCCCTTCCCGATACCAATATAGCATGATACCATGTAATCCGAACGCCTTCGGTCCATCTCTATAGGTTTGAGTTTATATTCTGGGAATCATTTGACCGCTCCAATATCCTACATTCATGACTGTATTTACAATTCCTTCTTTCCGGATCCAGCCAACCTTTTCTTTTCCTTAGCCGCCTTTTCTCTCCTGGCAATGACGCCCTCTGCACCGATTCCACCGAAAACTAGACCTACACCCATCCACTGTTTACCACCCAGTTTATGACCAAACCATACTACTGATAGTATCATAGTGAGCATTTTGCGGGTAACAGTTATGGTTACTAGGAGGAGAGATGAAAATGTTGAAAGTGTGTAGACTATTTTGATTGTCAGCTTTTTTAATTTTAAGATTGAGAGGGGTTTTGAAGAAGCGGGAATCAGGATATAAGGGGAAGACAGACAGATAAAGACTTGTCCCACAGCACCACAAGCTGCAAATCCAAGTACATCTCTCCAAACGCCGGGGTGTCTTTGCATAAAAGCCATTGCTCCAGCTAATTCTCCTGCCCCACTTGCCAAATCCATACCTAGATACTCTCCCAATCCTGTATGAACTAGATATGGTGACAATAACAAATATGAGGTTGTAATCAAAGTGCTCATGATATTATTTGCACACATCATTTGTGGTCCTTTATAAGGTTGGAAGGTTTGGAAGATCCAATCTTGTGTTGTATTTGTAAGGCCATCAAATAGAAGATTGACGCCCAGGAGTAAAAGTCCCCATGAAGTGTTGCGATCAGGGTTGAGTGCCGCTTTGCTAGGTTTGGCATGAGGGGACCCGGCGTGGAGAGTAAAGACTGCAACACCACTTGTCACGGCAAGGACGACAAGATATTTGTATAATGGGTAGCGTCTCTGGAAGAGGGTTATGTGCAGGAACATGACGGGTAGCAACTTGCATGACTTGGCGAGAATGAACGTTATATAGTCAATATGGGCGAGAGATGCATAGCCAAAAGGAGAGGCGAGCGAGGAGGTAACGGCCACGATGAAAAGGGGAAGGAGAATTCGTTGACTTGGGAAGATGGGTAGTGTTTTGCTATTTGCGGGGGTGTCGAATCTCAGGTAGATGTAGCCTACTGTGGCGGCAAAAAGAGATTGTACTGTATTAAGGAAGACGGGGAATTTGAACTTTTCGGGTGCATTTTCTGGTCCGTATGGAGTAGTGGTAAGTCGTTCTTGAAGGAGTGCCCAAGTAAGACTATATATTCATACAATTAGCATTCTTCTCCCCTCAATTGAGGCCTTTGATAGTCTCCTTTGGCGCTGTCACTCACAAACTGCCGTAAATTCCAGCAACAGCAAAGATCAACTGCAATGCGCCAGCTTCTTTCTGTGCCTTCGCTTTCAACGGCGCATCACTTTTAAGCGCACCATTCTGTGCCGGCGCATTCCCATTCATTTCCTTATTCGGATTCCTAGCACTTAAACTTTTTGAACCAGTCGCACCTGATTTACTCGTGTATTCTGAAGATGGTTTGCGATGCAAAGGTTCCGCTTGTTTTATTCTTGCCATCTTTCAACAACCCGTTGTTGCAGATGCTGCTGGGAAATTGGAAAGTTCAATTGCTAAGTAAAGTAAAGGAGAGAGATCCCCAATGATCAAAGCAGACTTCAAAATACCTAGCCAAAGGAAACGGGTATCAAGAATAGTACTGAGAAGAAAATAAAGGAGCGGAAAGAAAGTACATAAGAAAATATGCGATGGGAAAATTGATAAAGATATACTTAGGTACCTACTTAATATATTTCCAATTGCCAAATGTCCTCAACTTATTTCCCCATGTAAAGTCCGAGGTTGGCGCACCATTTTGCCTTGACTTCCACTTGCAAGCCACATGTACCAGCCACAATAAACTCGAAACCCATGCACAAGCCACACACATGGTCCCCTACAAAAAAGGCGGTCAGATTCACTGAGACGTGGAATAGTTTCAATCCGCAATTGTTCTAGGTAGGTTAAGTAAGTTAGGGAGGGACCCATTAGCTGTCATTTGTTGTTCGTGGGGCTCTCCTTTTTACATTTTCTTCTCAGTGGTCTTTGGTTATTCTGCTCACTCTGCTCATTCTGCTTTGCAATTGACTTCTTCTTTCCTACAAGTACCTAATTTTGTGACTAAACCACCAAAATCTATACTATACTTGAAAACGTCATATTCCCACTATCCAGAAGTGCAAATAGCCATCTTCACTTCACCCCACTATTCTACTTCAAACTTACGAACCCCGTTCAACTCTTCCCTTCCACCCCGCACAACCATCCTCTCCTCCTTCTCCCTCAGGACCAAATCCCAATCCCAAAATGGCCAATGCAAACTCCCCCGAAATCCTCGCGGCCTACGATGATGTCCGCTCCGACAAATCCCCAACCAACTGGCTCATAATATCCTACGCCAAAACCGGCAACTCTCTCGCCCTTACGGCCACCGGAGAAGGTGGCCTTGCCGAATTACGTGAAAAGTTGGACCCTACCCAAGCACAATACGCTTATCTACGTGTGGAATACGCCAACGATAGCGAATCTTCAAGAATCAAGTTCGCCTTCATTGTGTGGATTGGGGAACAGACAAAGGTTATGAGAAAGGCAAGGGTTAGCATCGAGAGTGGTGCCGTCAGGGCCGTGTTGAGTCATCACAGTGTGACAATAGATGCGAGGGGTGTGGAGGATTTGGATGAGGCGGACATAGTTAAGTTGTGCAGGAAGGCAGGGGGTGCAGATTATAATGGTGGCAGAGGATGATGATATTTAGGAAGGGAAGGGGTTTCGAAAGTAACAATAATGAGCAGAGGATGATTTGGAAAGAATGGAAAAGATACCCCAGATCATACAGACATTGGAATAGACTACTACAGGTTATGGTCTCAAAGTTTCAAACATGCAGCACACATGATGATTCGCAATTGGACATTTGCATTGGATTTATTTCAGTGCTGTTGCATTTATGATATGTAATTGGAGTAAATTCATAGTTCGGGATACTCGTATTGTTCTTAGTCTACTCAAATGGTCTATCTACTACATTCTCAGAACATATCTGGATGTGTCGATGGGGCCCATTTCATAGTGCAAGATTAAAAGCCGAGAAGACATAAGGCTATTTGTGATGCGGCCGTATTTGTGATCGAAGGAGCGATGTGGAAGACGAGTTTGAAAATTGTGTCGAAGGCAGGTGATTCAACGGGTAATGTGCATATCATGATTCGTAACGTAAGAGAATTATCAGGTCATAGCTGGCATGAATGACGAGATTAGGTCGATTCTCGTTCGTTCGATTTGGGACGTCGGAAAGCTGAAAGTCGAGATAGGAGGTCGGTATCTCTGGTTGTCAAATGTGGAGGCGAATCATCTGTATCAATAGGAAAATGACATTTGCGAAAGTGCAACTCACGTGTGCACCATGCAACCGTCAATGACCATACTTTCGGTAAAATTCCACGCCGCAAGAATGGAAATGTGAAAACGGTAAAAGGAACTGCTTTTGTGGGGGAAATAAATATCGGTCCAAGGAAATATTATCAAAGAATCCCAAGGTAGAACCACCATCGCATCAATATCAGCCTTGCGGCAAGTCAAATCTGGATAGACCTGAGACAAAGCTTGCCTGCCTGAAAAAAAATTGATGTGCTCAAACTGAGCCAGCGATTCATTCTTGAGCATTGCCCTGACTGCGGCGTTGCTTCTCGGCCTCAAGGTTCTCATAGAGAAGGTAGAGAGCAGAGTCATTGGCCTTAGCAGTGCCCATAATGGTGAACATGCGCTCTCCAGTCTCATCGTGAGGAGACTAAGTTACATGTTAGCAAAGATATCTTGGGAGATGGAGTTGTGAACCCTTCTGGAATAGAAAATCCTTACCTTAGCGATGGAGATGCGAGCCCCAGAAGTCTTTCTAATCTCACTAATCTTGGAGCCAGCCCGACCAATGATACATCCAACCATGTCAGACGGAATGCTGATGTTTTGGGTTTGAAGTTCTTCTCCATTTTCATCGTGGGTAGGTGGTCCACGTTGAGCAGCATCTGAGTCGGAGCGGCGGTTATATGATCGCGGAGCACCCTCACTGAAATCGGCTCCATTTCCAGTGCGCATAACACGTGAGCTGCCATATTCGCGACCAGTTCCTCCGAGGTTGCCTTGAGACATACCACCCGAGCCACCAGTTTGAGTGCGAACAACGGGGTTATACAGAACAGTACCGGTGCCTCTTGCCCAGTCATCTACCAAGCACTTGCAGATTTCCCAGACGGCTTTTTGAATCCCTTCGGGATTACCCTGAACTTCCACAATACGTTCGGTAGATTGTGGAAGCATCTCTTTTTGTGCGACCATGCGAACGCCGGAAACATCCTGGATATGCTTGATCTTAAGTCCCTGTCGGCCGATGATGGTGCCCATTTGGTTGTGGGAGATCAACAACTTGATTGCTAGGCAGTAAGGTTAGATAGAGAGTTGATGTGAAAAACATGGTTTTTTCAACTTACGATGAGTGCCATTATTGGATACAACTCCACCCATTCCCATTTGTGGTGCGCCCTCCAACAAAGCTTTCGCAACGATGGAGTAAGCTCTTGAAATAGAATCGCATCCACCTGAGATGGTCAAGACACGATCATGAACACCTTGGACAACCTTGCTGACACCGGCTTTCACACCAGTCTCGTCACGAAGGTCAGCGACATTCTTGCCACCTTTGCCGATGATGACACCAGCTTCCTTTGAAGAAACAATAGCTCTCAATGTGAGTTGAGACTCTGCATATTCTTCATCGGTTTTTGGGAGGGGTTCGCCATCGGGGCCGAGGCGAGCCTCATCGTTGACTTGTAGGCGATCCATGGAATCAGTGAGCTCATCACCATTAGGAGCATTGTCGCGATTATCTTGAGAAGACATTTTGTATTTGTTTCAAATTCAACTTCTGAAATGTAGAAACTTGAATGAGGTAACGTTGAGTAGAGTAGATCTGGTTCATGGAAGTTAGATTTTTGGGTTTGTAGTTGCAAGATTGAATGGTTCACAATCCGAAGACAATGACATATGCTACTATCCGTATGCGAAAGTGAATGCGCCGGTGAAATGCAATGCAAACTCGGACATTGCGACTTTGAGAAGAGAACAGGATTTAATTTATGGACATACCTTTATTGTGAATATCAAGAGAGAGGCAAGTTATGAGAGTGGGCTTTGTGGGAACAGTCGAGGTGTGTTATCGCAAAGATAAAGGAGAATGAAGGGTCGACCCGAGTGATTCGACGAGGGGAAGAGATTTAGATGGTGGGTTATGTTTAAAGGTTGAGTTGGGGGTTGAGGAGTGGGAAGGAAAGAAGAGGGGGAGAGGAAGAAGAGGAGGAGGGAGGAGTAAATTGATGATATTCCTTTCTTTGTTTGTGAGAGGAAATGTGCAAAGTGCTTTTCTCTTTTTAAATTGATTAGGATACACCTGCCGTGCCGTTGAAAATATCAAGTTAATCTTCGGATGTGGGGTAACGCATAAGTACCCCACTTTTAGACCACTCTTTTATCTCAAAACCTATAATTTTCATTTATTAACAACTTTATAAAAAATTCTTGTAATTATTTGAAATTTGAAATATATATTCATATGAATACTAAAGAGTTCTGGAAATTTCAGAAATTAATTTTTTTTTTCAAAAGAAATTAAAGATTGAATTTTTAATTTTCAATTTATATAATTTATATATAAATTGAAAAAATTAAAAATTGAATAATTTTTCAATAAAATTATTAAAAATATATTATTAGTTTTGTAAAAGATTTAAATCAAATTCTATTAATTAAATTAGATTTTTAATTTTTATTTTTAAATAGATTTTATTTATATTTTTAAATTTTACAAGAATTAAAACTTATAATATTTTTATTAATAGTTCTTTTATAGATTATAATACATAATAATTAACCCATTTTATAATATTTGATTTAAAGATATACAATAATTATTATAAAAAAAGTTTTCTTTTTTAATTATTTTATTTTTAATAATTAATAACTTTATAACTATTAAGAATAAAATCTTAAAAGTTATATTAATTGATTCAATTTAGTTATAATATAATTATAAGATCTGAAATATTATATTTAATACAATTATAAATTTAGTTTATAATATAATTATAAGTGTTGATATCACTTCGGTGATACGATGCAATGCATAGTAGTATCTTCTTGTATTTGTTCATGGATGATTATTATCTATCTAGAGGAGAGAGACCTATTTATATTGAAAGAGGTACGGGCTAGAATGCACTAGTCGTACGGCTCCCTTTCGAGGTTGATCACATGATGTACCGACAATAAGATTTGAATTATTATATTTAATATAATTACAAATTTAAATCTAATTTATTTTTATTTTAAAATAAAATTAAATCCAAGATAATCATATTATTTTTGGGATCAAAATCTATATCTTTTAAATAATAAACAGAGTATTATTTCTTAAAAAGATAATAGTCGGGATAATTCATACGGGAGTTGCTGCTGACGTACAAGATTTACGCATATGTCTACATTGGCTCTCATCTATGGTAAAATAGAAATCAAAGACAGGTATGAAGAGGATGAGAAAAAATTGAGTTGGAAACTTCGTAAATTCGTTATCATATAAAACAAATTCTATATTAATTGGCTCTCATGGCCATCACCGCCTGATTTACAACGGCGATCCCATTATATCTAGACCTTGCAAATCCGGAAGAATTTCCTAGGTCAATTACAAAATATGGTGGGTAACCATCTTTTGAACCGTGTTACTCGAGAACCCTGGACGAATTGGAGGCTTCTTACATGTTCGCGTATACCTGCATTGCCAGCTTGCAGTAGTGTTCTGCCATCCGACGTTCAAAAAGAGGTCAGGCTCGCAGCTGCTTTGAGAACATCACTTCATTCGCCCCTTTCTATCACATTTTATACATGGCTTGTAACAAGTGATCATGCCAATGCTCAGTCGTGATTCGTGGATTGATAGACTTGCCTCTACTCAAGGTCTGAATAACGAAGTGTGGTCCTGGATGGACAAATGAGATGAGAATCACACTATTCTTCTGTATGCTCATTCAAATTCTTCTCCTCCATTCGTTTCAATATTTCAAGCTTGAAAGCTTCTTCGGTATTGAGTAGAGAAGATTTTGGTAATGGGAGTTGAAAGTCACCATCATCTTCACCAAACAGAAATGCCGCCTTTTCGCGACCTCCTGACGTGGGCCGCTTTCCAGATCTCAAAAATGGAGAAGAGGACTTTGGAGACGATGGTTTGTTAGTGGGAATAGATGCTTGATCAGGTTCTAACATCCAAGAGAAGGATGATTGGGCAATGCTGGACCTGGTCGGAATTGGTGCTTCGGGCCGCTCAGATATCGCAGATCTCATACCATCCCCTTCCGTATATGGCTGAATGATTACGAGCGGTTCAGCGGAGTAAGGGACCTTTGCGTCCGTTGAAGTTTGGCTGATGTCAGGTCTTGATACCGGGCGGGTGCCTAGGTCACCTGCATTCTCTATCAGAACCGTTCCCGAGTCCGAAGTTATGCTGGATGGTTCTAGTGGAGTTGTTTGTACATCATATGAAATTGGTGGTAATAGTACTTTCGGTATATCTGCTTCTTGCGTAGCAGGTTCACTTTCGTCATCGATATTTGGTGACGGGATTGGAAGTGGCATGGTAGAGTCTTCCAAGTATACTCTCACGAAATCAACTTTCGCGATGGCTATGTCCATTGCCTCGATGTACTTCTCTCGGTCAGTTTCTTGTGACACAGAAACAGATCTCAGATCTTTCATTGCGTGATCTAGCATGACTGCCAATTGCCTATTTCTTTCATTCATTGTTGCCATGATAGCAGTTGAGGCAGGGAGCACACGCCCGTCGTCAAGGGACCACCGTGAGGCACCAGTGGTCCTTCTAGAGGAATTAATGCTTCGTGGAGTTTGTAGTCCTTGCATATTTTTCTTGACCTCTTCCATTGCATCTCGTACAGCTTGATTGATGCCGAGGCGCTCTCCCCTATTATACACTCCTTTTGCGGCACCGGCAGCGCCATGAATCAATGCCTCAACTCCCCCTTGTTGCTGTAAGAACCGAGTAGGGGTAGTTAATGACGACCTATTTCGCATGAGTATCTGTCTAGGGCTGAGACTTCCTTCAAGAGGAGTGCCGGGTGGCGTTGACGATTTATCTCGCCGTGGGGATCGACCACTATATTTATGAATTACCTTGGAGCCTCCAGTAACGTTGAAGTTATCTCGCAGGAAAATGGCATCATCGACCAGTGTTTGAGGACTTGGGGGGCAATCATATTTGAGTAATAACATGAGGGCCAGTGAGTAATTCGACTCCAATACTAGTTTATCAGATTAGCCATGTATATCAATATGTAAAGCTGAATCGCCTACGTTGCCAACGGATCCGAAGGAGCATCGCTACACAGATAAGATCTACAAGATCTAGTTCTGGATCTTCCGCGAAGAGAATATCCCATACTGCTAATAGATCATCAAAAGGAAACTCTCTTCCAAAAAGTAATCTAATCCAACGTCTACATGAATCGTCAAGAGGTGAACAATGAAAGAGCTTAACGATTGTTTTTGCTTACATCAAGAATATCTGTGGTAATATTTCAATATTTGTAAGATGCTTGGCTAGTTGCGGATCGAGACGAGCCAGGTACACTTCATGGATTCGCTTACTCCTCTCAACAATAGGAGAAGCGCCGTTCTGGGGTGTTCCAATACCATTTTGAGGAGTCTTTTGACCAGGATCACCCAATTCGTAGAACGATTTAGCCGATCTCATCACTAGGGATAAGAGAGTGAAGGCATCATGCTCGATGAATCTACGATCCAAGCACTGCTCCATAATTGAGCCTGATGAACTTGTTTCAGATTCGGTTGTGTCATCACAATTAATGTCTCCAGGATCAATAGAATCTCGCTCGACTACCCATAGGATAGGAGCCAGTATCTCATGCATGCCCTGCCGATAACCTACATCCTGATTGATTTTGCAAAAAACAAACAACACATCTAACATGAACCGTTGCGTGTCGGCTTGACGAAAGTATGGTTCTTCTGGCATACATCTTTCAATATCCTGAAATATTTCGGCACGAATCTCTTCATCCTTTCGAAGGGTATTCCATGGCGACTTGAAGTCTCTCAGCATACTTGGACAAGATTTACAAACTAATCGAGTGCGAGAGTAAAAGAACTCACGTGCTCATCATCATCCAAAGGGTCTAATGAAGATCCTAAATCATTTGGGTGATCAATAAATCTCAAAAAATGCTCTCTTAAAGAGGTATAAGCGCTTCGTGAATCCTCAAGCCCTCGTGTCCAAGTTGTGATCTCGGTACTTTGAAACAACAAGAACGTCTATAGAAATGTTACTCAAAAGTAGACAGAAATGAAACCTAGACGTTACCTTCCAACAGATGGATCGCAACCCCCCTTTGCAAGGGTTATCTTCTCCCTCGATTCTCACTGATTTCTTGAGTTCGACAAGGCTTGATGCGGACTTGATCGTCACCTGCCATCTTCTTCTTTCCTCACTCTTTTATTAGAACAATATGAGCAGGAAAACGATAATATTCCATGATTACTTACCTGGAATCTTCCAACGACCTCATTACTACAAGCAGTGATGATGTCTGAAAAGGGAGGTATGACAATGATCCTATTTAAATCATGGATAGTGGGGGGGAAGTATTGGACGAGTGATCACTAACTTGATTCTGGAGTTCAGGCTGAGCCTTGTCCCTGTTCAACCTTCGGATTTAAGCCATGTTTGTTTAGCGTCAGTTTCACTCAAAGCATACCAATCAAACTCTCTCAAATGTCTCAGCCTTGTTGTCAGCCTTCCTTAATCAGACACGACCTCGAGAGGGCCGTTAATGTATCTCGTACTCTTTATCCAATCATGATCTACTAAGTGATTTCATTCACTCCAACAGTTACTTCTTCGCAAGTTGCATTGATTTTCTGTCGGAGAAGATATCTATATGTTTATTTTAAGACGAAGCTCACATAAGAATAGTCTATAAATAGGTAAGTCTGTTCTTCCGTGCAAGTGGTATTTGAATGGAGAAGATATATATATCAGAGACAGGTTATCTTGTTCCGGATCAATTGTCTCAAAATCAATTCTGCCTCGACACTATTATCCATCGAGCGCCGATACACAACACTTGGAAAGATATAGACCCCAAATAACTTGGGAGGTACTGATACTTACGAATCCAATGAAGTCATAGCAAGTCAGAAGTTTACCAGGAATTGCCTTTTCCACAGCCATGTCGTCCGATCTTCTCGCCGAATTTGATACATTCTATAAATCACCTCAAGATACTCAACCACAAGCTAGCAAGAGTTTCTCATTTTTCGACGGGACAAACTCTGGTAGCCAATTAGGACAGGCACAGTCGAAACAGCAACCAGCGGAAACTGCGAAGCAAAATGATGATATATGGGGGGATATGACCAGCTTCTCGAGTCCAATGAATCCAGCACAAGGTGGAACTCCCCAAGAAGATTTATGGGGTTCTTTTGGCGTCGCAGCTACACCCCCAAGGCCAACCGTCAATGTAGCAAAGCCGAATTACCAGGGAGGAAACATATTTAAAAGTGACACTGTTCAGCCAAACCCTGGGATAGTGCGCAGGTCAACCCTTGATCTTATCAACAATAATGTTCATGATATGCCAGAATCTCTAACTGCATCAAATAACCATATGAGATCTTCAAACTCTCGCCCAACGCTGCCACCATCTACGGGTTCGTCGAACGGAGAAATTCTGTTTGATGCGGAGCAGGAAGTGGATGAAGATGATGAATTCGGGGATTTTGAAAGTGTTACTCCTTCTGCGTCCCAAACCCCACCTCCACGACCCCTCAACGACTTTTTCAATTCAATGACCATCAATACAGAGCCATGGACGAAGACCCCTGATGTCATGACGAAGTCGCCGAATCTCGGTACTTCATTGCCATACCCACAAGCACCCAAATCACCATCATTCCAACAAAGAAATCCATTTCCCAAGGTAGCTCTTGCTACTCAGCAAGTCAAACAAATCGCCAAAACCCAGATTGAAGATAAACCTAAATCTGCTTCTCCTTTGACAGCTTGGCCATCCTATGACGAGAAAGCTCCAAAAGCAGCACCTTTTGTTGACTCACCTGCCATACCTTCCATTGTCCAAGACATAGATGATGACTGGGGCGACTTCTCTGATCTTCCAGCTGAATCCCCGGCAATAACTAGCACAAAACCTAACTCCGGAGTAGCAGCTCATGCTTGGGACTGGGATGCCGTCGATAAAGTCACGGATCCCACTCCAGCGGAGTCTGATCTTCCACCTCCCACCAATATTCCACCTCCCTCAATCCTCCTGACCCTTTTCCCCCAGCTCTTTGATCTCCCTCAATCCTCTCTCTTCAAAGCGGTAGCCAACCAGCCCTTCTCTCTAAAAAATCGCATCATATCCGACCCTTCCACTATCAGTTTTCTCCGGGCCTACCTTCTCATAGCCACCGTCGCAGCGCATATTATTGCCGGGCGTAAATTTCGCTGGAAGCGGGATACTCATCTCTCACAGGGTATGAGTATTGGACCTGCGGGAGGTAAAGGTGGCATGAAACTAACGGGCGTCGACAAAGCGGAAATCGCTCGTGAAGATCGCGAGGCCGCCGAGGCGATCCGTGTATGGAAAGAACAACTAGGTCGACTTCGCTCAGCTGTAGCTGTAGCCAATACGAGTCTTAAAGATGCATCAAAACATCTAACGATCCCGGAAATAGGGGATACAATGCATGTAAAGAATCAGGAAGGGGGATTGACGGCACCAAAAGCGTGTGTGATTTGTGGGCTCAAGAGAGAAGAAAGAGTGACTAAAGTAGATGTTAAAGTTGAGGATAGCTTTGGAGAATGGTGGATTGAACATTGGGGACATAGGTTGTGTAGGAATTTTTGGCAGGAACATGAGGGAAAGTTGAAATTTAGATGATGAGGTATAGCTTTCAAGTACATGTATGAAATCACCTCATATCATTGAAGATGTACAGCAGTTCACACAAACACGTAAGAACAGTAACACCGAAATAGACTCCAGAATTATACAAAGACAAAACACATATACAATTAACTTACCACTCTGCATCACACATACCAACATTATATATATATGTAAACATATGCCCTAATCTCCTTTTTCCTTTCTCCCCTATTCACACTTAACCCTAACCCTTTCCGCAGCCACCTCAGCCTTCTCCTTACACTCAACACAGCAAGCGCACCATTCACAAACCATCTCTATCTTGAAAGTAGACCTCATATATAGGAGATTAGCTTTGACGGCCAGCAGGTGCTTGCGGGGAGCGTATGCGCGGGATGCATGCAGGTGTATTGGAAGGAGATTTATTGATAAATTTTTGGAGTGGTTGGGGTATGGCGTTTGGGTTTAGGTTTAGAGAGTAAATGGGTGAGTGGAAGGATGGACGGGTGGATGGGGAGTTGATTTTGGTGGGTGAGGGATGTTATGATCTATTTGTTGGTTTATTGGGTTGGGATTGGTTGGTATATTGTGTTTTCACGTTGTGGGAAAATGTAAATGTAAGGGGGGGGTTGATGGAGTATGGGATATGGGTGGAGAGAGAAGCAGGGAGAAAAAAGGAAGAAGGGAGAAGAGATATATATATAAAAACTCATCTGATTGATTGTTCCTAGATCATCTAATCTTAATAGTTACTAATAAACGGAATGCGCATCACTTCACTTCAATCTCTAATTTCTCTCCTTTAGAAGAGGGGTAAAAAAGTAACATGTAGATAATCTTAGGTGAGTTAGTTTTTATGTGTAGCAAGTAGACTGTTGTGAGATTCAAGAGTCTGTTCGGGAACTCCATCATTTGAAGCTTGCTAATTCGCTGGTCTAGTATTAAGTAAGTAAAAACTTGATAGAGGATTTGATTGTGTTTATATATTAGTATTAGAAGGCTCTGTTACGATTAGAAGTGTTTATCTTTTGCTGGACATGAGAACGCAGGGCAAGGCTGAATAGTAAGTATTCGGTTTGGATTTACTGGTTCCGGTTGTAGAATTCGATATCTCTATGTCTCCACTACAGGTTTAGCTTCTTCAGTATTAGCATCAGCAGTTTCACCCATATCTTTCCCACCTCTTCCACCGCCTCTTCCACTTCCTCTCTCGCGTCTTCTTCCACCTCTTCCCCGTCCTCTCCCCCCACCACCTCTTCCTCCCTTCCCCATTGGCGCCTTTCTGTTCCTTAAACTTTCATCCAACTCCTTCACCTTCACTCCATCCTCCCAAAGCATACCGCCCTCTTTCCTCCCCTCAACCCTCTTCCAAAACCTCGTTCCTACAACTCCATCCGCATCCCCCTCAGTCAACACAACCCCGTTATCACTAATCCACCATTTCACATCCGGTTCCTCTTCCAAACACTTTTTAACATCCACATAAATCAATACCTCTGCATCTCCCCTCATCCCACTTATAACCCCCCCTTCTTCCGGTACTCCTGTTCCAAAATGCACATGATTCCTCCCCATCTTCTTTAATCCTCCACTTTTTACAATTTCCTCGTAAAATGCAAAATAAGTACCATGTACACAAGTCTCCGGGACATTTCCCGCCTCGATAGTAATAGGAACCAATAGGGCAGCTGAATCAATAGCAATAGAATGGCCTTGATTAGCACGAATAATCCAATCCGATGGATTCTCCGAGGATGGAGAAGGAGGTGTTGGAAGTGCGGGATTGGCCTTCATAGAAAATCGCTGTTTGGCATTATCGTGGACGGCGGTGCGGATATCGGCGAATGTGGGTTTTAAAGATTTGAGGCGAGGCCATTGCATCTAGGATATATGTCAGTTTCATACTTCTTACTTGTAACATCTTATGACCATAAAAAAGAGTATAAGAATAGCCACGTGATTCTCATCAGTTCCAGTTCCATACTGCTTCCTCTCTCACACACGTGTTCCCCATCCTTCCATGAAACACAAGGCAAGAAGGAACTCACCACCAAATCCAATCTAGCGTAACCTTCTTCATCCAACTTCAAACCCTCATCCTCGGCCGCATGTCTCAACAACTTAGAAAGCGCCTTACTAATAACCACTTCTCTATTCTGTCCACCACCACCACCCTTCCCACCTCTGCCTCCCTTTCCACCTCTCCCACCCTTCTTAACCAAATCCACTCCATCGACATCTTCCACCAAAGCAGCCATGTCCGTCGCGCTCACATCCGCCATATTTGTACTTCTGCGCCGCAAATCTTGCGAGCAAGAATGCGAGGCTGAACCGTGTATTTCAAAATTGAAAGCTTGTGAATAAAGACGATGTATTTTAGATGCGGTTCCGTAATATTTCAGTATCTCAAAACGAATTCCCGAGATTTGCTTGCGGAGGAAATGTCTGTACATTTAAGTACCTAGCTAAGTTGATGAGTTTGATCATGCGTTATGGCGGGGTATAAAGCATTGGTGAAGAGGTTGTGGTGGGGTACGCATTTAGTTCGCTTATAAGATCTAAAAGGAATTTCTAATTATAAAGGAGGCAATAACAAGGGAAGGGTTATCAGTGAGGTGAGGTGAGGTGAGGTGAGGTGAGGTGAGGTGAGGTGAGGTGAGGTGAGGTGAGGTGAGGTGAGATGTGATTAGTATGTATAATTCGAAATCCCAAGGAAAATTTGCTATTTTTGGCGTGAATAATACCGTCAGGTAAGAGTTGACTTGATCTTCTCAAGATAGTTGTTTGTAGGAACTCAAGTTGAAGTGTATTCAAAATCTTCAAATACAATCCACTACGCTATACCGCAGAAAGGCGCGATATGATATTATTGACAAAATGCCTTGGAAATATTCTTTTTTACAAATATTTATTGCTGGTAAATAATAATATAATACATTCATAAGTAGAAAGTCTGTCACCTCTCCAAAATTGTTATGCTCAATCCAGACTCCTCCCACCTTGGGTCTATCTCCTTATATGCCAAAGCGGAATCCCAATTGAATAGCCATATCCAGCAACGATTTAGGTGATTTACAACCACAAGAGCAAGCAACCCAAAACCCCCGCCTAGGCTAAACCGCAAGTCGAAGCTAAGCAGTAATATGTACCTAAAGAGCATGCCCTAATCCCTTTCACTAATATGTAACCTCGCTGATATGTAATCCACAAACCCCTCTAATCGTGCCATCGTATGTACCCGGGGTATCTTGAAAATGTTTCTCTCTCCCTATGGTTATAAAATCAGAAATAATATAAAGAAATACCCTCCCGATAAACCCGTGCGCAAAAGCACTGAAAGGAACCTGTGCCGAACTCCAAATTTCTTTTTGTACAAATGGAATCATAAATGAAATTTACTGGTAAGAACCAGATTGCGAAGGGCCTAATGGATCCTTACTTCTCATAAGACTGCCGGCTCTACTCCTGCCGCCCAATCCTAAAGGGGCAGATACTTTTCTCTGCCCGCGCTCCTCGGCCAATCTTCCTGAAAGGCTTGTAGTATCCCTCTCGGGAGTTCGCTCCAGATATCTACGACTACCACCACTGCCGCTCAGACTTGAGTTTACGAGAATCTCTCTCTCCGGTGTTCGTTCATAATATCTTCTGCCGGTGTTGATTTGTGTGAGCGGAGAGGGCTGTGGCGCCCTGTTAGGACTGAGGGCTGTCGTATATGACCTTCTGAGTGCTAGTGATGATGTGGCTGTGCTGGATCTCATATCGTCTTCGGGGAAGTGAGGACGTGGCATTTCCTCCCGCGGAATTTCTCCCCTGCGTCCGACCTCTGTTTTAGCTCTTGAGGGTGCTCGAAATCGAGCCTCCACTGATTCTTGGGGATCTTCTGTCTCAGCGCGCCGACTGCGAAGTAACAGAGATGTACGACGTCCTGCCGCTAAGCTTTGCGCTGGTGTCGTGTTCTCAGGTGGTGGATATCTCAAAGTCGGCAATGCATTTGTTCCCAGAAGGGTGCTTCTTCGAGCCTCGAGACGGCTGTATGATCTTGGGCTCGCCTTTAACTTTGATATATCACTTGAAGGCGGCTGCCTTGGGCTAACAGGCTCTACAGTTTGTCGAATTTCGACATCCTGACCACGAACATTCTGTCGAAGCTGTGTCAGAGTAGCATCGTGATCGTTTGGTCTTCGTTCCGACAATGAAAGACAAAGTTCCGTTAAACTGCGACATAAACTGTCTGCCTTTCGACGGACTTGTCGATCGGAGAAATTGGAATGTGCTCCGCCAATGGATGACTGGGAACTTGATATTGGCCCGGGTTGACCGGACGTTCCCATCATTGCAGAGATTGCTAAAGCGTCATTTGCTGTAGCCTCCAAAGACTTGTATATTTCGGGGTCCAATAAAGGCTTCGAATTTAATAATGCGGATCGCAAGAGAGGATGGTTCTCCGCTTTAGACACATCTACGGAAGGAGCTTCAGTTGGCGATATGCTATTACCACGTCCACGTTTTGGTGATGTTGACATGGTAGTTTCGGTTGTAGCAGCGGTGGGAGGTCGCTCGTGGGTGGCTCGGGAGACTGCTGCACCAGATGTTGTCGGCAATTTGCCCGTCAACTCCAATCTATGTATACGCGATTTCAGATCATCTAGCTCGTCCCAAACAGTTGAAGGTGCAGTGGTGGACACGGTCGACGCAGTGCCTTCTGTTGCACGCTGTGTTTCATGTTGTTCGCCGATCTCCATTGGTTGCGCCACAAGTGGAGAAGAATGATAAGTAGTAGGTCGGGGAACGGAGTACGAAGTGGACAAATTGGATTGTCGGTAGGCAGTAATTGTTCGATCCTGTATAGATGGTCGTCGCCCCAGGTATGACTGTGATTCGTAGTCGCCTTCCCGGTTATTCGTTCGTGGAGTTGTAGGGTTCGACAGAGCCGCGGTTGCATACGATCGCTTCCTTTGCTCGCTCAGAACAGAGGTTGTTGAACTCGCATGTCCTGTCCTTGCAGGTGAGTTATCCCCCAATACTTGTGGTAGACCTTCTGCTTCTTCCGCGTAACGAGCTGTTGGCTTTGTTTCTTGATCGGCTTCACGACGAAAATACGCAGATCGGAAGTTAGGAGCAGGGAGAGATTGGCGCATAGCGATGCGGGACTATCGAGACGAGTTAGATATTTAAGCCACTTTTGGAAAATATCCCGATGCAAGGTACAACTGCAAACATGGGGAAGGAAGACAAAAATGTATTACCTTTCTAGAATCTAATCTATTGAAGGCTGAATTCTTCTGCCTATTCATATCATCTTCCTCTTGCGCAACCTGCAAGAACAAGTCCGCTTCATCAGAATTTCGTTCATCCTGGAATTCTCTCCGAGGATTCCGTCCCTCTAGACTCCTCAATGCAGATTCCCTCTCTGACAGGTCGGGTTCCATTCTATTATTGTTGTTGAAGCCCCTCGCCGGTAAAAGGACCTGTCGCGATGGTGTATTCTCCAAAGATGATTGTGGTGCATATGATGTCGAGGGAGGAGAAGTTTGATCCAAGTGAGATTGGTCCGCAATCCAATTCGTTGTTTGCGAGACGTATGATGCTCCTGGAGATAACATGGTCGAGGTTGATTCTTTTGTGACTTCGGGCTTCATTCCATTCTGGCCATTGAGGTGAGCAGGCACTTTCCTTGCATTTTTTTCCGGTGCGAGAATCCGTGATACTGTTTCGTGTTGAAGTTTCGTAGAAGTATTGGTCGTGACTGAAGCTCTGTTGGGTGTAGGCGTGGGATAAGATAATGTTCGACGCGACGATGCTGATTTAGGTGACCCTGATCTAGCCGGACCCCCAGTGAATGAATTTAATATCCTCGTACGAAATGGCTCCTTCTTATTTGGATTTGTCGGATTAAAAGGGGTCGCAACGGTAGAATGATTCCCGGTGAATTTCAAATCAAAACTGGAAGATTTAAGTTTTAGATTATTATTATTATGATTATTTTCCTCAGCATTCACAATGGAATTGACGGCGATGGGAGAAGTGTTTGCAGCATTTGCAGTATTAGCAGTCGCCATATTTGAGTCAGCTGATTGTGATAATGTTGAGTGAGGATGATATGCTGCTTCTTCTTCTCCGGTGGTTGGTATTTGTGTAATTATATCGGGCGCATAACGTATTCTGGGTAATTTCGAGGAATTATGATCAACTCTATGGGAGTGAAACGATAAGGGTCTTGGTCTTGGTTTTGACCTTGTACTGGGTGACTGCGGGATTTGTGACATCTTGAATAAAAATAGTCTAACATATCAAGTCAAAGCGAAGATTTGATTGTATGTCAGATGTAAAAATGTAAAAAAAAAAGGAATAAAAAAATTGGATGTGGGTGCGTAGGTAGGGAGTGTGCTATGTATGTATGGGAAGAGAAAAGAAAAAAGGTTAGAACTTGATTAGGTAGAATGGTGTGAGGAAGGAGGAAGGTCAGGTTCCGTCATCAAGCAAGCCATGCAGCTAGCTACTGCATATCCGCAGGCAAGATTTGATAGCAGATGGCCGTGCTCATAACAAAACCGAGCTATAGAATATAGAATCGTATTAGATAAATGATAACTGGAGAATTAGAGATTAGTCTAGTCATGAATAGGTAGTCTTTGCTATATATAATATGGCTATGGATATAATATATACAACGTGAAGGTCTATCTAGATAGCAAGCAATGATTACAGTGAAATATATACATTACATACATTCACTCATCTGGAACGAAAATGCACAACGAGAAGTATATATCGACTAAAAGGAGATTCGGTTGTTTTCTTTCTCATTTCAATATTTATTAATATATTTATTTACTAATCTACTCGAGTACCTGCTTCCCTTCGTATCGACGACTTTTTGTTTTCTTTTCCTTCCTTCCTTCCTTCCTTCCTTTTCTTTTCTTTTCTTTTCTTTTCATCAATAGTTTACCTTTCTCACAGGGTTCATGTCACTTTTATCGAAATGGAAGGGTTTCTTGGTGGTGCAGCATCGCATAAATGGCCCTGTCAAAAATGCAATAAACCGTAATTTCCATCTTAGCAACTCGCTCGCGTGAGCATTAGGGCTTCCGAAACTTTCCTAAAGTTCGTGGCGGGCTTTTGCGCAAAATCTCTTTTCCATCATGGATTAAGTACCAGGTAAGACTGACTTACTACGTATTCAAAGTTTAGGTATTCCTTGGGAATGAAATCCTTGTTCAGTCTGGTATTATGTGTGTGTACGGATGGATGGATGGATGCTGGATGATATGAATATATGAATGTATGAATGTATGTATATATGTCTGTATGAATGATGTATGGATGTATACATGTATATGTATATATGAATGTACATACATCCCATGCTTATCTGAAATCATATCCAAGATCAAGATAGATATGGAAATGTTATCGACCTTGACAACTTAAGCTTAGGTGGAGCATAATAATGGTCAATACTGGTCTTCATGCAGAGTTTTGTATAATTAAATCTTCTTACATATTCGATGCCTTCCACTGGCTTTTGATTCGAAGAGTACCGAACCTCTCACACTCTTGAGTCTGGAAAGTTGACCCTCTCTTCACACTGGCGCATGCAATTAATCAATTCCTCTCTCCACCATGACCTCTCACTGCATACATTGTCTGCTAAAAGCGAGGGACGTGCATAACGATTGATGTCCCTAGTAACCTACAATATGCATGTTATGTCTTTGATGTGGTGATGGTGAGGGGAAGGGAAGGGAACTTTTCAATCATCGCACTCCGTACCCAGGCTTAGTTCGGGCCGTGGCCACTGCCAGGCGGAGAAATACTTGGTGTCATCCAAATCCTGTACTCCATAGTCCACTTTTAAAAATAGCTTTGCTCTCATTTACTATCGTGCACACTGCACGGAGACGCTGGGTGTGATTTCGATCAATGTGACATACAATCAATACATACATCAATGATATGTAATACATACAAATGTGTAGAGCCCTGTTCCAAGTTTCTACTCGCAGCGGTGCTTTGACAAGGCGTCCGCTTTGGTGCGTGCCATGGAGGAAGTTTGTTAGCATCGTGGAGCCTGAACTGCAAGTCAAATTTCTTAGATCGCTGCATGGCTGGTATTAAGTCTCGAGTGGTCAAGATTGACTGCCGAAGCGGGAAGAAATCCTTTGATCAGCTTGTAAGTATGCATTGTCGTTGGATGTAACTTTTTCTCTCCATATAGTAGGACTCTCTCCCCCACACACACCGCGCAGCTTCTTAGCCAGACACTGAAAGTGGCCATTTCCATGTGTAGAAGGCGAGACGGCGTGAAGGCGCTTCGAGGGGTGTGCTACAGTAGTGGTAATGTTCAGTCGATTGGATTGAAAGACCCACCTGTGGATACATACCGATGCGCCTTACCTATGCCCTACCTCCAGCTGGTGTCAGTTCTTGTGTAGGACAGATGAACTCGCGGTTGATTCAATTTTCCGATGGACAGCCAACACTCCAATTATAATGAAGTGCTCATTAAAAAGTGTCGAGGAGGGACAGATACTTGAGAATTGCATAACATTTATTTTAGCAGCTGTGGACTACAGTAATATAATGGATATATTATAACAAAAGAGTAAAATAAATTCCAAGGTTAAACGGAGGAGAAAAGAAACCCCCCCCAAAACATCTCAAAAGAGGAATTAGGGTTATATTTCTAATAGCATCATCAAATTACAGGAAAACAAGAATATATAGCTGAGAAATGTTCACATTATTCTGCCTCTTCAATCACTGTATTGCACATAGGTTCAGGGGCAAGGACCATGGATGTCCCAGGACCATGAGGGTAGAATAATTATTGACCCAAGAGATGTCCTTGATGCGGAGGTGGGAATTATTAGGTCTGGCCAAAAGTGTACTGAGAGATTGGCTAGGGAAATGAAATCTGGTCTCTAATAGAACGTTGTTAACTTGTTAAAAGATCCGGCCAATCAATTGCCTTTAAAAAGTCTTCAAATTGCATGTGAAGGCAATTGCCCCTCAAGACTCTCGACTCCCAACGGTCAGCTAGGTAAATATTCGTCTCAACTCCGGCTTCATGGCATAATCCACTGTTTGAGGCGATTTGAAGATTGATATGACCGTACCTAGTTGTGGATACAGGTAAGTAGATCGCGGCTGAGTTTCTGTCTCTGGAACACAATCCTGCCAGACATCTCTTGATAAATTAATTTTTTCAACTTTTCCAATTTTGCCATGTTAAAATGAAACACCGAGGTTTGCATACGTTGGTAGGTGCATAACGTAAAGCAACGCTTTTGCAAGCTCGTCCCTGAACAGAATCAATTTCTCATTAGCATAACGGTGAATTCTCTCTTTAGTATATCTATAATTATCTCGCGTTTGGATCCGAAATTAGTCCTCTTCCCTTCCCTTGAGAAGGCCTCCAAATGAACAAAGCTTCAATAGGCCAAGAAAAAGGATGAGACGAACTCGGGGCATGAAATTTGTACCTTTTCACATCCGTCTCATTATTCATGCTCGCTTGGATCATAGCTTTGGGATATCATTATGCAGATATACTCGCAGATCGGTCAGCTACACAGCTAGCCTAGTTACTTGTCGATGATCCTGTTCACACAAACCTTCTCATACACCATGTCGCCCTGTTTCTGAGCTGTTCCCTCGACCATCTCGCACTCGTACTGAATATCCGACATTCGTCTCGTTACCAACCGTTGTAATGAGATCTCCCATGTGGGGGGTTCCTCAAATGCAGTGCAGTGTCCTGGATCATGCTTCGTCCTGAGCTGAATTTGGGATAGCCGGTCGAGATTCAATTTCATCCCCACAAGTCGGTCGCCGTACAATGCTGGATAATGCTGGGCAAACTGGATAAGGAAAATGATTCAGGAGCGAGAAGAGTTATCTTGACTTTTTTTCCTTTGCTTCATAGGTTTTCTCTCTCTTGGGATATTCAAATATGTTTTGATGGACGTAAAGATCAGGAGGACGGATGTAACTGATGGGGTTATTGAACCCCCAGCCACACCGAGCCACACCGAGCCACACTGAACCTCATTTATGATTTGCTTTTTCTTTCCGTCTTCGAATTCTCCATTCTCCCTCAAGGCCAGACGGAAAAGGCGAAAAATTACCTAGTAGAGTTATGTTTGTCGAATGGTGGGTGTACCGGTCGTGGTATGACCTTCAAAGTTCCCTCTTGGAGCATCAAAGCGAAGCACAATTTTGTCCCGTCCCTTGATAGATCTTGGAAACCCTTGAAAACCCTTGACAACCCTTGACAAACCTCCCAATCATTTCGAAATATGAGACAAGGTAAAAGATTTCTTTCTCATCATTTTATTGGTGGGGGCGTCGGATATTTTCCAAATGTGACATTATTTTTTCATAGTTTGTTTCATATATTTCCATGGATATTTACGGCCAATTAAAAACGGAGAGACAAGTTGCAGCGAATCTGTTTTGGCAACGCGTATGAAGTATGAAGTGGTGAAGTGTGAAATCGCAAGGCAATACAAGGCAATACAGATACCAATTTGTAAATGATAATCCATTTATGATTTTATGATTTTATGATTCGACTGTGATTGACTATGATTGACTGTGATTTGGCCCATCTGCCTGAAGTCCTAGACAACAAAGCCATCCATGGAGCGGGTTCCAGGTTGTTTGTTGTATGCACCGATGTCAATTTTGTTGCTTTGAATTTGGGCTGCGTTTTCCTTTTAAGCCTCTTTACGGAAGTACTCTCTGCCTCTTTCCCGCCCAAAATCCCCAGAATCTTTTATTCAAGCGTCTTCTTATTTACTCACAACTTTCTTCCCACAAATTCCACCTACCTATATCTACCTACTAATTCAATATAATATACCCTTTTGTATTTCATTATATATCTATCTTCTTTAGCTATCTATCTACTTTTTCATTTTATACCAAATTGATTTATTCTTTCACTGTCTTTTTTACATGATGTATTTCATTATCTGACATCATCCCTCTCCGCTTCTTGAATTTCATATATTTATCATTTCCTTCCTTAAATACCATACCATATCATACTACACTACCTACTCGAACTCTCTTTGCGACTGAAAAGCCGTGGCCATTCCTTTGTTCTCGACCTCGACCTACCTAGTACCTACCCAGTACCTACCTACCTTACCCGAAATCGCACATAATCATCACATCATATTGACTTTCGACTGATTCCTTCAATACATACACAAGTACACACATACATAGGTATATATATATATATATATATATATATATACACACATACACTTATTACAGAGGTACCCCAGACGATATACCAGCCCTACTGGAAATACCCCACGGGAATCAAACATAACAACCATCTGTTCCTTCATCTTTATCTGATCGGATAAATTTGTCTCGTTTCTCATCCAAGGTTTCCAGCTATCTATCTATCTGTCTATCATACCCACGAGTGGTTTGTGTTGTGTGGAATTGTCGCGCGCAAGGGAAGTCTATTACAGATCCTCAACATAAACAGATTACCTAGTACTTACTACCGACTACTTACTGCCGACTACATCCTACTCACTACCTCTCTCAACTCGACTCGACTCAACTTTATTCCATCAATAAAGAAAGATAGTTACAAATACACCTACCTGTCTGTATGCATACCTACCTGGTCATACCTTGAATTCCAATCACACACACACTTCCACGGCTCATCTCATCTCATCTTCTCTCATCTCGTCAAATCAAATCAAATCAAATCGAACCAATCTCGAATCTATTCATCCATCCATCCATCCATCCATCCATCCATTCATTCATCAATAACCCACCCATCTACCCACCCATCCACCCAACCCACCCATTCACCCATCCATCCATCCATCCTCTCCGGCTTTCTTGCAGACGGAAGGCTTGATTTGGTTGGGCACACCCGCCTTTTTAAAGAAGGCAGAACCCTTGAGAGGGACGGAGTACATAAGTAGGTAGTACTCTGCTCTCTAATAAGTTGCAGGCAATTAAAACCAAGGGCAAATCAAATTCACCGTAAGGGAACGTTTTAATTGGTTTACTACGATTTTAACTGGGTGCTTGGTGCTTTTTTACCCGCCCTGTCTATTTTTAAACCCCTTGCATTTCACCCCCAATTCGCTGAGAACGGTGCGCTGACTAGTTTTAAACCTTTTCAGAACCCCGGCCAACACCACCAACATTGTCGAGACGTCTTCGTTTCTCGAAACTCTCTTGACTTTTTAAAATCCTTCCTTCAATTCCTTCAATCTTGTTTCCCAAAAAGGTTCAATTTTTGAAAACCCTCCCAAAAAACAAAAATAAACCCAAAAAGTTGGTCTTTTAAAACAATAACATTATATCCTGTCATTTCGCTCTTTTGTAATTTGACCCCAGGCATACGAATCCCGACCTCACGTCCCTTATTAGTACTGAAGTACTGGGTACTTCATACTTCGAAATAATAATAACTTTGCGGCGTCTCGCGTGGATCACCCAGGTAAGGCAAGATTAAGGTTACCCCTCGAGGTAATTCTTGCTTGGTCCTCAAACTTCTCTTACGACTTCTCGCTGTATACATTCCAATCATTCTCTTGTACCGCTCACTTCTTGCGCCATTCCCATATTCAATCGCAATTATCATCAAGGCGCATTTTACCTTGCTCATTGTTGTCGACTCGGACTCTGAAGTTTGTCCTTCGATTGGGGAAACTGTTCAACATCTTTTCATAACTTCTAGTGAGTGAATTTGTTTTTTTTCCTTGGGTTGGATCCTGAAGCTTGCTTTATTTTCTTATTGTTGCCTCCATTGATCATAGTATCGACAAACAAACAACAAAAGAAAGACGTCTATACTTATTGTCCCTTTTTCAACAAACAATGATGGCTGGTCCAACAAGCATTGCAATGGCTAACAATGCAACTTTGAAAAGGTCCTTTACTGCGATTACACTTTCTCCACCCGCTTCTCCGGACTTAAGTGGGATATCTAAAACATATTGGGGCATACAATCAATTCAACGCACACGCGAACTATTGGCGCAGGCTCCAGTTGTCAAGCGTCGCGATCTTTCTGGGAGACGGAAGATGCCATCAGCAGCTGGTCTCCGAATACACGAGAATCATTTACCTACGTTCATGTCAGTATATGGCATGGATTCGGACATGATGGACGATTCAGCGTTAGGCGGCACTCCCACCAAATTATCGGCTAGTCCGTATAACAATCAGCAAACACATCAAATGCCAGAAGTCAAGACCGATAGCAACCTACTTCAAATACATTCCCATCAACATCGGGAAAGCACTTCAACACAAGCATTCGATTCGACCGACTCTTCTCCAACCACAACAGTGTCGACGATAGACTCATCTTCACTATCAGATCCATCACCAAGTTCGTCACCTGAATCACCAATCACGATCGTCCCATTATCCTCATTCACCGGATCTTCGTTTGGCCTAGATTCTTTCCAAAATCTGAAGATGGGTGAAATAGATACAAGGCCGCCGCCCATCACCGTGGAACGGCCTATGACTTCACCTTCCCCAAGGAAAAAGAATCCCAAAAGTCTTGCTCTAAATCTCCGGCCAAGCATTGATGAATTCGCCTCAGAGCCGCCCTCCCCGTCTTTTATCAAACCACCACCACTGAAGGCTAGAAGAAAGCCAAGTCTTTTAAGTTTAAATACGGGAACAGCGAATATGAACTCAGAACCTTTGGGGCAACAAGGAACCTCGTCAATGCTGCAACGCAGAGGGTTAAAACATTCTGTCTCGTCGCCGCAAATGCTTTCAATGACGACACCGGGCTTTGGTCCTAGTGGTGGAATGACATTGGGTGATCCGTCTAGAGGCTTTGGTGGTTCGAGGTTAAAAGAATCTGGCCCGCCGAGGGATACATTCACCATCAATGAAGACGATGCACCCTCGCCAACAGGAGTCCAAATGGCAACTCGAGCGCCAGGCATGTCTATTGGCGGTGATTCGTTTGACAGACCGCCTACTGGCGAGGACTGCAAGTCCCCATCATATCCTGACGGTCCAATCCTTATGCACGAACCGACCATACATCTATATTCGGAGCCTAGGATGGAGGAGGCTGCAGAATTTGACGTTGTGATTAATGTCGCACGGGAAGTCAAAAATCCGTTCGAAGCAAACCTTAGGGAGATGAAGAGGGAGGAAGAGGAGAAACAAAAGAGGCTCAGCCATACCAGCATAGAATCCAGGGACAACTTTGTGGATCCGTACGCCGAGATCCCTGGTACAGCCGGAACCATTTCCTCTTTTCAAACTGCTTACGAGACTCAATCGGCTGGTTCCGAATCGAGTTCTACAGAATCGTCCCCATCCACACCACGACCTAGCACCTCGGAAATGAAGATTCCCGAGTACATCCACATTCCCTGGGATCATAATACAGACGTGCAAGGTGAATTGTGGGATTTATGCCAAACCATAGAATCAAGAGCCAAGGAGGGAAAAAAAGTTCTAGTGCATTGTCAACAGGGTGCCAGCCGATCAGCAACCTTGATAATAGCATACGGGATGTATATCAACCAGGACCTATCAGCAAACGAAGCATACAATTTGGCACAATCGAAGTCACGTTGGGTCAATCCAAATATGTCTCTGCTCTTCTCATTAAACGACTTCAAAAAGGTTATTGAAAGAAAGAAGTTGGAGAAACAGATCGCTGAGAACAAGAAAATGGTTACTAAGAATGAGAGCCTGAGTAGGCACAGGCAATCGCTATCTGCCAATGATCTCGATACAGCATCGTCTCTCGGCCGTAACAGAGTTAATTCTTCTCCTGTTTCCCCACCCAGAGATTCAGCTGTCAGAGAGCCTGTGATTATGGATCATGAAGTCAAAGAAGAGATAAACTCTGGTTGCAATTCTGCAATTGATCGCCTAAGTCGTTTTGACTTCGGATTTGGTGACATTCCACGAATTGAACCCTTCACAAAGTTCGGAGATAGTTCCGAAATCGAGCGGCTACCATTACAAGAAACCAAATGGCAGCTTGACATGATGTCCCCTCGACCACAGGATGATGACGCGCAATCGAGTATAATGTCGCCACGGATAAGTGAGATGACTCGCAATCCTCTCGAACATGCTTTTTCACGTGTCATTCCACAAGAGTCTTCCAAGGGAACACCCAGCCTTTTTTCTCCACGTGGCTTCGATTTTCAGCGGACAACATTCTTCCCTCCAACCGTTGCAATTCACCCAAGTCTCCCACCCGCCCAAGATCCTCGAAGTCCACCCATAACAGGCGAAGCGACTATTACTCGATCTATCGATGATTTCCTTTGAGTATTTTGCAAAGCACATAGAATCTATCATACTACAGAATATCACCATAATTTCCATGACCAATGCTTTATTTATACCACATTTCGCAAGCATTATAAGCACACATTGATTTGTATGCCAAATTTTGGTTTACCATTCGGCGTTTTTTTTTTGTTTTTGTTTTTTCTCTCTCTCTTTTCCAAATTTATAAGCAATACGCCGGTTTTTCTCATGATGGACGAAGATGGAAGGGCGTTTGCATAAGTTCGTGGCGTTGGATAAATAGGCAGGTCACCGTTACCGCCTCGCTGTAAGATTTTAATGAATCGTCCCTTTGTTCTCTGGTGGAGTGGGAGGATGGAAGAGATGGAGAGGAACAAGAACAGGAACAGAGCACTCACTTGGTTGAGAGTGGGAACAATGGGGACATATGATGAGGCCAATGAGTCAAGAAGGGGAAAATCCCCTGTTGTATCAAATGTGCTTGAGCTCCTTGGTGGATGGTTACGAATAAAATCATATACCCAAAACAGATATTTACTGGCTATATATTCTTTAATTCTATTATGTGATTATCTCGTGCAAAATTGTTCCTCTGCCAACAATTTACTCGTGCGTAGACATCATCGATTTGTATTTATTTGATAATTGTCTGCGTTGCGAACCTTCGGAGCACCTATTTCTCTCAATCCGAGCCAACTCGCAAGGGAAATGGATTGCCGAGAGGAACAATACCGTGCTGAACCGCTTGATGGCTAAAGATGCGGACCCATGTCTTATCGTTACCTCGTGTTTGGCTTAGGCGTCGGCGTTGATGTCCTTATGTTAATTATCTGCTGTTGTGCACTCGCTATTGGTTGGGATACTGAATCTGAAATATAAATGCTAATTAACGGTTCTTGCGTCTTCTGTTGACTGAGTTGAGAGAAAAAGACTAAGAAACAGCAGACAAGAGGATGGAGAAGTAGGAGAAGTGAGGAAAGAAATGAGTGTGCCTGGGGCTTTTCGTGGTTGTTTCTCTGGGTATTGGTGTGGAAGGGTGTGGAAAGTAGGGAGGGAGGGAGGTAGGGAGGTAGGGAGGTATTAATAGTATTAGGGACCGTGGGCTAGCTAGCTGTTGAGTGGGGGTGAGGTGTTGTGGAGTTAGATAGTCTTATCATGGAAGAAGAAAGAAAAGCAGAATAGGGGACTTCCTCAAAGTTGAAGGTGAGTCTTAATTGTTCTTTGAAGTATGTAGTATGATGAAATAGGGATACCTCAGATATGTCTGAATGAAATGCAATGATATTCCACCCTAACATCTGAATGTTTAGTATCCCACAACTTCAACTGCACCCTTACATGGAATCCTTCAACCTATTCTCCCAATACCCCATCACAGTCTAGAAACCATCATTCGTTTCAAACAAATACCACAAAGCCACTTAAATCCCGGCAACAATATGACTTTGCCCCTTCACATCCGGATTTTGACGCGTTTCCTCTCTCTTCCTCTTGATCTCCATCTCCTGGTTTTCAGTTCCCTCAAGTCTTTGCCTCTCGATGTCCTTTAAAAAATACCAAACCTCTCTCGCGCAAACCTCCCTCGCCTTCTTTTTGCCATAGATGTCTCTGAACTCCCCAATCTTGCCGAGAATCCTGGGATCAGAGCCAAAATCCGCGAAGCCGTGATAGACTGGAGAGCCTTCTACCATAGGCACAATTCTGTAGGTGGGCACATTAAATCCGAGCGCCCGGCATAGATCTGGAATCAGCCCTGGGTATGAAGTCGGTGAGGTACTTCTTTCTCGTGGACTGATGGTAGCTGAGGTCGAATCTAGCGGAGAGAGTGGTGCACGGTATGTTTTTGCCAGGGGAGTTTGGGGGGCAACAGGGGCTTTGGGAAATTTCACGGCTCCGGTGGACGGCATGAGGTTCTGGGAGATGAGCCAGTCGATAGCGAGTTTGGAGATGAACTGCTTAGCATCCTTCTTGCGAGCAAAGGAAGTCAGGCTACTGATAGGCTCGCTGTTTTGCTTGATGATTACAGAGCAGGTGAATCTCTGTGGGGATACTTCAATCTCTGAATATTCTGCAGTAGGATTGATTGCATTGGCTTGGTGATATTCTGAAGGCTATTAGGATATACGGTGAATGGGTATAGCCTCGTGACTAAGAACTAACCAAGTAGTTTTCCAACCCAGTTTATCCCTCCCATTTCCTCCAATGCTTGGTTCTCAAGCAGTATACCAGCAACATCTGGTGTGATCTTAGCCCTTCTATTGGCCGGTGAAACACTTTGAGACGTTGTAAATTTTGCATTTAAATTCTCTTGGTCAATCCTACAAAGCTGATCAATATGACTAACTGCATAAATGCACTAGATGAATTCAGAGAACAACATCCGAAAATTGTATGAATAGTATGTTGCGAATTTCACCGTTTTTCCATCGAGAACTTACTGCGCTTGCAAGTCATCTTGCTCCTTCTCAAAATCGCTGAGGCGCTGAAATCGTGCACCGGAGCCTGAGAAACCAATGGCTTCTGGTTGAGACACGGCCATGTTACTTCTACGAGTTTGAATGGCGGAAAATGCAGTGTAGACGTTTGTAAACGAATTTAGCATCGAAAGGAGTCTTGCACCTATCTCAGAAATGAAGTTGTCTGTTTTTCGCAAAATTTTGGTGCGGGGTGTGGAGGTGGTTAAATGGGTGAAGGCTCGAAAGCTGGAGAAATATCTGCAAGTGCAAGGGTCCACAACTTCAAGGCTGGGGCAGTGAGAGAGAACCATTGGATATGGTTGAAAGTCAATCTGACAAGACTTCAGACTGATGACTTGACTTATTGAGGCAAGACGATAACCTTACAGTTAGGATAAGTGATGATGATACGTGGGTGATGACAGGTGATGCTAAAACCTCATCGCAATGCCATCTTACCTGCTGTGCTACTCCAATTGACACTGTATGATGCATCGGAGTGGAAGTTGGAATGTATCGTATGGATGTATCTGAAGATGTCAATTTGAAGAGGTCAGGATGATTATCTATAAGACTTGTAGGCCGAGCTAAAGCCGAGACATGAGATAGGAGAGATATGAGAGAAGAGAGAAGAGATGGAGATAGAGGGAGATACGAGAGACACCGTGCCTCGTCTGAATCAGTGCGTATAGCTCGAGTATTACGATATAAGAAGACATAGGACAAGAGACCACCTCATTTCATCAACAACAACAACAACAACAACAACAACAACAACTATCTGTCAATTGTAGATCTTACTTACAACATTCCATTGCTTTACACATGGATTTCCAATCAGTTATGGCTTCATTCGCGCCTCAAGACAAAGATAGGGAAGTTCGACCTTCCTCAAGGGGAAGTTGGTCCTGTAAGGAGGTTGATGAGTTTGATGCTTTGTAAACAAGTCTTAAAACCATGTACTGGAAGGAGATGTATTGATAGCTCGAGCAGGTCAATAGAATATGAGCCCAAGCCAATTGAGAAATATCCAGGTCAGTCGTCAATTAATTAATTCATCAATTCTTTAGCTTATCTATAACCACCTCCGTTCAAAATGCTATCAATACTGATAAGTCAAAATAGCAAAGCTTCATGCGCGACAAGTCAAAAAATATCTGGGGCTCCAGGAGGGTCTCATATATCTTCCTGGTTTACCAAGCTTCAATTATGAAGATTCTGATATGCAGCCTGCTTTCCGACAACGTCGCTACTTCTACTATCTCACTGGAGTGAATTTTCCTGACTGTATCGTCACCTACAGCATTCATCGTGATCAGTTATGGCTTTGGGTTCCACCACCAAATTCCGGCCGATCCGTCATTTATAACGGATCTCGCCCTACAGCCAAGGAGATAATGGCCAAATACGATTTTGACCATGTAGAAACGTTACCTCATCTTGATTCATATCTCACTTGGTATGCCCATACCGAGCCCGGGAAAATTCATTTACTACACGATTACCAAAGGCCAAATAATGTGGAGCTCCAGATTACTCGCAAAAACGGATGCCGATCTGTTATCAGCGAGTCTCCATTTGATAGCACGAAGTTAGAGGAAGCTATGAATACAGCCAGAGCTATTAAAAGTCCCTATGAGCTTAAGATGATACGGAAGGCCAGTGCGATCACAGCACAAGGGCATATTAATGTTCTGCGTGGACTCCGTTCTCTTTCGGACGAGGCAGAAATCGAAGCCATTTTCACAGCGACGTGTATTGCTAGACAAGCAAAAACTCAAGCATATGGTGTAATTGCTGGTTCCGGCGAAAATGCCAGCACTCTTCACTACATGGCCAACAATGAGCCTCTGAAAGGGAGACAGCTACTGTGTCTTGACGCGGGTTGTGAGTGGGATTGTTATGCCTCGGATGTTACCCGAACGGTTCCAATCTCCGGAGAATATACCGAAGAAGCTCAAGCTATTTACGATCTCGTGGCTAAGATGCAAGACGAGTGCATTGAAATGCTAAAGCCAGGTGCAAACTACCGTGACGTCCATATGCATGCTCACAAAGTTGCCCTGCGAGGTCTCATGGAGCTAGGACTTATAGAAGGGGGAACATTTAATGAACTCTACATGGCGGGCGTTTCGGTAGCGTTTTTTCCTCATGGTGTAGGTGCTTGTTTCCTCCCTTCGCACGATCCGTTAAGTTGACTATTATAGTTGGGACATTACGTAGGCCTAGAGGTTCATGATGTCGGACCTGGTGGTATGATCATTACGAATCGTCTGTTTGGCTTCAACAAAAAGCCTGCCGATTGGACTGATGCCTATTTCCAAATTCTCTCGGACTCTGGTTTCAATTCAGGTGGTGGAGCTATCCTCTCAAAGGATATGGTTGTTACGGTCGAGCCTGGAATGTGAGTTCATTCCATCTCCCCTTGTTTCATGCTCTAACAATTTGACTTCAAGCTATTTCTCTCGTTACGCCCTGGAAGAAGTTTATCTCAAATCGCCCAAATACGCAAAATATATCAACAAGGAACTCCTACAAAAATACTACCCGGTAGGTGGGGTACGTATCGAAGATGATCTTCTGATCACCGAACGAGGATATGAGAACTTGACTACAGCTCCAAAAGGTGAAGAAGCACTAAAAATTATAAATGAAGGAAGAGAACAAGAAGCTGCGGAGTCCAAAAGGAAGCAAAAGAAAACTTGGTTTTGGTAAGCATTGATAGATAAGCTTGGAGATGGTTTAAGAACGGTCGAGGTGTATCACTTGGCCTTGCGTTACCTTTTCACAGCAAGCTCGGTATACGTAGCTGGATGTTACGGATGTCTATTCTACCGTCTTTGAATATTATTGCGTGGATAGCTACTTGGTTACGACTCAATTCATCTTGTGGTCTATCGATCACATGATCAATACGAACTTTTCTTGCAGGAGATGCTCACGAATGTGTATGTATGTATGTATTTGCCTACGAATCTTGCTCGAGGTTTGTTGAAACTCGCTTGTTGTCCGTCAACGGAAAGGAGAATTTATGAGCATGGAAGACAGATATGCAACGAATCATACAACACAACATACGATCATCATACATACTATGCTATTCACTGATATGAGAAGTAAGATCATGACTCACATTTCAGACATGCAACAAACCGAAAATCAACTTATGCTTCTGCCCAGAGGTTCGAATTCACCACCCAGAAATCTAATCATCACACACAAATATCACAAGTATGCTCACCTAGCCAAATTATCCGTCTACAGATGTCAAATATTCCCGTTTCACATTCAATAACAATATCGAGATGACGAGAATGCGTCTGTTTAATTAAATGTACATTAATTAGATATTCGTTAGCCTGCATTGATGTAAAATTTGAATGGGTTTTCAGCACTCTCCCGCCCAAGTATCCCAGTGTGCGAGCTAAATATATATTATTTTATTTCCAAAACTGATAACTCAAAGGAATATTTGGAATTCCCCACGGCGCTTACTCAACTACTCCCCTGAAGGAGTTAGCTAACCACGCTCCAGTCATAAATATGACCATCGCCAAGTTACACCCATTCAAACTGCTTCCCGTTTCCTGACCATCCTCTTCTCCACGGATCCGCATTAATGATGCAAGCACCATCCATTCTATAGAATGATAGAATCTTGGTGGTTTCGTGATCTCATCTCTGCGGAGAAATACCTATACCTAAAGATATGCTCCGCATATAAGCCTATAAACTACAATCGTCCGATTCGTGCACCGCGCATCAACGGTGAAACTTTTCAATTCATTAGTTTCATCCTGTTGTTGATAAGTGCGAGGATATGGGGATCATGGCGAAGGCAGGCGCTTGTGGCAGTGGCTGTCGGTGTGTAAATCACCAGATCTTTGAGGATGATTGGAGATGATGATTGAAAGGAACGGTTCTGGATATCGGAAGATTATTGTTTGAGATGAGATGAGTTATACTGCTCATATTATGTATTGTGTTTGAAGAAGTACATGTCTCAAGCGGAAGTCAACAAAAATCGAATGTTAAATGTCAAAGCGCTTGTAGCCAGCGAAGATAATCCGCGAAAGTCAAGGTATAATCACAAGTTCTTTAATGGCTGTTGATTTGCGATAGGGTAATTATTCTGTCAAGTAGACACTTCTACTCTACAAATGTAGTTCCAAGCTGGGACGACTTTTGTCGCGTAACCTAATGTATAAACCCTCGGTTCAAAGGCCCATCCCATATCCATCACATCTCAAAGTCTGTAGCGCGCAATTAATTTCCACCACAAACAAATGCTATGCATGGGATATATTTTCAATCTGGTCCTTTGTCGAAATTGAATGGTATTAATTTCCGATTCCCATACACCATAAAAGCAAAAGATGCGTCTTAGCGCAAGAATTACGCCAACTGTTTTCCTGAAGTCTGAAGACCGCTTGGTCCCCTTCCTATCGGCGCCAAACTTGTCAATTTGATTCGTTCTGCACAGCCCGCGGTTACTTTGTTCAGGTATATGGAAAGCTCTATTGGAAGCTTCAGTTGTAGCAAGATTCTGCTTAGATACTCCCAGTTGAGCTCGTCGTCGATATTGAAGTAGAATGTGCTTTGCAAAACTCGTTTGGGCCCAGGTTTTGTTCCAATTTGTTCGAGGCTCTGTATGATATCAATTCCATCGAACGAACCACCACGAAGAAGCGGAAACTTCCATACCCAATACACATAAAATCTACAAGTGAACTTTGATAACAATATATATGGTCCGGTTCCATATATACAAAATCAGCCAAACTAGCATTTCAAACTTCGCTTTAGATCAAAGCTTTAAAGGTTGAGGGCCGTGTTCGTGGGATTATCCCATGCCAACTCTTCTTAAGTTCAAGCGCCATGCAAGTCACGCACGAATACAAATTGACCAAGTCCGTGAGAGCTTCACCTTGCGTAACGAAGCAATTCAGCATGTGCAGGAAAATAAGATTACGGATGTTCGTAGCACGACAAGATGCTCCCGCACCAGAATGACAATATACGAGGCCACGGGCAGAATTATTCATATGGACTCTCTCGCATTCTTTCGGGCTAAATTTCCAAACACTTTCCTGTTGGGAAGATATTGAGAAAACATTTTCGTCCTTTCTTTCTTTCTTTCTTCCATTTCTTATTGCTCTAATCTGGTATTGGGCTTCCTTTCCAAAACATTCGTGATTCATTTGATATGTTTCCCCGCTTTCTCCAAACCGCTCGAATCTAAGAATTTCTAAGGCCTCTCGGAAGTACCCCTAGTTGACCTATTCAAGCCATTGAAGATCCCTTTGTCATTTAGGCTGAAGATCTTGAGCGTATCATTATCAGTATGGCTTTTCCAAAAGACAGTATACCATTTGCATCTTCTAGACCCGTACCCTCAAAATATGATCGAAAGATGCATGGCATAACTTCTATCAAAGAAGAATATACATACAAGGATGATTGTCCAACTTCACCAAAGGAGAATTGGCCGCTGGGTTTGGAAACAAACACGCATCGAAGAAACAAATCGAGTACGAATACGTTGACGACGGATGGTATGGGAATTAAAAAGTGGGAGGGAAAGGCGCGGAGGTCGACACCGTGGGATGACTTGAGAAGGGTATGTCCGTGATTGTGCTTCTTGATCACAAAAATTCTTACGGAGTATAGGATCCTGAATTATGGTACCCTGAAGGAGATTGCCTGATTTATTTGTATGGCCGGGGACAATCAATGAGAGGACCAGCATTCCGAGTGCCACTGAGTGCATTGATTGCTGCGAAATGCAAACCACTCTTTGACGCATTCATGCCGAAAGACATTAATGGATTGCCAACCTCGGGCACCAACAGGGTTTTTGATAAATATTTCGCGGGTGCCAGTGATGGTGGCTATGTAGAGCTATATATCCCAGCTCCTACGATGGCAGAACGAGGAGAGGCTTTCCTCCACCACACGGCGACTCGAAACTTCTTCGCTTGGGTTTTTAAGAAGTCCTTGGTCGGACCAGATTTGGGCAGTGCATTGGTTGGGCTTCTCAACACTATGTCTCAATTCAGGGCGGCCAATGTCAACAATGTGGACGATTTTGTAGCTTACATTGAAGGAGAGGGATATGCGGATATGAGGAATGCGCCAGACCATGCCCTTGCAATCATGTACTTTGCAGAACATTTCCATTTTAAAGATATGTGGGTTGATGCACTTGCACATTGTGCTGGGATGTGCGAGAGACTTCATAATAGTCCTGGTTTCGAGGTGCGTGCGGAATTATCTCATCATACTTCCTTCTGGAAACATGTTATCTAACCTCACGTGTAGTCATTGAGTCGACAAGATCGAGCTTTCATTTCTCGAGCAAGGCTGGAAATGGATCTTCGACTTGACACCTGTGGCAAAATGCTCAGTGGATTCCTCACAGAAGAATTATCCGACACATACCTGCAGCTCAGCTCCGATGCTCAAATCCACCTCGAAAGGTTTAGAGCATTTCTGCAGAGGTATTATACCGCAAAACTTGGTTCCTACCCGTCATTGGCTTCAAGTTCTGGAAGCGAGGTTTTTCCCAAGAGTCTCTTTAAGCAGATGCGCTCCGAATTTCAGAAACTGTATGAGTTTCTGGCGGACTCCAGTGAGACTATCGCAAAGCCTACAAGTACCAGTAAGCAAGAGTTAGACGTACTACACGCGGTCTCGGCCTTCAATGCCCGATACAAGATCGAGCCGTTACCTCACTCTCTACCTCTGCTTCCAGATGATAATGCAAAACCATCTACCAAACCACTCAGCAAACGGTTAACTTTCACCACGAAGATGTTTCCGAAGAGTGACAAATCTCACAATGAACCTCGCCTCGGTCCAATGACCGCCCTTGATATGGCCACAAATCGACAGAAACAGCATCTTACGGACTGCACGCTTGTTCGTGCTTACCTGCGGTTCGAGAAGGAATGCGCTGGCCCAGTCAATTCCAGAATGGTAACAGCCGAGAACATCTCCCAGGCGGAAGGCCGCAAGGTTCGTTGGGTCTTGATATATTCTTCACTTCAAATACTTATTCAGGCGACGGAGATACCTGATCAGGTACGTGCTACACAAAACGTTGCTTACAATATTTCTATTCGTACTGGAGGATGCCCACTGTGGAACGACAGACGTTCATGTTATAATTTAATTCGTACGCAGAGTGCTCAAGTGAACAGAGACTACCGAAACTCGTTGATCAGGTCGAACCCTTGTAATGCTGGGGAAACACCGATTGATGTTATAGCTACTTTCAGCGAATATCTGGCCCAGAAAGACCAATTTGAACTGTCGCGAAGGAAAGAAAGTGCCGCCGACACCACATTGTCAACCAGCAATATGATAGCTAAAGCTGATGTTAGTGGCGCCTTGCCGATGATGCCGGAGCTCAAACATCCTATTCCACGGAGAAACACTCATCATGAAATACTAATTGAGGGGTCTGGACACGGTCTCGAGTACAGTTTTGCCGATGATTCGAGAACGGAATTTATGGAAGAAGAACAAACCATCCACAGAAAACAACCATCGTCCATGACTTCAGCAAATGATGCGTCCTACCAATGGTGCCGTTCCTCCCACGATCCAGATGGCACCAGCTTGGAGTCTTTTGACAGTGATGCCCCCAGCAGAAGTGGCTCATCCACATTCGATGATCGGCGAGGTTCAATCTCTTCGACCTATTCTGAAGCTGAGTTGTGGGGCCAAACATTCGCATTCGAACGGTTGCAAAAGCCCAGACCAATCAGTACATACTCTGTGAGCATATACGACGAGGATATGGACTTGGGAGAAAGTTTTCCCGGTACAGTATTCTCCCCGGCTCTATCCGGTAAAAGCCACATAGAACCGCCACCTTTGTTTATCACGAAACCGATTCAGAAGAAAGTGAGCATTTTGAGCCAGAAGCCCGACAAGCATGCTAGTGTAGGTAGCATGATGGTGATGAATGAAGAGTTATCTGCATATTTGAGGGGCTGACCCTGTATGGTCCCTGATACGTATCTTCTGTTTGGCTGCTGGTACACCAGAGTACACTTTTCTGATCATTCGAAGGCCATTTGGTGATGGGGGTTTGATGATAGAGGGTGGAATTTCTAATGGTTCGAGATAGGCACTGCTCGATTCGCAGTGTTGTATTCTCAATATGACAAATAATCATAATGTAATAGTATTTATCTCATACAACAAGAAAGACAATTTTAAGCCTATGTCAACGGTTCATGTTTTGCTGGAGAAAGATTTTAGTGTTTTGGTCGGCCACGCTGAAATGTCGTGATTTGGCATGATGAATTATATCGTAAGTATCTCAGACATTTTTTCAAGCTTGAAATAAATAGTTCCTCCACAACTAGCTTACTCTAAGAGGGATTGATCATTCCATTCTCCTCTTGCATTGTCATCGGCATATTGATCCGGTCCCTTTCTAACGACATATCGAAGATGTGAGTTATAGAAGCATGTTGGGAAAATAAAATCCGATGAAAGAATAATTCTACTGATTACACATCATTCTAGGAATTCTATATATACGCGGATGAAGGCCTAGATTCCTTTTGACCGACATGTGTGCTCTTCTTCAACATGCATGAATTGTTTCCTCGGCAGCAGTCTATATATCCTGTCATCTAACTATAGTCTTCGAATCTATAACGCTCCCTTCATCTTCCCCATGATAGAATAGGCCGTAACACGTATGTTGTAAGAACACGGGTGACATGTCTGTATTTACTGCTCTATCCAACTCCAGCCATGCCCTTCCACCAATCATTGAGCTTTCTTTGCAAATCTCTTCATGTTCCTAGTGTTGTTGACCTTGTCCAGTTCTGTGAAGGTGCGTGCGATAGTACGTACGGAGTCAACTAGAAGCACTTGGATAAAAATCAGCGCTTGTACTTCTGTAGAGGAAGGTTTGACTTACTGCCCGGGAAGATCATCCAGAGGAAATTCATGAAGAAATAGTAGAACCAAAAGTACAAAAATTCCGGTCTAGAGTAAATGACTTCTTTGTGATAGTAATCAAAAGTATGGGTGGCATAATAGAGAACAAGTCCGTATATCTGTCCTACAGTCACGATGATTTGTAGTGGGTGTCGAAGTGGATGGCCAGTCGCAATGAAGGCTGCAACGACGAAGCACATAGGTCCCCATAGAAACTGTACGGGGAGCTATTAGTATTATGGCTAATATGGAGAGGCCTCGCAATTGACCTACTGCTGTCACTGTTTCCATGCAAAGGACAAACGGATCAGATGTCAAATATCGACTGTCACTCAGCGCATATTCCTTCCACAGTTGTCCCAACAATTGTTGATCTTTGATAATTTGAGTGTGATGGAGCGAGAAATATCCTGGAAAGCTACGATTAGCCATCGTTCTTTATAAAATGATTCGAAGCCGCATACCTTCGAAGAGGAGGTGGATTGCGCCAGCTATAATCCAAGTTAGGAGAGAGCGTAACAATACTGATAGGAAAGACCTACATAATACTAACCACCATATGGCAGCCTTCTCAGTGCTTGGCAGTAGGGGATATGATCTGGCAACAAAAGTGCGAGTACATATTGACAACACAGCGCAAGCACCGAAAAATATGCTCAGGAGAGCAGGTACAGTCCATTCGTTTGCAAGATAACTACCTATTTCCATCTCAAGCGGATAATAGGGATGGTTGACGGCAACTGCAGCTGCAGACTCAATCGAAGCATTCTCCATGATAGAAGCCATCTTTTCCGAGAAGACCCAAAGGTGATTAAGGATCCAAGTTTGCGCAGAGGGAAGGATAAGGGAAGAAGATGAGGAGGAGGATGATGAGGAAGTTTAGGATATGGGACAATTGCGAACAGCTAGTAAAGAAGTTAATATGCTCCAGACACTTGGACCAATGCAATGGACAACGTTGTTTGAAAAGACATCGAAATTGTGCAGCGTCCCCATCAAAAGTCTCAAACCCGGGTCTGAAGGGTCCTTCAGGGGGCTCAAGCAGGGTTTCTACATAATAGTAACTTCGACTTCCTGGAGCAATAGCTTGGATAAGGGATTGCACTGGGGACTGGTTCGGCCAAGTTATTTGTTTACTTGGCTATTAGCGCTATGCGTATACTCCCAGGCTTTCCCAATGTCGAGTATTTTGAAAACATACTAGGTGCAATAGGATTGGTATGCTTTGATCTTTGAACTTTGAGGTACAATAGAAGAAGGGATACCGTAGTTTGATGATGTATGATAGATGAGGTATCTGGTTGCCAACAGATAAATCAACAGCCGATTGTGATTGAATGAACAAATGAATGAACAAATGATGATTTCTATCGGTTGTTCCATGTCGTATCAGGATTGCTATTCGCCGAAGATAATTATTATGGAGTTATTTTGGAGATCGTGCGCGAAAAACAAGCTCCCTCCCCACCCAAAGATTTAATTGTTGCATAATCCCCACTCTAGAGCCATGGTGAGCTACTTTCCAGAATCACTGTGGAAACATGGAAGCCATCCATACAAACAGTGTACATCCATGGATCCATGGAATCCATCTGTCGTACCCCTGAAAAGGCTGCTGATTTAGGTTCGACGTAGGTTTACTCTTGATGCTGAGTAGCCGAGTGTGTAGAAATAAGTGTATGTTAAAGTAGCTGTTTGTAAAAAGATGTGGATGCATAAATGAGTCTATGTAAAAATAAGTGTGTATTGGAATAAGTGCACGCAATACTGCTAATTACGATCAATAACCTTCCTCGGTAGATGAATCCGAAGCTTCGGCTAAGTTTTGATTCGAATTCAAACTCGTCACCCTGCTCCGCCCTTTGTGGAGTAGATTGTGGGGTGGATAAAAAGGAGAACACAGAGGATTCATTCAGAAATTTGAATCCCTTGGTTCGTTACTCTTAAGCGTGGCTGACTTTCGTCATTACTTTCTATGTTTCTAGCGTTCTTATAGATCAATGATAAACTAGTACAACAGCTGTTCAATGCAAGGTCACAAAATCGAGTTGAGAAAGGTGTACGAAGGAGCTTCGAAGACAACACAATAAATCATACAAAGACGGGCAACTCACTGTCTTTGGATCTTCATAGGAAGACAATCATACTAGACGCACCATATCTTCGCTCATGGTAGTTCTCATCAAATAGTTGTGGAGTTAGTGACAGCTCGCGGTGAAGAGGTATATTCCTGTATTCCCTTCGCGAAATGGCATGGCATATTGATCAAATAGTTCTCCGCGACTCAGGCATGTTCGGGCTTCCGAAAATGAAAGGTATCGTCAAGCTCCTCACTACCTTCGCTCATGTCTAAGTATGAGTTATCCTTGTCAGCGATACTGTCAGCTTTTGCGCGTCCAAAGAGTTTCCTGCCGTCAGCTCCACCGAGGTTCAAAGGTGACTCCTTTGTTTGGCCGTATATATCAACTTCTCTTGCTTCAGAAACATGCCAAGGGACCATTTCCGCATCATCTGCTTTCGATAATGACATGAGAATGCAGTCTTGCGAGTCGCTGAAAAAAATACATGGTAGTGCAGATACTACATTGAGCCATCTGATGATTGATTTTCCAATGGCCTTACCCTCTGGCAGTTGCACCCCAAAAGTAATAATTCTTGGAGTGATCCAAGATGGATCCCATAGTTGCACGCGGTCTTTGTTTTCTTCACCCTCGCATCTAATCATCAGAAGCTCGTTGACACTGGGATGAAAGGTTACCCGAGCTACAGGGGCGTGCATTATCAGCAGTGCCCTGAGTGACCGAGACCCGACATCCCAGATCCAAACTGCGGATGGCATTTCCTCAATCTTGGTTGCTAATAGTGTGCCAGATATGTCGAATGTCATTATACTAGTGCCTGTCTTTGGATCTGCGGTTGGAATAGCACTTGCTGTTGGGGGTGATGTAGATTGTTTCGCTCGAACGAATTCTCGAGTGAAACCACCATGGGGGGATGGCAATATGCGCTCAATCCAGATCTAAGCAGTCAGAGATAGCTGTGTTGAGGTTAGAGATGGGTGAACGTACGTGTAGAGTATCTGTAGGGTTTACGGAAAGTACATGTGACAAAATCATAGATTCTGAGAAGGTCGGGACAGCCAACAGCACTATTCTTCGACTATAATCTGAAATGGCAACATGTGTTCCCGTCTGACTCCATTCGATGGATTTTATTCCGGCACCTAAAGCGAGATCCTTATCCTCCTCATGGGCCGGCGTTGGACCAGTCCAAGCTTTATACAAATGGCCATCAGCAGTATAGACAAGTAATTTGTGACCTTGGCTGGCAGATTCCCATGTCGTTATCCATTTCCCATCTGGGCTCCACATTATTCCTTGAGCGTCAATTGTTTCTGGTGACCATGATCTTATAACCTCCAAGCTTCCTGGTTTGTGTATACTAATTACATCTTTACCACCAGATCTGGTCAAAAGAGTTAGATTCCCGGATCGCGGACGATGTGAGAATCCTTTTGCCGCGGTACCAGGAGTGAATAGCTTCGATGAGCTAATTTCCACCCATTTCGAAGTACTAAGATTGAATATAGTTAATTTCAGACCAAATTCTGAAAAGACGCAGACTTCATCATCGGTGCCTCCAAATGAAATAAAGGTCGTTTTCGTAGTCCCCGAGGTCGGGCTGTTAATTGTTGCAGAGATGTAGTTGTCGCTAGGAGAAAGTACGCGTATGACATCTGCAGACGCCAGAAGTAAGCGATTGGAAGAGGATGACCATATAAAGGATGTTATTGATGATGCGAGCTCAGATGGAAGTGATATAGTGCGTATTATATCAAGGGACCGCGTCTCTCTGATGTGGAGCCTCGATGGCAGGATAGTGGCAATATATGCGCCATTGGGACTTGGAAGAGATTGATTTGATGCTAAGATATATATACGTCAACTTTATGCCTTTATAGGAGGATGAAAGGATTCGGGCGCAAAAACTTACATTCAAAAGGGCGAGAAAATTGCATTATGAATGATTTCCAAGATTTCCAAAGTTCTGATATCGTAGACACTTCCAATTTGCACCAAATTGCACTGTCGGGGATCTCCGGAAAGCCCCGCGTTCATACCAGTAAGTAGAACGGGCCGATAACGATAAGCTTTTGATGAGTAAGCCACAAGTATTAACCTTATCAATCCGGCAACTCGGAGAAATCTGAAAATCAATGGGTCTCTGAAAATGAATAATGAGTGATGAGTAAGGAATGAATAATGAATAATGAATAATGAATAATGAATAGTTACCCGCTGCTGCCCCTCCAGTTCCGAGACCCTCCAAGAGCCTCCGCCACTCTTACAATTACAAACCAAAATCTTTTCTAACTCTTTAAGAACTGAGATAATGTGTCACCGTGACGATAAGGAAGCATAACTTTTCCATTCAACTCAATACTCAGTGAGATGGGGCAATAGGATTACTCGATGTTCGAAATGATTGAAGGGCACTCAATTGCCTTTGCGCCGCTAGATATTGGAAGCTCAAGACACCTATTTTGATAGGACATATCGTGTCTTTTCTTCCAAGATACCTCTACCAAAGCATACCAACAACTCCTTTCTTCCAAGATGTTGTCTTTGAAAAGAGCTTTCCGAGAAAGTGTACTTAAGGGTGGCAGGCCCAACTTGTTGTCCTGGAAAATACACAAAGCAATATCCACTACCGCGACATCGATTCAAGAGCTCGCTGGACATGAATTGCCTTTGCACAAAGACACTGAATCACTTAGCAGACCCCAAAACAGAAGGGATGGACTCAAAAATGCCAAGCCCTTCTCCTCCTTTCTTACCGATAACTTCCAGAGACAACACGATTATCTTCGAATCTCAATCACAGAAAAGTGCAATCTGCGATGCTTGTATTGTATGCCAGAAGAGGGAGTCCCACAATCGCCACAGCCGGATCTCCTCACGACCCCGGAAATCGTGCTCCTATCGTCTATATTTGTTTCCCAAGGTGTTTCGAAGATCCGCCTTACCGGTGGTGAGCCGACTGTTCGTCGCGATATACTGCCTCTTATGCGACAGATTGGAGCCTTGCGATCCCAAGGTCTGCGCGAGCTTTGTCTTACCACAAATGGGCTAAACCTTGCAAGAAAATTGGATAGTATGGTGGAAGCAGGGTTGACTGGGATCAACTTAAGTTTGGATACTTTGGATCCATGGCAGTTTCAGATTATGACTCGAAGGAAAGGCTTTGAAGCTGTGATGAAAAGTATAGACAAGATACTGCACATGAACAAATTAGGCGCTGGCATAAAACTCAAGATCAATTGCGTGGTAATGCGTGGGCTCAATGAAAGAGAAATAATACCCTTCGTCGAATTAGGTCGAGACAAAGATGTCGAAGTTAGATTCATCGAATATATGCCATTTGATGGCAACAAGTGGAGCCAAGGTAAAATGTTAAGCTACCTGGAAATGCTTGATATCATACGGCAAAAGTATCCTACACTTCGAAAGGTAGCAGACCACAAGAATGACACAAGCAAGACCTATGAGATTCCTGGATTTGTGGGGAAAATGGGATTCATTACAAGCATGACTCACAATTTTTGTGGTAGTTGCAATAGATTGCGCATTACGAGTGATGGCAACTTGAAGGTATGCTTATTTGGCAATGCCGAAGTATCCCTGAGGGACATCCTGAGGAAGTCCAATGGCAATCATCCCATTGACGAGCAAGCTTTTGAAGCGATGAAGCAGATAGAAATGGGTAGGAGAGAGAATCTTGGAGATGCCCACAGCCCTCTAGGAAGCTCTCCCAACGAGAGAGAGTTGCTAGAGGTCATTGGAATGGCTGTGAGTCGGAAGAAGGAAAAGCACGCCGGCATGGGCGAATTGGAAAATATGAAGAACAGACCCATGATCTTAATAGGTGGGTAGGTTTCATTTTACATCGAGATACGTTAGCGATGTGATAGTATGAAGTTATTTGCGTTCTGGCGTCTTTTAATACCCTGATGTATTTAATCAATATCTTGAAATCTAGATAGGTGCAAATAAGATGTTGCGTTTCTGCAGTATGATGCGTAGTCAACACTGACATCTTATCTAGATGACAAATACTATCGTCGTCCAAAGGCACTCACTCAATGTTTTGGAAGTAGGCCCTCAGGTCGATACCACCAAATCTCTTTCAATCTTTTACCACATATACCTCCTCATTCTGCACGCCTGTACTTCAGCAAATCTACTCCGGCTCAAATCAACAATACCAGTAGTGGCGTAGAAGAGTCTTCGATAGACACTCTGTCAGGTTCAATCCAATCAGGGGTGCACAAGCTTACTCATCTTACACAATCCGGTGATGCACATATGGTTTCGATCTCTTCTAAACAGTCTACGAAAAGAACTGCAGTTGCTGTCTGCAGTATTCATTTTTCCAATGATGTAGCAATTTCACTCATCCGTGACAATCGAGCCAAGAAAGGTGATGTACTAGGAATCGCTCGTGTCGCAGGCATCATGGCTGCCAAGAGAACTTCTGATTTGATACCTCTATGCCATCCAATTGCCATTACACATGTCAACATCGACCTAAAAATTTCGCACGAAGGTGGAACAGGCACAAGACCTTCATCCTCCGCTTCAAGGACTTCAATTCCATGGTCTGGCACAGGACAAGGTGATGGATATAAATGGCCGTCATCTGTTTCAGAGGATGTTCCTCTCGATAAATTTGGGAGCGTGGAAGTTACGGCCAGTGTGTCATGCGATGGGAAAACGGGGGTCGAAATGGAGGCACTTACAGCCGCTTCAACGGCGGCATTGACAATCTACGATATGTGTAAGGCTGTGGATAAGGGCATGCGAGTTGAGGGGTTGAGAGTCGTGAGGAAAGAGGGGGGAAAGAGTGGCACATGGGTAGAGGGAATCTCCGATGGCGAAAAGTAAACAATAGTGAAGCAGAGGTGACATGAAAGGACGGTTTACCTAATCATCTCTGGCAAGCAACAGCCATATTCTCCCCCAACACACATTGGATTTACCATCGTCATGTATCGCTCTCGGATGAGGCGCAGAGCTGGTTTTCCTTCCCCTTCCCGATGTTTCTTGCAGGAGATGAAAATGTCAAGAAAGTCACGATACATGAGTTCCTGGCCTGCGGAGGAAGATTGAACATTTGATTGAACCGCTTCATGACTCACGAACTAATAATTATGCATAATAATTCTATTTTCAATATAATCGTATGTGAGTAGCTGATGTGTCATTATTTTCGAGAAATGCTTACTATCTGCCATCTGGATTGGGAAGTTGAATCCTTCGATGCTACACAATTTGGTTCTCACCGCAAATCCTAAATCCTTTCAGAAACAAAATTGAAGAGCAAATTTCCACATCATTGGCGCCGCAACTCAGTTTACGAAATTTACCTAGCTCTTTGATCGTTCCTACCAACAACATAGTTCTCTAGATTGAAGCGCAGTTTGAAAATCTTGGTGATCCTGTGTTCAAGTTATCTAAAGCTCTTGTCAATCCTACAGAGTGTAACCTTCACGGCATGGTTCGTGCAGCATGGGATTTTTGAAGCCATAAAACCTATGCTGTGGCACTTCCTTTCAGTCATAATGCCATTAGACCAATTCTTATAATAAGCCGTGCGGACCGTTGCTACAACGAGCCAGTGTTCCCTAATTTTTTTTTTCTTTTTTCTTTCAAAGTTCTTTTCGTGAGAAACTTTTTCCCTTTGCTATCTTTACCAGTTCATCCTTTATTCCTTAAGTTGTTTTTGAGTGTCTTTAACATTTCTTGTTCACATTCCCGCTATGAGACTTTCACGCGCAGCTGCATTGTCTCTCCTTTCTGGGATCGGGGCTGCATCTCTGGATACTGATTGCTCGCCTGTCACGACTACTGTCTATCAGCCTACTACTATAACTGTCAAAGAATCTTCGGTCGTAACTTCTACCGTCACTCTCGGAGATTACGGAGAGATATCTGGTACGGCGATATATCAGACAGTCACACATGAGGATGGATCTACTGCCATACCAATTACTGTCACAGCACCTGCTCAAACCATCACGGTCGACAATGCAGGGACAGTGATTGCTGGAGGCTCCGGATCTAGTTCATCATCTTTGAAGTTGTTTAAAACTTCCAACCCTATTATCGATGGAACAGGATCGCTTCTAGGAGCACAGGTTACATCTCTCCCCTCGGCTGACGCTATTGGAGCAGTTACACAGATGAACGTGATATCAGGAATATCCACAGTCCAGGTCTGCCCTACCGGTGCAACAACTTATGACTGTACGGAGGTTATTTACGGTTCAGGTGGAGAAGTCATTGTGATTCAGATCATCACTGTTGATGTCACAATAGATGTTTATGGTGAGCCTAGTACTGTAACAATAACCAAGATCGCAAGCGCCACTTCGACTCCTAGCTTACCACCTACACACTCGGCAAGTCTGGTTGGAACTAAGACCCGTGGGTCATCATTTACCGATAAACCTACTACGGCACCTTACTCTTATGGAAATGGAAGTCACCATATCTACCCAACAGGCGGTATCAGAACAGGAGCTACCGGCTCACACAAACCCACTGGAACCGGAAAGTCATTGCAGCCAATACACGTCATCTCAGTTGGTCAAAACGGTACTCTCTCCTTCTCGCCCAAATATATTGATGCGGAGGAAGGAGCTACTGTACGATTTAAGTTCTACCCCACAAATCACACTGTCACTTCTTGTGATGTCACGGCCCCCTGCGTTATGAATGGTGTGTATGATTCTGGATTCAAGCCCGTCTTGGAGAAGAACATGACCACATTTGTTGATTTCCCCGTCACAAACGCCAGGAGCCCACTATTTTTCTTTAGGTGTGTCGGCCCTTTGCAGATTAAACATCTTCCACTAACATTATCCTAGTCGTCAAAATAATGGGTGTGAGTCAGGCATGGTATTTGCCATCAATCCTAAGTCGGGAACGCAATATGACGAATTTACATCTTCTGCCAAAAGCAAGAAGACTACCACAAGCCATGCACCAACCGGCACATCATATTCAACCGGCGATATTCGAGGAACGGGCAGCGGCCGTCCCACATCCACGCATTCTGACTTGGGCATTAGCGCCCCTGGTTCATCGAAGGTACCTTTTCCTACTGGTGGATCGAATACAACAATCGGCAGTGGAACTAGACTGCATCACATCGAGACAGGAACAGGGTTAGCACATTCATCAATCACTTTCAAGCCATCAAACAGTATTCGCAGCTCCGGCTTCCCACATTCGTCAGATTCCTCCAGACCAACTAGAAGCATCAACGGTAGTGGCCATGCATTTCCAGCCAGTAGTGTGAGAACAACTTCCGTCTTGAGCAGCTCCCTCTCCACCACTCGCAGTCTTAGCTCATCATCACACTCAACCACTAGCAGGACTAGCTCCATCGTCACCACTACCTCTTCCATCAACGGCTATGTAGCTTATAGCTTTTCTACTCCCGTCGCTTCATATGTCGCACAAAGCTATCGAGCATAGACCGAAGATTTGATAGGCGGATTCCTTGTTTTTTAAAGTTGAGCAATTTTGTGGCGCAGGCGCAGGCGCGAGTTGGATTTGATTGGTGTCGGTCTCTTCGTTGTCCCCTTGTCCTTGTATTTTGTGTATTACACACCTTCTTAATTTCCCATTCTTCTTCAATGGGCATTGTGTAGAATTAGATTTCAGCTTAGGCTTTTATTTCCGTTTTATCGTTAGTCTCCTCTTGAGGGTATTTCGCGTAATTCGGCACTGAACAAATGCTGTTGACTTGGCGATCAAGACGTTATTATGGGACATTCGTGTGGTCCAAGAAACGCCAAACTCTCAGGTATGGCGATTAGTATCAAACTTCTCAGGTATCTCAAAGATTAAAAATCTATGGATCTTTCAAATGACCTTCCACAAGTTCCTCAACAGTCGATACTTTATCAAAAATTCAACTGAATCATATTACGCGAATTGTGTAGCATATTCAAATGATGTCAATGTCCCCCGGCTGGTCGAGGATAATGACCAATGAGTGAGTATCAGAGCGATTGGTTCCTGGTTCGGAAAGCTCTTAAGAGAGCCCTTCTAGTTTTTTCGGACATTCTCATTGGAGGCTGTAACTTTCCTCACTATTTCCCAAGTCATTTCGGGCGACCAGGCTCACACCCGATTGATTGATATCGATAGGCAAGTATTCGCTGTGTATTTCCTAAACCTCAATCCTACCATAATTTTACGTATGCTGTACGACTGGATGGAAATGCGGGGGAAGATGTCAACTGCGACATAAGACTCGATATGTTCTGCATGGTTAGAGTGCTAGGCTGGCAATGCATGCCAATTTCATCGAGGAGACATCGTATCTCATCGAATTTTGAAGGAAACGGATCGCGCCTTGGGAATGTCGCATTAGCAAACAGCCAGTGAATCGCTGCATTGAGTCATGTTGATGCTGCATCTGCGTACATATTCTGTGTATCTTCGGTTTGAAAAGGCAAGCAGGCTGCCCCCTCACCGACTTGAGAAGGGATCTTTGTGATCCGAAAATGATCGATCGCCAAATCCTACATCTCCATTAGAAGTAAAAAAATATCAACTGCTTCTGTACTTTCGCGGATGTCGCGTTTTGATTTTTCCGGGAAGATTTAAGTAACACCAACAGTTTAAATTTATAGCTCATACGGCCAACCGTGGTGTGCATCTTGGTTTTTTAGGCAATGTGTCTATTTCTGTACGGTTGCTTCACCACTTCTGCTGTCGTCGTGTTGTTCTACCCTGTATTAATGCACCACGCTGCATACAAATCTCAATCTTAACCCGGGTTGGTGGTTTAAATTGCAATCACTCTGTCCTCCTTGGCCCGTTGGGTTGAAATAAATCCTAAACGCCGATCAATCACACAGCTCGCTGCTGTTGGCTTGCAGCATTGAAGTCAACAAGTATGTAGGTCTTCAATTACACAAAGGCTTCCCAGCTGCACATAACTCCGCTGAACAAGAGGAAAATTCTAGAATATTTGGCAGCTTGATGAGCCAATACCTCCGAAACGCTTTTTCTGGGAGAAAAGATGTTTTGGCAATCAGAACATTTTTCTCCTAATTTCTCGCTGCATCTGAATAATCCGAATCAGTATCCGCGAAACCGGTTCTGGGTTGGTCATAAAAAATAGGTTGGGGGGGTTTTTTTCATGCCGGAACTACCTAGTGGTCGGATTCGGGCGGCCCTGTTCCAAATCGACTCATTAGAATCTGACAGGTCATATAGTTTATAGCTTCTCTTTCAGTCGAATGGCATTTACAGCTTCTCCATATTAGAGTAGTTTGACCGCCCACCTTGGTTCATGCTGGTAATTTAAGCCACTATTACTTTACAAAACCCATATTTTGCAAAGTGCATAAGGAGGGGCATAGCTCGATGAAGGCGGTCGACATTGATATCGAGATCCATATTCAAGATCATAGCATCCTAACGCTCTCTTCCCGATCACGAATAAGTCATGGAGAACATATATTCTGGAGACTAGGCTACTCGCATAGATATCAGGCAGATTGTGGGGTATCTAAATCAACTTTGGAATCTAGAATTTTTACTCTCGTTGAGACCAACCATACGTTACACAGCTTGATTTTCATGGATCTCAGACCTTTTCTTTTCTTCTTTACTTTGGGAAATGCTGTGGGCAAATAGCGCGGTGGCGATTATGCATTTTACACATGAATAGTCATCTGGCCCTGCATATAGCCGTTTGCTTTTCTTGTAACCCAGAGGCCTTAGTATAGTTCTCACCGACCGTTGAAGCTTTCATCTGCTTAATGCGCAGCTTTCCTTTGCCGTAGCTAAGTGTTCAATCTAATCCATGTCTTTTTTGATATGCGTTGAATGCCTAGAATATCTTGGTTGGTTACTAAAACTTAAGGCTTTCAATAAAGACTCATCAAACCTATATATATCTTAGAGCTCAAAGCTCCATAAAAGTATTGTAGCCTACGATTTCGTTATCCATAATTAGACCTCATTTAACATTCATTCATTCTTTTATTGTAGTCAGACTTTCGTACCAAACATCATGCCTCAAGTTTTACCCGGTGATGTTACTGGCCTGTACTATATTCTGGTTAGTAACCTCCCATGGTCATGTACGTGGCAAAGATTAAAGGACTTTGCGCGTAATCAAGATTGTACGGGACATTTCCTTGCAGTTGAACATGCACAAGTATATCCTGAATCTACTTGTGGTTGGGTGACGGTCCGTGGAAAAGAAGACTTCCTCGAAGCACTTCGTAAGTTCATCTTTTATGAATAGATGGTGCTGACAAAGTTACACAGAGTATCTGCAAGGTGGAATGATGGAGAATCGTGCTTTGTGCGCAGATGGCCGCAATGAAACGGAATCTATCCAAGTGCGGGATCTTGCAATGCCATGGACAACGCAATATTCCTGCGAAAGCCCCGCAAGGGATCCCACACCTCCAGCACCAATGCCTTTAGTGTCATCAGCACACTCAGGGCCCATTCAACAAATGTCTTTCTACCAAATGGCACCTTTACCAAGTGGCACCTCAACCACCACTTCGATATCGACTACTTTTGATGATCGAGGTATGACTCAGGTATGAATAAAGTATCTCATTACCTTTGCCATGATACAGCCTAACAAACTCAGATTCAACAGATCCGAAGTGTTGGGATCTATCCAAATGTACCATTACCACCCACCTTTGATCCTATATTATATGCTGGCGATGTTGCGCCAAGCACGCCCATGTTTATATCGCCTCTCCAAACGTTTACAACGTCCCCCCCTCTTCTGCCGAGTGCCGAACAGTACGACACCATGTCAATTGTTAAAAGCAAAGTTATCATCACCCAAATCCCTCACCATGCGTCTACCACTGATTTGAGAAATCTCATACACGCAGGCATCAAAGCCAAATTTCTGGATACTTCATCGGCTGAAAACCCCCTTGCTGCTTTGTGCAGTATGAAAATCGAGAAACACCCTGATGGCAGGCAAAAGTCCCATGCATTTCTCAGCTTCGAGACATATAGTATGGCTAGAGCAATAGTAGATATGCTTGACGGGGTAGACTTCAAGGGAAGAAATCTGCGGGTAAAGCTTGCAAAAGAAGGGGCAGAGCCCAGACAAAGTCCCATAAGACCGATCAGCACTGCTTCTGCTTCTATTCTACCTTTGAGGGAGAGAGGACAACCGAAATCACAGGTATCATCACAGGTCACCATACATTCGAAATCAAGCATTCTGGCGCCTCAGGAGAAGAATCTGCGGAAGTCGAAGGAAGAGAAGGATGCGAAGGATGGAACGACGGAGGAGAGGGATGGGGAGAGGGCGACGGCGACGGCGACGGCGACGGCCAAGGAAAGCGCGGTAGCTACAGTGGCCATAGTAGCAGCGGATTCCGAGAGAGAGGCGACTCCAAAGTCGCCGATGGTGGTTAATGGGTCAGGAAAGAACGCTTAGTCTCAATGCTTCCCGATCCCTGAGGCTGGTCCTCTTGACAACTTTCTATGAAAGACAGCAGCAGGATTGATGTTTGGGGCAAGAGAGGGTGGTGTTTGTGTTTCTCGATACCCACAAGCATATGGTAGCGGCGAATTTGGGCGGCATGTATTGGGCATTCTGGTAATCACTAGCGCTCTTCTTTTGCATTGAATCTTTTGGGCTCACGGCAATGTGTTTCTACCCCGAGTCAAGGGAATCGTTTCGGTGCAGGTCCATGAGGTTTCGTAGTTCTTCTTCAGATTTGGCAGTGGAGGATTGAAGCTCATCACCATAAACATCACCTCACCTGATTATGACAAGTCTAACTGTCTACGAGGATCAAAATTTAAAATGGTGTGGTGCAAAATTCCATAACTTTTAGAGGCACTAATCTTTTCATGTTTATACTTTGACGATTGAAATTTGGAGTATGTAGATATCGGCATGAATGCTTTGGTACAAGGTATTTACAAATGATTTTGGAGGCATCTATATTTATTTGTGGTTTCGAGCATCTCACAAGTTAGAGACCTGTAACACCTCATTTTAAAGCGTCAGAGTCGTGTAGGTCTGGTAAGTGCTACTACCTCTGTGCTACATATTTGTGCTTGTGTAATAGGCATCTTCAGTTATCATGGGCAAGCATCAGCTGGCTGTGAATATCTAATTTACACGCACGTACTCGACATATTTATTTTCTTGACGGTGATCGCCAAACATTACTCCATCCAAACTTCCATGAAAAACATCGGACGAACACGACAACATTTTGTTGGTGGTACGGTCAACATTTAACAGTTTTAGCCCGAGATTATGCAGGTTTTTCTTTCCCGATTATGCAAACACCCATTTTGAGACCTGCAACAAGGACTTTCAGCACAGGATCTGCACGTGTTTGATCATCTCGTGATGCTCATATCATCACTTGCTTTACTTTCTTTTCTCCTTTTAAATATATTCGCCCGTTGATCTGGTGTCATGGGTAGAATGTAGTGTGACTGACACCCATAAATATAAAATATGAGGAATGGGGAAGAAGAAGAAAACATGAAATCACATGATACCCCATAATGACTAAACGATTTGTTGCATATCTGGAGTGACGCTGTTGGATATTTGTTGCATGTCTTGACGATGATTGCAGATTTTAGGTTTTTAGTCCTGCATAAAAGAGAAGCGCTTTACTACGTTGGTAGTGGTGGGGACTATTTTTAGGCAGGTTGGATGAAAGGGAAGAGAAGAGAAATTAGATTGGCTGGGAGAAAGAGGCCGGCCGATGCGTACTGGGTACTGACTGCACTGCGTATGTAATAGGTCTTTGTATGCGACAAGGACAGGAATGAGAAGACGGCTCAAAGTCATATTGGTAGGTAGGTAGGTAGGTATGGTGGTATGTCCCTTTATGCAGAGGAGAACAGCAACCCCGAGTTGATTGGCTCAACTACATCCCTTGTGTAATCAATTAGCTTGAGGCTACTTGGTATTCTTGCTTTGCCAGATTCTTGCGGCTTTTTGTTGCATATCTCAGTTGAGTCCTGCAGTATCGACCCAATAAGGCGGGATCGGAATGACCATGTACACATTTGTGTGAGCTGAGTAGGACAGTGTGCGGTGCAACGTGCAGTGTACCGCTATTGTACTGTTGTTGTACTTTGTGTGTAGCGGTACATAGATGCTGCAGGACTGATTGGTGCGAGAATGGCATATGACTCTGAGCAAGCCGTTTTTCAAAAGTACGTTTAGAAAGTGGATATAGAAACGACGAAAAAATACATGGAACGAATGAATGGTACTGTAAATTTGGCAGGGGATCAGTCAATTCATTGTTTGATTTGTTTGATTTTCCAATATTAAGTTTGGGAGAAGAACGGACTTTTCCAACACCCGAGGAATGATGAAGTCCAGAAGGAATGCAGAGGGAGTGAAAGGGAAGTCCTGATTGTATAAAAATAAGAAAGTAATAGAATATTTTCAAACGAAGGATAGGAGTAGAGAAGGAGAAGGGGAAGGAGAAGGAGAAGTAAAGATAGAAAAAGATAAAGATAAAGATAAAGATAAAGATAAAGATAAAGATAAAATAGAAGAGGAAAAGAAAATAGAAAATACAAAATAGAAAAAGGAAAAGGAAAAGAAAGCAATACATATGAAATACTGAATCTTCATAATAACTATTAATTACAATCAATATCTTGGTTGCGGGCTGGCTCACCAACCTCTTGTCATTTCCATTTTTCATGGTCCGCAGCACAGTAAAGTGGATGGATGGATGACTTGAATGGCTGGATGGCTGGATGGATGCCCGAGCTTCTGTATGTCAGATGTCTGCATGTAGTATGTAAGTATGTAAGTATGTAAGTATGTAGTATATAAATATGTAGTATATAAATATGTAGTATATAAATATGTAGTATATAGGTATAATATGTAGTATATAGGTATAATATGTAGTATGTAGTATGTAGTATTTACTTATGTACATTGTACACTCTCATACATACAAATCAATCACCCACTCACTCATTCACTCTACATTCATTCCACAAGACAACCAACCAACCAACCAACCAACCACAACCAACCACTGTCATTATGTGCAGAGGACGTACATAACATACACACACAAGATACATTGGTATCCAGTTCAGCCAATTATCTCCATTTATTTTCTTTAATTTCTATTTTTATGAATATATCAATCATATCTTTGATTCTTAATGATAATTGTAACCTTACATTGAGTAACAATCTATTTACTGCTATTTGTTTTTAAGTATAGGTATTTGTGCTTGACTATACAACATCATATCATATCATATCATATCATATCCATCACATCGATAACAGCAAACCCCGAAAACCCAAAACCCAAAACTTCCTATGATCAACGGCTGCATTCTTCAAAATTTGGCTTCGGATAACCCCACTCTACCTACTACTTACTACCCACTATTACACTATATTACACTATATTACACTATATTACACTATATTACACTATATTACAAGTATATTACAGTACTTCTACACTACGGAGTCTAGGAATCTAGAAATTTGGCCAGGATATTAGACCCTGTACCGAGAGGAAATACTCAATACTCCGTACAGAAACGAGACATCCTGTATGTACACAGCACGAGGGGAAGAATATTCGAAACATACATTCCCTAAATCGATATTGTCTCGTGACGGCACGCCCGTAAATCAATTCTGAATGCTGACGAAACCATCCACGGATGATCCCTTTGGCACATCAGTAAAGCCATCCTCGCATGTACAGTGTAGAAGGAAGGGGCAAGGATATTTATGATCCATAATTACCTAAGTATTATTTCATGAAAGCCACGATACTCGCTACCAATCCAAAAGAGCTGAAGTAATAGAAACGGAAAGAGCATCCGAGACAACTTTATGCCGAGGATTTCATTATGCCAAATCTCCAATCTCCTGTGCTGCCAGCACAGGGCAAGATACAGCCCCGGACACATCGACGGACACATTCCTTAACCCCAGATACATCTCGAACGGCCTCACCATTAAAGAAAGTATGGGCGGAAACCCAATCTGCAGATGAGCTATCCGGAGGAACAAATCAGAACAGAACCGAAGACTCTGTTCTCTTACCTGCAACTGCAGCCCTCGCTTCAGGAAACGGCTTGGGGTCTTTGGATGAAGAGAGAGCTCCTTTGCGACGACCTCGATCACATCAACGCTCCCTTACGCAACTATTACCTTCCTGGAGTACGCGTCAAATTCCCCCAAGCCCACACAGATCGCCCGAGAATTCTCCAACGAAGGAGGATCAACATTTCGAATACATGGCGTCCTTGACTGGAGATAACGGTGGTCGAACAAGGATTCCCGAAAGGTCAAGGGGAGGAAGAAGCGGTTTGTTTGTTGGTTCGTCGCCTTTGGAAGTTGCAGGATTAGAACAAGACGGATCGAACCCGAAAATGCCAGGTGCTAGAGAACCATCACCAAATCGAAAGCTCGAGAGAAAGGGTACTCTCCCTGTCCCCGAACTCAACTCTCCTCCTGCGAAATCAACTGGCTCCTCAATGTTCGGCTTCTTTTCCTCCCCGAAAGCTCCTGCCAAAGCGATCCAACTACCCTCAGATCCGGATAGCGACGAATATCTCACCCTTGACATCCACTCATCATTATTTCCACTCGGCGCAGCTGATCCTTTTTCGCCTGCTGCCTTCAAGAACCTTCAAAGCAACGCCGAAGGTCTCTTATTAAAACTCCAAACCGTATATAAACTTCGCACCATCCAATACAATGAAATGAAAGCCGAGAAAGATGCACAAGGAGAAGAACTCGAAGAAGCCAAAATCCGCACCGAACATCTTAAGCTTCAACTTGAAGATATGGCCAAGAAGTTCAATGAACAAGACATTGCTATAGAGGACTTGGTAAACCAACTCGCCGTGGAAAAACAGGCTCGTGTGGAACAGAGAGATCAGCATATCGCTCAGATGAAGAGGACGGAAGAAGCAGCGAGGATAGCATATCGTGCAAGCTATTGTTCTACGGTTGGAGAAGAAGACCTAGGGATTCCACCAGACATAAGAGCTAAATGGAGGAAAAGTGCAGGTAGTACTGATTTGAGCGGGGAAAGTGATGACGATATGGCAAGTGGTGGGGGAGAAAGTGTCTTCTCAAGAAGCAGGAGTCCCACACTTACAGTCTCAACTGTCATGACCAGAGACAGTACAAGAGACAGTACTCCTGACATTCCTTCATCTTTTGGGCGTGTTGGTGCACTTCAAAGGGATGCTCAACTCATCAATAACCCTACAATAGTGATTCCGACAAAACCAAAGCCCCAAACATCAGCCTTCAGGAAAATCCTAGGCATCGGCTCCAGCGAATCGAGTCCTACAAATACATGTTCAAATTGTAGTGGCCAGGGAGCGTCGATGGCATGGGACGCTGTGGGCTTACTGAGAGCTGAAAATAAGAGTTTGAAAGATAGGGTTAGTCATCTGGAGGGAGCAGTCGATAGCGCGCTGGACATATGTGGAGGCCTGTTTCCTGCTGGGTCAGGCTTATGAGATGGATAATTGGAAAGAAATATATTACCATAACCATCTTGAGGAGGCTGGTTTATCTGGAACGACACCAAAAAAAATGCACCGATGACGACAATGACCCCAATCAAACCAACAGCAGTTTATATTATACCCCTTCTTGTTACTGATTTTGTTTTCTTTTCTTGGCTTGCATACCTCTCATGTGCCTCGCTACCATTGAATGGCTAGCTTTTTGGCGTTGCTTATCATAGGTGGCTTTGCTCTACCTTTGGACATTTTCTTGGACTTGAACTTGGATTTGTTTCTTGGCATACACATGGCATTTGCTCATTTTGGCTCCACTACACTGGTAGATGGCATAGGCATAGTAAAGGAGTTGACAGTTTTTTGTATTGTAGGGTTTTTTCTTTGGCTGCGGTAATTCAGGAAGAATTCCATGTGTCCTGTCCTGGGCTAGAGGTGGGAAAACTCAAATAGCACACGTATCTAGACAGTCATCAATAGATGAATCGTTCATGGACATCTAGATTCAATTGTTTGACTATGTGTGCACGTGGTGATGTTCACATGATTACAGGGAAAAACTACAGATGGTACCAATAGATAAGTCAACTCAAATTCACCTTGGCCTGGTCGGTTAATATAAGACTGCTGCCTTGTTTCCCGGACATCATGAGGAATCTGGAAATGGACTTTATGGGACTCTCCGTAGAAGCAGGCTTGCTGGAAGTATAGCAAAATACTCTATCAACACAAACATATATTCCCGATCGCCTTGACTCCAGGATCATCCTACTTAATCGCCAACAATAACAACAACGTGGGTTGTAACATTTACCTACAATCTGCGATGAACAACAATATCTATCTTCCTTGCCCAATGATTTGACATGACAATGGTGTTAGTTTGCTCCACGAAACATTAGTTGAGCCGTTCCAGTTCTTAATATCATAATGCCACTGTCATTCACAAGGTCACATCAACATGTATAAGATCTTCAGTATAATGTGCACCAAGTTGATCGGCACAGATTCAATCAATTCCGCAGAAATAGCTATCGCTACCAATATAAATAGCCAACGTGCGCATAACTTTCAGTGATATCAGCTCTCCATTCCATCAACATAACTGTCGTCTAGATCATTGTAAGCTCAAAAAGATCGTGGTTTTGGGTCCGAGGAGCATCTATCCATCCAATTCTCGATCACGCTTCCGCCGCAAATCTTGCAGGTGAAAGGTGTGCAGTGCGTGAAAGAAAACACTACTGAGCCGCAGCACCCAGAGCCTTGGCTATTTCTTTGGTCTCCCGCTCCAAAAGCGCCTCCATAACACCCACCGGACCGGCGGCCTTCATCTCCTTAACAACTTGATCAACACCAAGCTGTTCGTCGGTCCAAAGAGGTTCTGGAAACTCGCCGCCAGCTTCGCCTACACCAATAAAGCCACCTTGAGCGGCCCACTCGGAGGTTCGTTTAATGCCAAGTTCTGTGAATACGGAATCAATGGCGTTAACAAGATGCTCACGATACTCGCGAACATGGCCTGGTGTCGGAGTGATACGAAGACGCTCCTGACCAACTGGAACAGTGGGATAGTTAATGGATTGCACATAGATGCCGTGGACGTCAAGCAGCATATCAGATGCACGTTTGGCAAGTTCCGCGTTTCCAACTAAGACGGGGATGATGTGAGATGGATTTGGGATGACGGGTATGTCGCGCTCACTAAGTGAGTCTTTGACAGCTCGGGTATGGAGCTGTTGGAGACGCCGGTCACCTTGGTATTGCGATTGATATTCTATCGCGGTTTGTGCGCCGGCCATGGTCGCGGGCGGAAGAGAGGTGGTGAAAATGAAACCAGGAGCGAGAGATCGGATGGCGTCAACCATCTTATTAGATCCGGCGATATAGCCACCAACACAACCGTATGCTTTGCCTAAAGTCCCAGTGATGATGTCCACGCGGTCCATGATGGTGCCTTGGGGACGACCTGCAAGATGGGCTTCATAGTCTAGATGTTCTGCGACACCAGCGCCGTGTGGTCCATACATGCCTACAGCATGGACTTCATCGAGAAAGGTAAGTGCGCCGTATTTCTCGGCTAAATCACAAATTCCTTCGATTGGGCCAATTGAGCCGCACATGCTGTACACTGATTCGAATGCAATGATCTTAGGGACCTCACGCGGAAGAGATGCCAGTTTGCCTTCTAAATCTTCCAAATCGTTGTGTTTGAAGACAATCTTCTTCGCGCCAGAATGTCTAATACCCTGAATCATGGATGCATGGTTCAATGAATCGGACAAAATGACACAATCGGGCAACTTGCTACCAAGAGTCGCAAGAGTCGCATCGTTTGCAACGTAGCACGAAGTGAAAACAAGCGCAGCATCTTTGGCATGAAGTTTCGCAATTGAGGCCTCGAGACCAATCGCATGTTGATTGTGACCCGATATATTTCTGGTCCCGCCAGCACCAGCACCATACTCATCAAGAGTTTCATGCATCGTCTTTAGGACTTGCGGGTTCCGGCCCATTCCCAAATAGTCGTTAGAGCACCATACCGTCACCTTTTCGTTCTTGTTGGCCATGTGAGCCCGGGGGAATTCCTTGGCCAAACGGTTGATATTGTTGAAATAGCGGTAGGACTTATCCTTGTGCTTCTTGTCCAATTCCGCATTGTAAAAGCCTTCATAATCGAACTTGGCGCCTTTAGATTGTTCATGGCGAGTAGCTTGGTTTGGCTGACGCGTTTGCTTGATATGTTGAAATGGCACTGTTCACCTTCCGTGAGAATGTGACTCGACTTGAATAATGGGGTGAATTCAAAAGAAATACATACCACTTTCACGGCCGAACACAGTGTCTTCGACAGCCCTTGCTTCATGCGATCTGCTGGTATGAAGCTTTGCTTTTCCGGTGCTAACTTTACCGGAAAAGGCTCGAATGGCCCTCGTGGCAGCAACGCCACCAAACCCGGCCTTTCCGGCCTTTGCAGTCTGGACAGCGAGAGCTTTGCCCATTACTGGACAACGACCTGCAATGGTCTGCAGATTCGACATACTTCCGCCGCATGGAGAGGCATGAGGACGAGCGGATGTAGAGAGGGATCGTAGAGTTGCCGGGGAGGTCTTTTGAAGAAATGGGCACATAGCCCGCCCTTTGAGTACTGCTTCCATAATATGAAAGTTATTTATTCAGATGGATTGAGCACGATGCGAGAAATTTGAATCTGGAGAAGTCTTAAAATCTCCTTTGAACAAGCAAAATACAACGAATGAGAGGATATTTATTTAGTAAAAGAAAGATTTCGTTTTCGGAGGAGGAGAAAGAACAAACCGAGGGATTAATTACCATAAGTTACAAAATGTTGCCGGAGATAGGAAGCGGGAAGCGGGAAAGCAGGTACAACAAGAACATTCATTGACTAAAGAGGATAAATCAATTACATCGGCATTGTATTAAACTTTTCCCGATAATTATTAGGAATAAGGAGTTTATAACTGGTCAATTAAATAATTAAATAATAAAAAATCAAGTTTGAAACCTATTTAGGTAATTAATTCTTTCAAGCCATATATGTCCTTTATATGCTGGACAATTCTCTTTGTACTCTTTGAGCTTAACTCGGATCCTCTCAATTGATGAATCGATCGTATTTATATATTTTTTATATATGCTAGGGAATCCTCTTTATTCGGATAGGACTAGTTGAAGTATGGATCTTCTTGATATCTCCACCACTCCTGCCATCTATCTTTGGAGTGATCTGGTCAATGACGATTGAAGAGTCTGGTAGCCAAATGGCAGGTATACAGTACTTCCGATACATGACATTGGAATCGCAAACTGTTGCATCGACGAATTACCCGCGCTGCAGTCTTTCTTAGGTAAGGAGATCATGTCATGTCATGTCATGTCATATCTGAGAAATGCGAAATGCACTACTCCACAATTAGAGTCATTTCAAATCCCGAACACCAGGAATCCTCGGAGTCTTCGCAAAGCTGGTCGAAATCGGCAGGCCCATCTCCCGGGGAGATCCATCTCATCGTATACCGACTTGAAGAACTAATTACCTACTTCGAGGTTCCTTCAGATTGTGGTTAAGTCAACCGAAATTGTATATGATATTCTGGAAGTAATGCCAGCGACAGCAGTTGATTCCGGCCAGAGGCAGAGAGAATTCTTTATAATTTCCAAAACCTCCACGGAAGTCAATCCGTGGTAGTGGTTCAATCCTTATTTCATGATTGATATACAAAACTTTGACGCCTATATACTTGGGTCTCGGAATGAGATAGGAAAGACGATATTCGTGTGTTTTAGTGGACAACGCGTATATCACGCTGTACATCATATACAGTTCAACATTCACAAACGAGATCGAAGAGAAAACACTAGTATCAGATTAGGGTGGTTTTTCTACCGGACAAAATATGTATACGAATCTAAGGCTTCGAAGTCTTTGAAGAGTATACCACGTCCAATCATAGGGGCAAGGGATTGCGTGAAGTTTTCTCACTTATTTTTTTTTCTTTCTCTGACCGTGGCCGTTGCTGGTTTCAACAAAAATTGTGGAAGGAAGATAAGAATAGAGGCGTATAAAACTGCGTGATGCTGAATGTCCATTTAAGGAGGGGCAAATATTTTCTAGATAATTTCAACGGTTGCGATAACATTAATATAGATTATTGCGATGTCAACTCCAATGTCCAATCGGATGTGCCTGGGGATACAAGTATACTTGCCTTAGTTGAGACGAAGTGGTACATGCTGCTGCGTAACAAGTTGAGCACTTCCATCTCTCGAGATATCGCTACCAATATACACCGTATATCAAGGCAGGTAGCATAGCACTAAGATTCACTTTTCAGTCGCAGGAATTTCATAGTCAAATCATGTCTTCGCAGCTGGGAGGAAACCAAGCGAACCGCAAAGCTATACTTCGTCGTAACGACTTCACAACCCCGTGATGTTAAGATTTGCAATCGATATGGGAATGATTGACGAGTCAGTTGTATTCCATCGGTGCTCAACGCAGGCGATTTCAGTGAAAGCGAACTCCGGACATTGTGTCAGAGAGTACCTTTACATTTTCCTCGTATGGAAACAAGACATTTCTATCTGTTTGTGTTTCCACGATCAAAGGAAATGCAAAATCAAGCGACGGGCGGGGTAAGCAGAAGAGGAGCTGGAAAACGCGACCGATGACGGAAGTATATGCGCGCCAGTATATGCGCGCCGTGGAAACAAAGATGGGTTAAATTAATTGGCAGTATCGAAATCGAAACGGTACATATCTCTCAACTTCCCTCAATATTCATCAACCACGGTTGCTGATTGAAATACTAGGTGAGACTAAAAGTTCGAAATGTTCAGGTCTCAAATTCACTTGTTCCTCAATCACCATGTCAAGATACTAGCTATCCCACTGCAGCAACTGAATCTGTGCTGACGCAAGATCGATTGACCAACGCCGAATTGCTCCAAACCCGACATGAACTTCTCATCAAAGAAAAAGCTCAACTACACTCACAAAACGCACAGCAAGAAACTTCCGCGACTTTTTCATGACTAAAGTCACCGAAAACTACCCTTTCGCTTCGCCCCCGTGTCCCATTATACTCTCGTCCTCTTCCACAATCGCAAACGTGTAATACTTGAGACTTATTGATAGCACCTTCAGTGTTCTAATTCGCATTTGAAAATCGAATAGTTCTTAAATTTATACACTACGGTGTGAATGGCGTGAATGTTCAGGATTTTATCTGTCTGTTACGCTACAGCTCCTCGTATTTTTGAAGCTCTGAAGGTATGATATGAGTGTGAGAAACGCCACGTTGCCAATCATTACATACACATACCCCGCATCCCAATAAATGGAGTACGTCAAGACTTTCGGGCTTCTGGAATTAAAAGGTATTTTGTCATTTCTACAGAGTATTTACTAGAAGTTGTAGAATTAACAGATCCAAATGGGCGCGCTTCTCGCCACATAGCACCTGCCTGTCTGCGTAGTCTCCTACAGCATGTTGACGTCATTATTCTTTGTTATACACGCGTATAAGTAAGCTCTACACGTACTAGGTAACTATAGTCCAAAATATCTATAAATCATTGATCCTCTTCTTCTTTCGTCCTTTCTATGCAATACCCTATCCCATGATCACTACCAGGATACTCCCGCAAACACCACTCGGAAATTCTTATTCACTCGTCTCTACACGCACAGCCATGGCAACTACAACAGTCCCTGAAGAGAGCTTTGAAGTTCGCCAAATCTCTTCAACTGAAGACTGGCACCCCGACCCTTCTAAATCTCTACCTTTGTCTCCCGCTCGTCAAGCACTCGTTGACGGCATATTTGCTCTTTATAGCTGTCTACCTACCATCGAACGTATCAAAAGATATACGCCTGACTGCGTATATGACGACCAATTCGTTTACGCCAACGATCGTACAAGATGGCCGGGTAATGGTTTGCGCCCCCAAAGTTGTTTGAAGGTAGCAAGAACGAGGGGTATCAAATTGTGAGAAGTGATGATGAAATTATTCAGTTCAAAAATGAACAGGTATTGATATTCACCACGAAATTAGCTGATTGATTCTAAATAATCTTTCTAACCCGGGACAGTCGTGGACCTTCAAAATTATTCCAAAAACTGCTACAATCAATGCACTTGTTACTTTGTCTCTCGACCCCAAGACTGTCCACAGCGATTTCATATGAGTCAAATATCACAAAGATCAAGCCAATGATAAAGACTACAGCCATGAGGGTGTAGGGTTCTCTTTCAAGAAATGGCAAGCAGATCAAGTTGCAAAACATATGAATAATGATGAGGTTGCAGCCTTCAAGAATGATAGCGCTGCTGGAGAGGAAGCTGTCAGGAAGTATAGAAATGGCAAGGGAGAAGCTCTATTCAAAGATTTGTAAGTACGTATAGTTCGATCTATTTGACAAACGACATTGTAGTGCCACCAAGGCACACCTATGTATGAGATTTCACATATAGAGGCATTTATGTGTTATTTCAATTAAACAGTTCTAGTATTTAGTATTTGTTATGAGGGTTGCGATCTAGACCACATGGAAGTGGTCTGGATCCTTGAATAGTTTATAACTAGACGTTAAGTAGAGACTTAAAATAATATCAATAATTGCAATTCTTAACTAATAGTAGAGTATACTAAATGATTAATTTTGAATACAAAGTTTTATTCCTTTCTGATTATATAGATCGTCGTACTTAGAAGCTATAAAGCTTTCGAACTTTTATTACTCCTTTGAAATATAAAAGCTTTCAAATCTCCAATACTCTATTAAAATACAGAAGCCTTTGAATCTCTAGAAGCAAACCCCTAGTATTATATTTATTAATTATTTGAAGAATTATTTAAATAATAAATTAATATAATAATTAGAAATTATATAAATAAAAAAATCTTATATTAAAATATAAACTTTTTTATAAAAATAATGAAAATATTATATATATATATATATATATAAATTATAAAAATATGATTATAATATAAAATATATTTATAAACTTTATAAATATTTTCTAAAATACTTTCGAATATTTAGATTATTCAAAATCGAAATAACAAATTCATTGTTATTATTATAAAAATTTTATTAATCTTTTTATATTCAAATTGAAAATAAAAAAAATAAAAATTAATTAAAAAGCCTAATAAAACTTTTATAAAAAGAAATTTAAAAATTATTTAAATTACTATTACGGATCTCATATAAAAACAATCATATAATTTCATTTTCTATTGATAAACTGATAGTTTGTATATATCTTATCAGATTTACTTTTTTAATATAAGATTATAGTTATCTTAAAATCGATTATATATAATTATATAATTATTATATAGATATTTTATATATATATAAATAATTCTTAGAAATTATAATTCTTCAATTATAAATTCTGAAGAATATAATTGATTTTTTTTATTTAGTTTTTATAAAACTTTTATATATTATATTATCTATGATTCATTTATGTAATTCAACTATTTGATAATCTTCTAAATAATATCTCAATTCAATAATACTTTCTTAAATGAACTTTGTCAAACGTTTCATTCAAAAAAATAATTATATTCTGATATAATCGATAAAGATAAATCCTCTTTGAAAATATATCAATATCTTTATTATACATCGAATTCCTTCTTTTATATAATTTGAATAACTTTTATAAATTTACTTTAAAAACCTTTTAATCCCTTTAATCAATTTAATCAACTTTCGAAGAAAATATAGAAAAAATAAAATAAAAAAACATTATCATTAATTAAAGAAAAAAAAAATAAGATATTAATATATATAATTAAAACTTTCGATATTTCAATTGATAATTTTAATTCTTTATTCTAATTACAAGATCTATATTCAATAATCTCGAATTTATTATAAAACTAAAAAGAAAAGAATTATCAATTGAAAATTATAATAATAATAAATTTTATAATAAAACAATTTCTTTTTAAATCTTAAATAATATCTATATAGATATTTATTATTTTTTTTGATTGAATATAACGAAACTTTACCTAAATAGATTAAAAAATTATAAAATCAAAAAAAGAGTTAATCAATCACTCGATATAATAAATCAGATTTTTCAAATAATTATTTTTCTATTTCCGAAAATAAAAATCTATATAAAAATTAAGATCTTTATCTTTTAAAAAATTGATTTAATTAATTTAGATTATATTTATATACTATTAATTATTCGAATCGAAACTTTTATATTCTAAAATCTATTAATCTAATTATCGAATTAAATGATAGTATTGAATCTAAAATTAGTTTATAATAATTATTGATTTAGAAACAATTCGAATTATATATTATATTATTATAAATAAAGTTCAATAATATATACATATAATCGATCAAATAAAATTAAAAGTATAAATATATTATTATACTTTTTATTTACAAATATTCTGATTAATTGCTTTCGAATTAATCGAACAATTTACTACGATTTATCGAAATCTAATTGAAATCGATTATATCTATACTTAATACAAATTATGAATTATATTTAATATATAAATTATATTTAATATAATTTATTACAAGAAAGTTTTAAAATAATATAAGAAGTTTTGATTATTGATTATTTAAACAAAAATTATAAATAATAAAATTCTATTTTAAAATTTCGAATAAAAATCTTCGATTTTCTTTTACAAATTGTAATTTTGTATTATAAGGATTACTAAATTATAAATCAATTTGTAACAAAATTTATCGAAATGAACAAAATCGATATTATCTAAAATATAAAACCTTTATATTTGTTTGCAAATTTATCCTTAATAATATCAATATACAATCATCTCTTAAAGTTTTGATAATCCTATTTTTAGAAATTCAATATTTCCGAAACTATCTTTATTTCGAAATTCATTTATTAATTATATAGATTCTTTTCAATTAATATTTGTATTTAATAGTTATCTAAATCATTCAAACTTTTCATTTTCTTTTGTAATAAAATATATACAAATATTTTGTTTTAAAAACTTTAATAAAATTGAAATTATTAAAGGAGAAAAGAAATATTATAATATTAATAATAATTCAGATTTCGAAATTATAAAGAAAGTTAAATAAATAAAAGAAGAATATTTAAAATAAAATATTTAGATTTTGTTTTCATTTCAAATATTATACGAAATATAAAACTAATAAAAGAAAAAATATTGATTTTTTTATATATTTTTTCAAGAATAATTATATTTATAGATCAAGAATATTTATTGATTTGAAAGCAAATAGATTTGTTTTTATTAATAATATATTTCTTATTTATTTATTTTTTATATTTAATTTCAAAATTATATCTTTTTCGATTTCAATTGAAATTAAAAATTATAATAATATATAAGATTATATTATTATATATTATATATTTTTTAATTTAATAATTAATAATTATAAATAATTATTTATACATATTTTTTTTCAAAAATTAAGTTTTTATAATATTATTTTAAATAGATTCTAATTAACAAAAATTCAAATAAAATCAAACTATTTTCACCGATATCTTGAATAACTTATAAAACAATCTTGTATTATCTTTTATTTCAATTTAATTATTTTTATTTAATTATTTTTTCGAAAATAAAAAATCGATTGATTTATCTAATAGAATACTAAATAATAAGATCGTCAATTGAAGAATATTGAATTCGAAAAGATAGACAATTGAATCGATCAAATAAGATTGATATTTTACAAAAATAATCTTTACTATTGTAAATTATTATCAAAAAGAAAACTATAATTTCTAAAAAATTCAAATCATTTTCTATTCGATCAATTATATTATTATTATCAATTTATAAATCTTTTCTCTATTCAATATCAAAAATATTCGATCTATATATTATTATTTCTATTATCTTTTAATTTATATATATATAAAAAAAATAAAAATTGAACTTTTTATTATTATTTTGAAAAAATTCGATAATATATTAAAGATTCGATAAAAAAAAACGAATATTGGCTATATTAATTGGATTTAAAAGTTTTAAAATTTAAAGATAATTCGATTAGATACTAATAAAAGTTAATTCAGAATCTGATATCCTTTTTGAATATCAAAAATATTATCAAACCTTTTCCAAACAAAAATTGAATATTCTCTTTTTTTATCGATTTTACAATTATAAAATTATACAATATAATTCGTTTTACAAGATATTTTTTGAATAATTAAAAGTTATTAAAAATTATATTATAAATAATCTCAATAAAAGATTTATCAAATTTAGTTAAATTCTTTTTGTTACATTTATTTTATTTATCAAAAAACCCAATAGAAATCTGAAATTTTAGACATATTTCAGATTATTAAATTCAATAATATATTAAAAGCCTACATCTGCGAACCTTTAGTTTTTCGAGAAAATCTAATAAAAATTTAAGATTGAAAAAGTTTATAATAAATTTACATATTGAATATATATCAAAATGCAAACAGAATATCGATTTGTTTTTGATAATTGAAAATTATAAATTTTATTAAAAATAATTATAATAATAATAATAATATTTTATATTATTTATAATATTATTTATTATTTATTATTATTATTATTATAAGTTGAATGAAATAAATTGAATGAATAAAATTGAATTGAATGATTTTAAAGTTGACTGATTTTAATAGAATCGAATTGAATGATTTTAATAAAGTTGAAAAAAGTTCTAAATCAGATTAGCTTAAAATTGTAAGATTTATACTAAACTTTTTGTTAAATTATTTATTGGAATATTTACTACAGTATTTTAAATCAATCAGATTATCAGGATCGTAACTCACTTGAATAAATTTCTCATTTTCCATCATCTATCAGATAAATCTTATATTTAATAAGATTATAATATTGACAAATTAACAATAAAAATCGATATTCTTTATTTTTAATCAATAAAATACTAATTCCATTTTTTAATATATAGATTTATATTAAATTCGATATTTAACAAATTTTCTATTATATATAAATGAATTCTATTTCGAAAAAGTATATTATTTTTCAGATTCATTATATATTATATAAATACAAAATCATATCTTTTAAATTAATAAATAGATTTGTAATCTATCAATATTATATAAACGATATTCTTTTTGATTATCTAAATATTTTCTATATAATAAATTTCGATGATATTTATAATCTATTTTATAAACAAAGAAAAGTATCAAATTAGTTTTCAAATAATTAGAAATTGTTGAATTATAAATGAATGTCAAAAAATACAAATTTAATATTATATAAATCAAACATTTAAACTTTATTATTTTTATTAAAAATATAAAAATAGATTTTAAGAAAATTGAAATAATTAAAAATTGAACTTGTTCAATAATTATAAAAGAAATCCAATTCTTTTTTAATTTTTATA